GAAATTAGAGTAATAAATAAGGTCTTAACCTATGAAATATTAATCATACACAAATCGTACTAATCTATGTTTATGGTGGTTATAGTCTTGAAGGTGGTTAAGGATTGCGCACGTCTGATAGAAACCGGTAAGGCATTCCAGAAGAGTACAGCTTCTACGAAGAATGGTTTTGTGTATAAATTGGTAGAATGCCTTTTTAGCCTAGCTTTTTTCTAATGGAGTTAGTTCCCAGATGGTAAGTGTACACACTTGCAACTTAAGAGATATAGCGCGTCACCGTTTTTTTAAAACCCACCCCTTAAGTTAGGAGACGGTGCGGGAGAATTGGGCTTCTGGTAGCTTCAAATGCAAATATTTTTCTTCCTTCTTTTTTAAAAGATAATTCCCGCATTAAGGAATATACAGACCCACTACGACGAAGACGCAAGACCTAGTGGAGTGTGGACTCCCTTTGAATATTGTAATTCGACAGTGTGCGTCCATCCTTCAACTGTTTACCAGCAAAGATAAGTCGCTGCTGGTTTGGGGGACACAAAGAAAACCCAGATTCAGAACAACAATTTGTGGATCACCTAAAGTGGGGATCGAAATCACAATACTCAGCGCAGTGGGAAGTGGAGTGGCGACCAACCGTGCGGTCATTTTAATTCTTATACTAATTTCATTTAATAGTTCAAGATTTCTACGTAGAACATCGGCTACAAATATTTCACAAATAAATTTAACAGCTAAATAAGGCCTACAAGTCAGCTAGACTACATTACGACATACGGCAATTATTTTGTATTTATACCATTTTGTTTGAACAATAACTCGGCTACTAATTTGGTAGGACAGAAGCTACCAAGTACATAAATACGCCAATTTAACGGATCATTGATTTAAAACAACAACAAGTTTAATACACACGAGGATAGAGCCTAGTGTGAGTTTATTAATAATATTGCACCACATTCACACAACGCCATCTAGTCCCAAACTAAGCAAAGCTTGTACTATGGCTACTAGACAACTGATATAAGTACATTTTTTTTTTCTTTGTTTTTGGTACAAAACAGTCATTAAACGTAAAGCAATATAAAAATACACTGAACAAAAGACAAGCAGTACCCATGAATGCATTTAAATAAATGTAGTAGTAGTAGTAGTTTGTAAATACATCCATATTATACATAGAAACACCCAGACCAAATCAAACAATAAATGTTCATGCACACAAATGTTTGACTTGTGCGGGAATCGAACCCGCGACCTTTGGAATAGCAGTCCGTTACACAAACCACTACGCCATTCGGTCATCAAATTATATATATAATATTTCACACCAACTCGTTCTCGACGGATACCGCTTCCGGCGTTCCGATTGGTGAAGGGTTCAAAGGACCTCGTCCTCGTCATCGTGACAATCGAGGCGATGTGAAATAAACTCACACTAGGCCCTCTAATGACACTCAGTATCGCATAGACTAACTGACTAACACATACATCATCAGACATCGAATCGCATACTATTCAAAGTGACTTATAAGTTCCGATTCAGATATTGCTCGCAGGTAATCGTATTCATTCAGCAGGTATCGCTGGCCAGACGGTTCGGCCAGTTGCAAGTTTTACTTCTCTTTGCAGTGCTTTATCCTGTGTAGTTTGATCCCTTAGTCAGTTCTTGTAATACCCACGGGGTGAATAGGGGTGATGACACTCCGTATTCTTAATCAGTGGGATGGATAGCGTGTCATGAGCTCGATGATATACAAAAGTGCTTTAAAGAACTATGAAAACTTTGATACACCGGAAAAAAAAACATAGATAATATTAATGGGAAGTCGTTAGACTGCCTAAAATTAAGGACTAGGACGTTTATTAAATCTAAGAACAAAAGCGCTAATAGTCAGCCATTGTGATGCAAAGTGTGTGAATATTGTTCTACCGTCAAGTACAAACATATTTGAAGGTTATCAATAGTGCAAAAGAATTCAATGTTTTACTTACAAGCAAAGTTGCGTTTTTCATTGTCTAGAGAATTTCCGTTTAGCTACATGATTGGAATCATAGAGATTTAAGAATAGAAAGAACACGGGGTACAGCTGCCTGTAAGTGGGAGCGATACAGGCAACGAGAGAGATGGACGCTCAATAATTCCCTCTGTCTCTGTTTATCTAAGCTGCGATTAGCTACCGTGAAGAGGGCATGGTTTTGATCATAAAACAGGCGGGAGATTATAAATTCAGAGCTCGACTAGAAAGAGATAGAGGGAACTATCTATTATCCATCTCTCTCGTTGCCTATATTGCAAGATAGGGGTTCTTGTTCACTCTATGCTTATATCTCTATGGTTCGAATTCAATTGAATTTTCAAATTACCGCCTTTGTCTATGGAAGGGAAGTTTAGAAGATAGATACGCTTTGACACCAGATAAGCGCGTGCGGCGCTAGGAGGGAAATATTTTATGGGATATTTATGGGCGTATACAGTTATAGACAGTTTGATTGCGATATTACTACCAAATGGAAAAGTCTTTTTTTAAGGCTTCCACGTTTACAATTAAATTATTGAAAAGTTCGGTCGTAGAAGACCCGTGAGTGTTGCTGCACACAAAAATAAAAAGCTGTCTGTTGTGTATTTAAAAATAACTTTATTACACTTGCCTACCGTTTGCCAACATGTATAGAACAGAATCGATTGGTGCTTGTTGATAGTTAGTCAAAGCGAATGGCAACATAGCGCAAATCATAGATAATATAAACTAGATTTATTCCGTCATCAGACAAGAGTGACAAAATTTGTCCTCACCAGTAAATCAAGTTAATAAATTATTTTAAATTACTGCTGCGCTTTTCCTTTTTAATACGTACGCAATGGGTATAAACGTAATTATATAAGGGTCCCCTGTTTTCTTTAGACAGAGAACCATTTCATTGTTTCCCATTAAAAGTCACATTATTTATATGAAATCTTTCCTATTAAAAGCCTTTAAGCTATTACTTAAGTACAACTTGTAATTATTTTAACTTAAGTGTTCATTCAAAGGCGTGAAACATAAGCTAATAGCGTGTCCGATCAGAAGACTAGTCATTTTATAATTATTAACTCGATAATGTCTACTATTACTTTGATAAATGTAATAAAAATAAATGTTAGTGTACAGAATACTAGTTACATGAAACTCGCGACTCATATCTAAACGATGTACATCTAATGACGATAAAAACATTCGGGGTAAAAGTGAGGACGTGTCTGCATTTTGTCAAGTGATTAATTGAAGTGTTCTTTATGTGCGAAGACTACAAGTTAATTGTTCTGATAAAGGTGCTTAGTGTGGAATATTTTTTTTGTTGTGTGAAATGACTGTCGCTTTGCTGCTTTATGTGATTTCGTGCAAAAGGACAAAAGTGTCCAACCTTCCTTAATGTCAATTAATTTAAAAAAAATACTCAGATCATTTTAATTATACTACAAAATGGTAGGTTATATAATTATTACATTAACGCGATTGATAGGTATAACATACCTTTGAATTGTCTGACTTTTGGCCAACTTGAACTGGCCGTGATAACTATCGGATTGCTTGCCATCACAGTCTGTTTAATTTAATTTCCGATTATGTAACGCAAAAGTTTCAAGTTAGTTAAAGTAGGTTCTGTAAAATCTCGTAACAAACAAAAATGTTGAATTCTAAGTATTTTTTTTAAAGCGTACCCGCTCCTACAGTTTCCCGTATGTTTCCACTGTGGTGTCGAACAGCCAATTAGATGCTACAAACTCGCATTCCTAGTGAGGCAACACCACATTAGAACTTAAGGCGCTGATGTGTTAACAGCAAGTTACAAATACCCTCAAAAGTAATAAAAGGCTCAAACCTTCTCTTTACCTGCTAAAATTTTTACCTTAATCACTTATTTACAAATATAGTCCATGTAATAATTATTAATACCTTAGTTGATAAACGTCCGCTGATTAATATAAACTTATACGGCACTAATTAATTAATTATCCACCCTTCTTGTCCACCTCTGTACGTTAAATGCATCATCAGCCCATTGCCGTCCACTGCTGAACGAAGGGCCCCCAGAAGGGATGCTAACCATCCCAGTCCTGGGCAGTCCGCATCCATCCGCTGCCATTGCTATTTTCCTCAAGCCCTGGTCCATCGAGCCGCAGGGCGCCCTACTCTAGCACATGTCGGCTCCAGCGACCATCAGTCCGCCGGAAGACTTCCGGCCCACTTCCACTTCAGCGCACTGATTCTCTGTGCGATGACGGTTACTCTAGTTCTTTGTCTAATAGTTTCGTTTCGCAAAACCCTTTGTAACACATTGCATGTTTGTTCCACATTGCCACGACGCAAAATAAAATCAGGTAAAGGCGTACAAGACGATAAAGTGAGCTTACCTAAAATGTAAACAAAACCTTTATTAAATAATACATAACGTGTGTTAAAAACATTAGTAAAAGCATAACTTTATGATTAAGTGATATAAATAATATAATATATTATTGGTGACAGATTAATTATGTTGCATTAGAAAGTATAGAAGCCAATATATAACTGGACGATAAAAGAGGTTTAGAAACTAAGATATCTGTCATCGTTTGAACATGTTTAAATGTCCCATGTCAATACTCCCACATAATGAAATTGTTGTAGGATCGTGACGAAAAGGTTGACTTAACAACTTTCTTCTTATCTTTCATATCTTTGTAAATATTTTCTAAATGAATTTTTAAGGCTCTTATGAGTGGACGTGTCTGTGAGGGTGAGCCCCGAGTGACCTATGCTAATTAGGAATATTGATATACTTCGGGGAGAAGGGGAGCTAAGGGGGTAGTAGTTGATATTTTGATTATAAAAAACGATTGACATAGTTTTTATACAAATGCCTCACGCGATATATTATTTTACCCCGTGGTAAAGTCTGCTTTGAAAGCGTTTAGTTCTATTAGCCAAAGAGTTTTTGTCAAAACGAAAATGGTATGTCAAATAATATAGACATACCTCACAATGAAAAAACCATCAATGTTAGTCTAACCCCACTATTCCCCTGTTCCTTATATAATATCTAATTATTAAAAATAATTTATAATTTATTCATGAATGAAATATCAATTGTGAAAAAAATTAGACGCAGTACTAATAAGAGGTACATAAAAATAATATTACAACCATTAAAAACAAAAATTCTGCATGAAGAAATACATTAAATTAGACGTGTCTGGCCCAGGTAACCTGTCTGAACCCTAGATCCCATTGTTTTTGTACCAGAACACATCGGGACGTGACCTAACAAAGGGCACGACGGCAATTATTTACTGTTTTACTTTTATTATTACGGTCTGAGAACGTGAGAGCCGGGCTAGATGGTTAGAAGCTGTAAATGCTATATCCAGCTCTGCAAATAAAAATCCTTTTTAAAAAGAAGTTGAACCGACATCAAACAATACTAACAAAGAGCACTAAAAACCTAGCACTCTAGACTAACCTAGACCTAACACTCACTTGATATTTAGAAATAAATATTGTTCTAGAAACTATTTTTACTGTTTTTCTAGTTGTCTTCTAATTTTGAGTGGAAATCAAAGTTACGTCGGGGTCCCAAGGCTTTCCTTTCTAGGGTTTACCTGGTTCCCCGGATACTGGGACCTGGAGCCGGTGTGCGGTTTTAAGGCGGTCCGAGTCGGACATTACCACCCCACTGTGTGGGGTGGGTGGTATCCGAGGGGAGATCCGCACAGAAAAAAAAAGCGGAAATCCAAGTTACAAAATATGAAACGAAAACAGTTATTATAGAACACGCAAGTATTTATACCGAAAATACAACTGCGTACTGTTATACAAACTGATATCTACGAATGAAAACAAGATAAGATACTTTGCGGTTGATGTTGATCAGATTTGTTGATGTTTGTGGATTCTGTTGTTGTTTTAATGGTATGAAAAAACGCGTTATTTCAGTATTCGTTAATGAAACTAGAACTTCCCAATCAAATTAGAAGAATAAAATCTACCAACAAGTGGGAATTAAGGAATAAAAAAATTACAGTTTATCACAATTCATTAAGATGTAGGGCATGAAGTCAATTTTTAAATTATTAAGCGTACTTTTAGTTAAATTACATTTTCCGGAAGATCGAATAATGTCACCGATATTTTACCAACTATATTTTTATTCCAACTTTATAGGGGCAAAGGTGGGGGCCAAATAAAGCCAGTTAATCTAACTCTAAGACTTACGACCACACACAAACAAGATAAAAGACAATATATTTATAAAAATTTTAAATCAACTCTTAACTATTGTTTCAGATCGCTCTGCGCTGAGCTAAACACCTGCCAATTAGACGCCATCAGCATCGCACGATGTTTCGTGAACAACACCTCCGGGTTTTCAGTCTACACTTCCTACTGTACCGGATACCCTCGCACGATGGAGAGACTCGCGGCCCTCGCTTCGGAACCTCTCAGCGCGAGAGAGTTCAGAGAGAGACAGATAGCCCTTGGTCATCTTTTGCCACTAGCTTCGTACTTGCTGAAGCCAGTGCAAAGAATATTGAAGTATCATTTGTTACTGCAGGTAATACTTTGTTTTTATTTATCTTTACTTTCATCATCATCATCATCATCATTACAGCCGAAATACTTCCACTGCTGGACATAGGCTTCGCCACAACAACCGGTTTTGTAATGCCCTTACAGATTCTTTACTTTAACGTTTATTTATTGAACCAGTATATGCTGATCCAAAGTCAATTTCGTTCACTCTTTTCTAAATAAGTTTAACAGTTTACTTCTACAAAAAATATTGATGATGTCTCCAGACCTGAACATTAAGTCAGGAGCATTGTCGACAATGTACATTATACACGTGTAAATAGTAAGTGTATATTTTAAGAGAAGTAGGTATTTCTAAAACAGAAGAGAAATAAAATAATTGTAAACGTATTGTACAGGTAAATTAGCTTGGAGAAATTTTTGCGTTTGTAGTAGTGTATGGTTGTGCGTGTTTCCACTTTCCACTATCAAGTGACGATTTTTTGCTTTAGATTGAAATATCTCGGAAACGGTGCGTCCTAGGCCATAAATAACAAAAATTTTGACCCCCCGTAGACCCCCCGGAGTTTTAAAAACCTAGATGAAAGGAAAAAAATAATAATAATTTAAACATCGGTCTCTCCTCTTTGAAGTTTCACTTCTATCGTGTGTGAATCGCACACACACCTTTTTTTTATAAAGTCAAAACTTTTTCTTTAAAATAAAAACTTGTTTTTATTGAAAATAATAATCAGAGTGTTGCTAGGGATAAGTATAAAATTAAATAGTAATGTTAGGATATCGAAACATTTTTGTATAGGCCAGAACGATATAGTGGAAACGCGCTCTAAGATCTGAGTAATATACACACCACTACATATGCAAAAATTTCTCGAGACTAATTTCACTGTAAATGATTAGAATTTACATATTGCGTCAGCCGATTAAATATGAAATAATTGAGTAACAATATTAATAAGTTCTAGTTAAAAGAATAAATACATGATCAAAATAAATTGTTTGAAGTACTTCAAAGGTTTTCATTACCGAGAATAATGTCCAAGTCGATCATTTTTGGTGTAGTAAAGATATTTTGTTCTTGCCTTATAAAAATTCTTCCGTCTGGTGGTAAGCCATTGCCATTAAAACCAGAGGTATTTATTACTTACTAGTAAACTGACACTATAATTCTCCCTAATGGGCTCTTATGTCTACACACAAGTCTTGGCATGCGGCACCATGTTTCTGTAAAGTTTATTTAGAGTTTTTGTTTTATAAAGCGGCAAACGAACAGACGTGAAACGAACGGTGAGTGCTCATGTGCAGAGACACTAGTGCGGTGCCGCCTATTCAGTGCAGTCATTCCCCCCCCCCCCCTCCAGAATTAAGTAGAAGGGGGGCTCCGTTAATAACACTAGAAGCAAGGAAAGAATTGCTGAACATCGGTATTCTAAGAGGCCGTGGTATCACTTTAGTCGAGCAGGCCCATGTATACGTGCATAAATATGACTCTCATGATTGTAATTAACAGGTATATTTAAAATTCCAGAATGTCGTCAAGCAATGTGCTTCTCGTGAGACAGAATACGCGCTTCTCAAGATGACAGGCATAGCGCAACACATCGATGACATGAAGCGAAGACACGAGCATGCCGTCCGAGTACAGGTATGAACCTATTAACAAATAACTTATAAAAATACCTTAATGTGCATACACATATACTGATCTTGAGACGAGGGACCTTTACAATACGAGGATCCACGCAAATTGTGTTTTTCGTCTGTTCTACCCGTCGCTTCATATCATTTTAATGCTTAGCATTTGACAGACAGAGATACCTGTTTGACATAGGCCATCCATCTTTGCTTAGGTTGTCTTCTACTCTTATCCCCGTGATCGTCAGTAAACATGATTATCATCAACACATCATCAACAGCCTTTAATAGTCCACTGCTGGACATAGGCCTCTCTTTAGAAATAAGGTTTTGGCCTACCATGATGATGTCCTCCCAGACGTATCCGTCGACGGCCACTGCCTGTCACCTTTCAACGACTCCGTTTACGCGCCCGTACGTGACTCTCAAAACCGAATTTGGTTTTGAATACACGGTCACATGAGGCACAGTGAAGCTCACCACGCATATGGTGGCCTACTATACCACGCTAGCCAGACAGGTTGGTAAAAGGTTTGTGTCAAGTTTTCCTTCTCTTTGCAGTGCTGTTGTCCTGCGTAATTTGCTCCCTTAGTCGGCTCTTACTACACCCACGGGATGAATAAGGGTAGTGGCACTCCGTATTCTTAATCCGTCACCACATGGACACAAACGTGATCATAGTTTGTGTCTAATATTTTTTTCGGGTCAGAATTATAATAACAAAGCTTGACGAGATTCATATCGTTAGAAATGATGATGAAATAAGTGGAGATAATTTGAGTCAATAACGTTAACGAAAAAGTTACATTGTAGGGGAAACATGTGTGATGTTTGTTAAAAGTAAGTTAGGTTAAAAGGTAACTGATAAGTGCGTTAGAACTTTCATTGTGAGATGCAGGCTCAGTAGTGCTTTTTATTACTTGAGGCAGCAATACACGCAATACGATGTACAATAATGTGGAGAACCATACGATGAAGACAGAAAAGTCAAAAAAATAAGCGAATTCTTTACACATTTTTACTAATTAATCTTAATGCCATTTTACAGGAAATCCAGTCACTCCTCTACGGTTGGAATGGTCCGGACTTGACTACTTACGGAGAGTTGTGTGCCGAAGGGACATTTAGGTACGTTTGTAACCGAGCACATTATCAATTTGTAACGTACCTACTGCATAAGTATAAATTACTGTTTGTCAAAAATTAACCTTATAGTGCAAGAAAATAGGTGACTTCTTCTGTGGATTTTTTTTTGCCAATAAAAAGTATGAGTTAGCTAAAATGTTAGTTAAAAAAAATGTTTCTGTATTATAAATGACGAATTTTTCTAAAGTGGTTAGTACTTTATATTATTTGTGAGGTTCCTATTTGACCTACCTTCTTCAGCCTTACATATACAAAACATATACTATACTGATATATATATATATATATATATAACTCAACTCTCGTTCGGATCGCGTAACCGAAAGGTCATGTTTGTGTGCTCTCTGTGTTTAAAAATTCACTAAACTGTTTAATACTGATTTTACTGTGAATATTACTACTTAACCCCTTTATAACAGCACAAGAAGAAAAACAAATACACTAAATAACAACAAAGTGAATAGAATATAAGGATATAGAAAAAAGAAATAACTTAAGAAGTGAAGTGATTTGTGATTACTGCACGGTGTTTATGTTGTTGATATACCTACAATACCCACAAAAGCTTGTTATTGCTCATTATCAAGTGAGACGTAGTAAGAGAACAACAATTTTACACCATTTGTCATCCGCCAACATAGCGTAGTGGTTGAGGGTGTCGGTCTGAGCGCATCCGATGCTTGTGGTCGAGGTTTCAAAACCTAGGTTGCGATATCGCTTTTTGTGGCTGTTGTCAGTTTATTCTTCGTAACACACGACAATTTACTATGTCTAAACTGTCCCGTACACCTCCAAAACAACAAACGCCATCTCGATCCGAAACCGATATACATAAACTTTACTCTGAAGATCCAAGTACGGCTAACATTGGCTTAACGCAAAGATCTAAGCGGCGCTGTCCATCGAGTGAATATGAAAAAAAAAGTGACGATTTGGCGGACTTCAAACAGGAAATTAAAGATATGATTCACGGAATGATATGCCAACAAAATGCTCGATTGGATCAATTGGAGACTCACATGTTGGAAATAAAAACCATAAATACAAAAATCGATGAAACAAACAAAGAAATTGAAAGAAGTATGTCTTATGTCACGGATCAACTTACTTGCCTGGACACAAAAATAACAAAATTGGAAGCAGAGCGTAATCTTACGAACAATAGAATTGTTATTCTAGAAGAGAAGCTTGAGTCCTTCAATAAGTCATTTCTTAAGACGAGTGTTGAAATACGAAATGTACCAAAATCTCAAAATGAAACCAGTAAAATATTATATGATGCTCTATTGCAGTTATCTAAGCACGTAGAAGCTAATATTACATTATCAGACATACGTGACGTCACTCGCCAGCCGTCCAAAAAAGAGACTCCCCGTTCATCACTGACTGTTGAGTTTACAAATACTCTAGTCAAAAGCAGATTTCTCACGACCATCAAGGAATATAACAAACGTAACCCTAGTCAAAAGGTGAATTCATCTCTCATGGGTATAGGTGCTGCAACAGCACCGATTTATATTGCAGAACAGCTTACAACAAACTCAAAACGACTTTTCTATCTGGCTAGGATTTGGGCCAAGGCAAACCAATACAATTTCTGTTGGACGAACAATGGTCGCGTAATGTTGAAAAAAAACCCGGACAGCACTACTATTATTATAAAATCCGAATCTCAAATGAAGGGCCTGGCAGAAGTAAACAAAGCTTGACTGATACCACAACCTGTTTCTAAATTTTTTTCTAACTATAAATTGTATTATGCATGTTTTTTAATTTCATTCATAGTTAACCTTAGGATTAAGTTAATTTTCTATTTTACTTACAACACATATACACACTCAAATTTTTTCACAACCTACTATGATGCACGCAATAATACTATACTTCAACACGCTCACACTTATCCCTTTCACTGCACGCTGTTTGTTGTGGCTATTATAACAGTAAATCATCAGTATCTAAAAATTAAAGCCTTAATTGGTCACAAATTTATCAACTTTATTATTGATTTAAAATGATTAACATTACGGATTTCATGGATAAAGTTGACTGCCTTTCTGTATCTCAAGTCATTACTTGCATTCCTGAACACACAAAAACTTTTATAAAACACCCAAATAACTATCTTAAAATCCTCACTCTCAACATACGATCTATTAATCGCAATAACCTAGAACTACAAACACTACTGAAGCGCCTCGATATCGACTGTGACATTCTGGTGCTGACGGAGTGTTGGCTTAAATGTGACAGCAATACTAACATCCCAATATTACAGGGCTTTGCCTCGTTTAAAACAAACAATCATCAAAACCAAAACGATGGTGTTGTGGTTTATCTCAAATCTACAATAACGGCCACATGTGAAGAGCCCAACTTTTGTGAAACGGCCTCTGGTCTGCTAATTACGTTAGACTCCATGTCAATAATCTGTGTATATCGCTCCCCTTCTAATCACCTAATTGACCCTTTCTTATCTGCCCTTAACAATATCCTATCAACCCTCAACAGCCATAAGTCTGTAGTTCTAACAGGCGATATCAATATCGACATTAAACCTATGACCAACGACACACGCAGTCAATCTTACCTTACATTTTTGGCCTATCACGGTTTTCTCCCAGCACATGCTCAACCCACGCGAGACAAGAACTGCATTGACCACTTAATGTTGAGAACAACTTTTCAAACTATTACATTCCTCTTCGAAACGGCGATAACCGATCACTACCCGACCTTGCTCTGTATGGCCAAAAACATAATTAAAGAAGCTAGTCCAAGGGAGGTTAGCAGGGTCGATTATGTTGCGCTTGACCAACTTATGGAAAATACAGATTTTACACCCATTTTCTCCATGTCAGACCCAAATAATGCAACCGACAACTTTATAAAAATAGTTAAAAATGCTATAGCCAAATGTACATCTACTGTTAAAGTCTCTGCTAGGAAAAGAGTGCTTAAACCATGGATAACACCAGGCCTCTTACGGTGTATACGACATAGAGATTTACTTCACAAAAAAGTTAAACAAGCCCCAGATGATATTACCATTCTCACCACCTATAAACGATACAGAAAGTTTTGCTCAACTATTCTAAAAAAAGTAAAAAGGCAGTATGACACACAAGAGCTAATTAAGGCAAGTCACAGCCCCAAAAAACTCTGGGATTCTATTAGACTTATAACAAACACAAGCAAACCTACTAATATGTCAAACAAACTGTTATCACTCTCGACGTCACCTGAACAGTCTTGTAATAGTGTTAACCAATTTTTCGTAAACATTGGAAAAAATCTCGCCGAAAAAATACAAAACACCTACACTTCATCAAGTACACCACCTAATTGCACTTCAAAGCATAATAATTCCTTCGTCTTAGAGCCAACAGACCCCGTCGAAATTTCGTCTGTGATAAACACACTAAGGGTGACTGCTGCTGTAGGTTGGGACGGTATTCCCCTGTCATTCCTTAGACGATATAATGTACTTATAGTGTCCTCATTAAGCTATATTTTCAACCTCTGTTTTGAAACAGCTATTTTTCCTACCTCTTTCAAAATAGCCATCATTCATCCGATTTTTAAGGGTGGAGACGGACAGTCGCCAAACAACTATCGACCCATAGCTGTACTTAGTGCTTTATCCAAGATACTTGAACGACTTATAAATAAGAGACTGATCAGCTACCTGGAGCACTTTAAGTTGCTTTCAACCCAACAATTTGGCTTCCGTAGAAACAAATCTACGTGTGATGCAGTCCAAAATTTAGTTAATAACATTGTGGAAAAACTTAACAAGAAAAAAAAAGTTCTGACTATTTTCTTGGACCTAGCCAAGGCCTTCGATACTGTGCCAATTTCTACCCTCATAATCAAACTTGAAAATGCAGGAATCAGGGGCCCACCACTAGAACTACTAAAAAGCTACCTAACGAATCGGACACAACTTGTTAACATCAACAACTACATTGGCGATGAACTTTCCATCCATTACGGTGTGCCTCAAGGTAGTATCTTAGGCCCTACTTTATTCCTTGTCTTTATTAACGACCTTTGTAACTTAATCATTCCACACGCAAACATTGTATCTTTTGCAGACGACACGGCCATAACTTTTCATGCAAACACATGGTCTGAACTTGAAACTGCGGCTCAAGGAGGTTTCTGTACTGTTTTAACCTGGCTTGCCTCACACACTCTAACTCTTAACACTACCAAAACAAATTTTATGACTTTCTCGCTTACCCCACTATCTCAACCTAAAAACCCTATAAATCTAATAGCTCACTATTGTCAGTCTCAACTTCACCTGAATTGCAAATGCCTAGCTATAACTCCAGTTAACCAAATTAAATACCTCGGCATTATCTTGGATAAACACCTTAAATTTAGACAACATATTGACACTCTCTCGGGACGCGTTCGTAAACTAATATATGTCTTCAAAAACTTACGACACGTAGCCAATCAAGCGGTTATCCGTAACGTGTATTATGCCCTCTGTCACTCCATAATAATTTATTGTATTCCTTGCTGGGGAGGTGCAGCTAAAACAATTCTAAGACCACTGGAAATAGCTCATCGTGCTATTTTAAAAGTTGCTACATTTAGACCTATTTTATTTCCAACAACCGAGCTTTATAAGAAGTGCAATTTACTCAGTGTGAGACAACTATTTTTATTACACCTAACAGGATTACAACACCGTCTCACACCGCTTTTACCGATTAACAAACGTCGTAAAGACCGAATTTGTTCAATCCCTCCTGCGGGCTCAACTTTCTTTAAAAGATTTTCTTCCTACCTTGGTCCATCTGTTTATAACAAGCTTAATGCAGTGTGCCCTATCTATCATTTGCCCAAACATCTACTGTCAAAGACTGTTAAATCCTACCTCCAAAACCTGAATTATGACGAAACAGAGCAATTCCTAAACGGTTAAGCACAATATATATTATTATTTACACGAAAATTGAAACCAAGTAAGGCCACAAACACCTAACCACACGCATATACACACACGCACTCATACACACATACACTCACGCACACACACACGTACACGCACACACACACACACCCACACACACACATGCGCACGCACGCTACGCACACGACATTCACCCCCATATGCGCACTTGAGGGACTGTAACTCCTAAACACAGGCAACTTAGTTGCCTATCTAGGAGAACAGCAATCACTCCAATTAATTATAGCCTAAGTTATATACCTAACTATTATGATAACCTATGTAATGAAACTGTAAAACTTTACTATGAAATAAATGTTATTATTATTATTATTTATTATTATATATATATTTTTTAGTGCTGTTGTCCTGCGTAGTTTGCTCTCTTAGTCGGCTCTTACGACACCCACGGGATGAATAGGGGCGGTGGCACTCCGTATTCTTAATTCGTCACCACACGGACTGTAGACGTGGCTCTAGTATTAGAGTCTCCATAAGGTTTCCTTACGTCATTCAGTTTCATCAGAATTTTAATCTTTTGGATGTTTGTACAGAGTATTCGGCGCCAAGGCGATGCGTCACGCCTTCCTCTTCGACAAGATGTTGCTCGTCACCAAGAATAGGGAGGACGGCATACTTGCCTACAAGTCGCACATTATGGTAAGTTTATATCATTTCGATCACACAAATTACATCCATCGATGTGATTAACTGAAGAACGAGTTTCCTATCGCAAGAAATGTAGGTGCGAAACGCATGTTAAGTTACTAAAAGTGCAACAGACGATATAACAATAAACATCTTATTTTTGTTTTTTTTATTATTAATTATATATAAAATTCTAGCTAAAATTGTTATAGTTACATACATAATTATCAATTCGGAAATTAAAACAATCATCAGTAGTTAATACGTATCTTTTTTTTTGCTTAACTTGTAGTCCAGTATAATTATACAAGAAGCGAGTTTACAATCACTATTTCAACTAAGACTATTTTTTTATTTTTATGTTTAAAAAGAAATAAACTTCAAAAGTGTTTCTAGAAACCTATTTTACGGTAATAAAATAAAATCAGGTTTTTTTAATCACGTTTGTTTGTGTTTGACAGTGCAACAATATGATGTTAGTGGAGTCGATAGCGGGCGCCCCTCTGTCATTCCACGTGATCCCGTGGGACGCGCCACGAGCTCAGCTCACGTTGCAGGCTCGCTCGCCACGACATAAACGAGAGTGGACCCTATTGCTCAAGCGAGTGAGTATATTTCTGTTTTATATGAAGTGTTACGGCTCGTGTTACAGATGAAATTGTTAACATGTCAGTGCACATATGCAAGCAATTACTTTGAACCACAGGCGATGTCAATCCCAGATTTCTAACTTTTTCCTCTCTCTAGCTAATTCTCATTAGTGCAGAGAATTATTTCCTCTGTCCTCCGACACAAAGGAATCAAGCTGGGTGATCATGACTGGCGGACGACCGTTACTGAACTTTCGATGACTAGCACCCCGCTTTAAAACTCAAAAATTATTTCTTTATTTGTATTATCTTTTTTATTGGGCCGCTATGTAAAGCACTAATCTAATTGTATCCGTAAAAAAATTCATCGAATTTTAATTCAAAACGTAATATTTCAGGTAATACTGGAGAACTATAACGCTGTGATACCGTCACATGCAAGACAGCTGGTAATGGAACTTGGCCAGAATAAAACAGATGGTAAGCAAAACTATCAAACGATCCTTGTTGATATTTCAATATTTACACTAAGTTAATTGTTAATAAATCATCGCATAATCCCATTTTATATTTTTTAAATAAATAAAAACGGATATCCTTGTTGTATTTCAATAGATTTATTGCTTTCTATATATATTCATATTTACTTAAAACTTAAAAATGTATTTATTAACCTTCGCTACAATTCAAAAGCCAAACAATTCTCGTATAAGCTGTTCTGAGAATACCTTAGGAGTAAGTGTGCTATGAAGAATGACTTTAATTTGTTATCTACCCTTTCTAGCTAACAACTTCTTTTTAATTTCAGACGACATTCTAGCAGAGAAATCTCACAACCTCATAACTCAAGCGTCGATGCGAAAGCAGCTATCAGCACCAGAATATCTCGAAAAGAGAAAACTAGACAGAGACAGGCGAAAATCTTTCGAAAATGGCATTAGGGGCAGATTGAAGAAAGCTAATAGAAAGTACACAATACCAAGTTCTAGAGCAGAGAGTCAGGAATGTGATTGTTCTCAAGTATCTGCTGAGAAAGGCACAGACTACACATGTGAGAATTGTTACGTAGATCTCTGTTCTGATTGTGAAACAGAGGTAGGTAGGAAAGAGAAAAGGGAAGATAAATGTAGACATGATGAAGGTGAAGTTGGAGATAAATGTCCTGAATGTGATAGATCGTTACATTACATAGACTCAGGTAGCGCTGAGCATTTAGAACGAAAGCAATCAGGTTGTAAATGCTCAGATTTTAAATCTTCACAAGAGAGTTTTAGTAAAGAATTTGGATGTCCATTGAATAAAACGAGAGGATATCACTCCTCTGATAATATAATAAGTTACGCAGATAACATTAAGAGTAAAGAAGATCTCAGCGATAACAATTCATTGACTAGTATAAGACATATCAATAAAACGTGTCTAAAATACGCGAAAATTAAAGAAAATATTGCCGTCACGGATGTTTCTAGCACATTACATACTAGAAGATCTAGATGTAACGATAGTGAGAAACAAAGAGCGGATAATTTTAGATCAAAATCAAAAGATGATCCGCAAAGATCTAGGTTATCTAAAATAGGAACATGGAGACGAAAATCTGAACCGGGCTTACAACAAAATATGATCGGTATTATAACAAAGAAGTCTCAGGACAGTGACAGTGAAAAACCTGAAATAAGGGGTAACGAAAAAATAGAATTTGAATGTAAAAATTGTGGTTCAAACAAAGTGAGTAGAAGAACCAGAGCAACTGATGGAACTATAATATCAGATCCAGAATTAGGTAGCAAAAGAAGTATTGGTACAGCTAAACCAGCAGTCGAAATTAGAATGTATAATACAAAAAATATACCAAAGAAGATATCTAAACTAAAGAAAAATAGGGCTAAAGGATTGCGCCTTGGATCTGACACTACAGCTAAATTCTACGCTGATTTTTCAACTGATGTTTCTACCGAGAATATTTTGCATATATCAGAGTCTAATGACAGTCTAAACATTGATAAGCCTAAAGATATACCAACGCTTGTACCTGATACGATTAGCAAAGATGAAGATATTGACGAGGAAACATATAAAAAGTTAATAGAAAAAACAGATTCCTTTAAAAAGAATGAATTAGAGAAAGTTAAGTACTTAAATAAACAGAAGGTGATTAATGAAATCTCTGAAGTGGAAGACAAAATAAGTGAAACAGAACAGAAACCAGTTGAGGGAACAGAAAGTTGTGAAGAAACAGAACAACCTTTAGAGCAAATAATTTCTCAGTTGTTAATGCAAAACCGAGAATTCCAAAAACTGGTTAAGAAGCAACAGCAAAGAAATAGTGCACAGAGACGACATCAAAGACTAATGAAATCCCATTCAAATCCCGAACAAACTGTATTGGCTCAAAATCTAGAATCTAACAAATTAAAGGCAAAATATGGAAGACACATTTCAGCAGATTTAGATATTGATATAAATGAAGAAGATAATACGACAACTAGTTCAAGAACAGATGTAAATGATGAAATTGTGGAAGACCATATATATGAGACATTAAGAATAGAAAGTAGAGTTGATGAAAACTTGCACAGTTTAGATAACAAGAGTAAAGCGATACAGCACATTAATAGACCAAAAAGACTTCCGTCCCCTCCAAATACCACTAACAATGAAAGTGAAATTAATACATATATTGGTCCAGATTCAGACTATGTTTACCTTTCATTCAACAAACTGAATAAGCTACAAGATACTGAAGGTATTTACGATGTTCCAGTAAGATCACCAGAAAAAGTTCATAATAGAGTATCAGTAGATTATTACGTTACTATGGAACACAAAGGACCATTAATCACTGAAATCATTAACGATAACGTCTATGACACTTTAGTAGAGGTATGTAGAAGAAAAAAAGAAGTGTCGGATGAATTGACCAATGACTATTTGCCGATGAGTCCAGACCAAAAAAGCCCAAACACCCCAGAAATATGGCTTAGTAGGCAGAAAGAACATTTCAATGTATCCAGAGATCGAAAATCAGGTTCTTTGCCAAGAAGTTTTCAAGTCATTACAAGTAACCCTGAAGAAAATTTATCTACATTCAAATGTAAGCCTAATAGCAATAGTAAGACGTACTTAAATAGAGAAGGCAAAGTAATGAGCACAGATAGGCCCTTCACAATTGCTTCAGATCAAAGTGAAATAAACTACGATGATATGAGTGAAGGAGAACTGCTGAAATTCAATAAATCTAAGACAAGCGAGGCTGACTATGTAGAAAATATAAGCCAATCAACTTTAGAACTTGAAGAGGAAATTGACAGGTGCTATAAAAATAATTTTGAAAAAATCGACTTAGATAATAATAAAAATGAAAATTTAACAGTATCTCAACCAAGCTTAATCGTTTCGACTACATCGTCATGTGAGGTGTTGCCTCTAGAAAAAAACGATGACACGAAACCTAATGATATAGAAATTATTCATCCAGAACATAAAATATATAAACCGACGTCAAACATGCTTTCCCTTAAAAATGTTCTCAGTCGATTTAAATACAGAAGTCCTAGCAAAAACAGTGACGAATCAGAAATAAATGCCAACGATCAAAGTAGTCCTGATAGTACTAAATCAGACCTAAGAAGTCCTGAAAAACGATCTGCTTTAAATCCTAGAAGTTACTCCAAAAATCTCTTGCAAAGGTTCAGGAGCATTATAGGCGATGACAATACGGACGATAACCAAAATAAATCAGAAACTACAATCAAAGTTTCAAGTGGAGAAGATGCACAAAATAATTCAATTAAAAGTGAAATTAAAGTAGTTATAACATCGACAGATGCGAGTCCAACGTCATCAACTATAGTTTATTCAACAAATAATGACCTGCTTAGTAAAAGTGTTTGCGAACATACAACCATGACTGAAAGTCAGACTGAAAAGAACAACTTAGAAGCATTGTCTCTCAGCTGCGATAATATCAATCAAAAGTCTGAAACCCAACACCCTAGTTACGATAAAAATACAAATATTGTGAATAGCTCAGTATGCTCACCTGTAAAAACTAATAATAGTTCCTATCAAAGCTTGAATAAGCTGCCTATTTACATGCAAGGCAGTAAACACTTAGGTGCGAGAATAGCTCAATCAGATTACGTTGATCCAACTACGTTGGCCTACCAGAAGTCCACTACACTTAAAAAAGTTAATATCCTTATAAACAAAAATTCAGTTAGACCTGATAGTTTATTTTCTAATTCTTCCTTCGTTACGTCTTCGAGTGAAGGAGCCTATCAAGAGCCCATGAATAAAATAAATACTAATCACAACTCGACTGAAGAGAAAACTGTTAGCTCTAATCTACAGAATAATTCAGATGAGAGTTACTACGAAAAGTCATTTGAAAAGATTGAACAGGTGACTGACGAAGATGTCTTTAGAGATTCAGCTGTTTATTCTGATCAGGAGGATAGTGAAGATACGAAAGATACTGTAACGAAAGATCAAGTAATAAACAAAAATATAACTAGAGTTGAAAGTATAAAAAGAAAGACTACGGTCCACTCAAAGAACAATATCAATGAAAAAATTACTACACAGACACGCGTTATTGTCACATCTAATAAAACAGCTAACGTAGAACGTGTAAATAGTATAAAAAAAACAGTAAATGTTAAACCAAAATTAGCTCCTCCAGTACCTGCTAAACCTAAAATAACTCGTATACCTGCTATATCTAACCCTCAAAGTAAAGCGGTTACCCGGTCTTTGTCTAAGAGCTCCGAACAATCTTCATCTTCTGAATCTGTCAATGTAAAAACAATTAAAAGGAATGTCAATTACAAACAAACATTGGTTAAATCTGAAACTTCTAATATTAATGAAAAATCTAAAGCGCACGAAAACAAGATTAAAAATGAAGTAACAATTTCATCAGAAACTAAAATGGTTCAAGAAGATAACGATAAATTAAAGCCTCAAGGCAACATACAAATAAAAAGGCTAAGTTTCGAAAGAGCTAGTTTAGATTCGGCTACAAGAAAACTTAAATCTACTGCTGAGGAACAAAAGACTATATTAGAAAAACCCCAATCGTCAAAGTCGGTGTTAGAGAGACGTATGGAGATCGAACAAATGTCTAATATTCAATCCAAACTAAATCCGACCGTGAAAAAACCTTTACAGTCAACAAAACCTAAGGCTATTTCAACAAAAGTAGCGACATTTGAAAGGAGCGTAAGCGATATTGGTGTAAAAGAAACAGCTATTTGCTCCAGTACTGAAAGAAACATTCCTAATAGAAATAGCATTGAACAAAAATCTGACAATGAAAATGAAAAAAGCAGTTGGGTGAAACAGGTTGTCAATAAATTCCAATGAGCTTATATAAAGTGATATTATTGCATTTATACTTCGACTTGACCGCCAATATTTTTAAATGTCGGCTTGTAACCGTTTATATTATTGTTCAATTTATTTGTAACGCAATTAAGTATTCGAATCTTCGTATCTTAACTTGCTATTTGAAATGAAATTATTAACTTGTAATCTTATGGGTATTAATTTTAAAACCTAATACGCTGTAATTTAAAAGTAGTAACAATATTAGCGTTACATATATTTGGAATACAAAACTTGAAAAAATGATTCCGTCTGTTTTGTACTCACATTTTAAAAATCCGTCAACTTATAGCTAACTTAGATTTAGGTTAGATGTATGACGACGCTATTTTGGTCACATTTCTCTGATATCTATAAGGTTAAATCTAGTATGTAGCTAAAATGAACGTCGTATTATTTCAAAATAATATTAAGATAATTGTTAATTATTGTGTAAATATTCAATCTTCTTTAAGCTTTGATATTCGTGCCATAGACAAGAATTATATTTTGGCAAATACATTATCACACAGCCCTATGTGTATGTATATAATCTGTGGAATGCTTATTTTGCTATTGTATTCAAAAAGTGCCATTTGGACATTACACATGTATTTAAATGGAAATTATTAATTTTCATGCAATGAATTGTCTACTTAAAAGTATTTATTTTTCGTTTAGTATTACTTTAAGTTTTTGTTGTGTAGCTACTAACACCAAAAAGTAGAGATGATTGTTTTAGTATTATTTTTTACTAATAAAATTATTCGATAATTTTCTGTTCATTATTCTTTAAATATCTACTCCCAACTTTATATTTTTACTATTAGATTAAGCCAAATGAGCGTAATCATTTGAGTTGTGAGTAGCATAGAATGAGTCACGGAATTTATGCCGAATTCAGAGAGCCTAGTTTGCGTTTGGTGAAGAATTTAGTGGGGGCTAATCGTTCCGTCGAACGGAACGATTAGCCCCCACTAAATTCTTCACCAACCGTTCACTGTGACGGTCGAGTTGATGTTGAAATAACACTAGGCACTCAGTTTCACCCGAAAGTCCTATTTGGGCTGTTTGTACCTACCACACAGTGGCGCAAAATGAGTTATCTGCTGTCCCACGCGCATTATTTCAACCGAATTGAATTGAAATAATAATTATCTAGCAGTTGAGTATCCCTAAGTCGCTGTGTATCTCAGTGTGTTGTTGCTGTCACGCTCGATTCAACACTATCAATACTTTTATATAGCTGTTTAAAATACACCGCTTATAACAAGACTAGTTCATTCATAATAAGAATTTCTAATCCTTTCTACACGAAAGTGTAAACACTTTCGAGGTAAATCGAAAATAATAATAAAAAAATCCTACCGTCATCTAAATAGACTTGCAGGTGAAAATGACAGTGGGTCATTAATGGTGTGCAATCTGAATTGCACTTTAAAATATCGGAGTTAAAGTCGTTTTTATTGTAACCGTTTGCTTTCACTGCCTGTCAATATGTAACACACGAACACCATCGCATTCTGAAATAACAAAACAATAATAATATATATCATGTAACTAATACACACATAATATAACTCGGAAAAAAATCTGCTTAGACTCTCTTTTCATCTGATTGATCAAGAAGCAAGGGCACCGCTTCAACCCAGCAATTAACTTGTCATTTAAATTTGACCAATTAAGCGTATAATACATTTCATAACGTCAATATAAAAAGCTAACGGTGGGTTGATTTGCCAGCGTGCTTGCCGCTAGGTGCCTACGTAACAACTTTGAGTTGCAACAACTGCGAGCCGCAGCACGACATTAGCGAGCGAAACAACACCGCATCTTCGTCCACGCACCGACTTCGCCCAGCTGTGAGACTACACCTCGCGGTGAGGATGGATTAAAGTCACAACCACCTAATTTATAAAACCACTGCGACATAGTATTATTACCCTAGCGCTAGACTCGCTAAAGGTCTAAATCTAAAAAAGAGGACGTAATTTCTGATACAAAGAAATTTGATCGATTTTAATGGCATTTATCTTTGTTTATGTTCAAATCACAATCACATGTGAAATCGCTGTGACTAAAACTAAACCTTTCGGTATATGAATATGATTTAAACAAAAGTAGCAATAATTTTCATGTCTACCTACCCTACTCTACGAGCGCCCAGCTAATTACATTCTTTGTCACCCAAAACCGGGTTGATGGTTTCACTGAGGGATCGAGTATTCGTACATCTTATTTTTTTATTTTTTTTTAATAATAATAAAGTTTATTTCTCTTCCACAAAGGTTCCTTAAAATTAAAACTTCTAAATAAATTGAGAGTACGTTTAATTCCTTTGTGGGAGACTGCTATCCGTATTAGGTGTCCCTGTCACACACATTACCGGGATAAAATTTGCTGACATAGTAACAGGCTACTCTAGAATATTAAATATAGGAAGGAATAACAGATATTTATAGACTATTGTGTGTGTGTGTGTGTGTATTTATAGACTTACAGACTATTGTATTAATTTATAAACTACTAATGTACATGTAACAATAACTTGCTATAAAAATCTTTTTTTTTAAATTCAGTTTTATCTGTTTCTTCCCTGGTGTCCAACGGCAGACTATTAAGACCTGATATGATAATTGTAGTAGGCCAAATCCTCCTTTCTAAGGAGAGGCCTATGTTCAGCAGTGGACTATTAAAAGTTGTTGATGATGATAATTGTACACTCTTGGAACAGTAAATCTGCCGTTGGTGACCCAGCGCGTGTTATAGTCACTATTGACTTTTCTCAAGTCATTCTCATTATTGACTGAAAGTTTGTACTTGTGTTTTAATGTAGGTAACTGGTAGCATTTTACATTTTTTATACAATTTCGTGTAATCATTTTATATTTTTCTGTCGTCTCCGATTGTCAATTAGTAGACTGAGATATGAGTTTATAAAAGATAGGTATCTAACTGGTCAATATCTTTATATTGATGTAATAATTAATAGATTAATATCTACTGACTTATAAGCAAAATAATATAGATACCTCAAGGTGCAAATACAGTTTCTAGGGTACACGTGGTTCTCCGGCTACTAGTACCCGAGACGGCGTGCGGTTTTTGGTCGGTTCGAGTCCGACATAGCCATCGTACTGGTGGGTGGTATCCGAGGGGATTTCCGCACGGGGAAGAAAAAGAAAGGTGCAAATACATTCGGCATAAACTATAACGACACAAGTACATTTAGTATTGATTTATAACTGTTGTAATGAATAATATGACAGCGTATCTATGTTAAATTTTCAAAACCATAGATTAGAATACTGTACTAGTAGACTAGAATTTTTTAAATAATTTCCAGATTTGGAATTATAGTAAAGAACTTATTTCTTATAAACAGCCAACCATATAACCTGTCCGTGTAGTGACGGATTAAGATTACGGAATGTCACTACCCCAATTCATCCCGTGGATGTCGTAAGAGCCGACTAAGGGCGCAAAACAATGCAGGACACCAGCACTGCAAAAAAGAAGGAAAACTTGACACAAACCCTATACCAACCCGTCTGGCCAGCGTGGTATAGTAGGCCAAAACCTCTTTTCTAAGGAGAGTTATGTCCAGCAGTTTACTACGAGAATTAAAGGCTCTTGATGATGATGATGATAAACAGCCTAGGTTCAAACTCATATTCATGAAGGTTGTGATCAGTAATCAAGTAATATAAGTATTAGATAAGTATCCCCACACTGTTAAACTCTCAGTTAGCAATTCTGACAGACTCTGGAGGTGTTCTTTCTAATGAAAACATTTTTTTTAATAAAAGACAACCCCGCACTAGGAATATATCCTGTGTTGCGGGGGACTTTACAAACACACTTGAAACGGACACAAAGAACACCCAGACTCAGAACAACAATTTGTGGATTACGCAAAGTGTCGTCTCATGTGAGGATCGAACCCATAACACTCAGCGTAGTAGGAAGCGGTGTGGCGACCACTTAAACCATTACGCTATCCGTGAATAATAAAGGCATAAAAAGTAAGTGGCACGCCTTGTCTTAAAACACAGTTATTGGTGACTATTCACTCTCAAGAGTCCGTTGTTTAAGTTCTCTTACTAATTACATTGTATAAATATGTAAGCTGTACCTACATAAAATACAAATACATTCGGGGACCGATGTGTGTGTATTTTAAGCGTTACCATCAAGACTAAGACTTATCAATAATTGTTTACACTTATTTGCAGTGCCAGGATACATCTATTTAAGTATGATACTCAAGAACTACGATGATATACATACATACAGTTACAAATTATTATACAAAATTAAATTAAAAATATGTAATTGATTTTCCGGTACTTGTCAAATGTGTCAGTATGTATATGGATCAGTGGGCTGAGTTCGTAAAACCGAACGTGGTCACCGTGACGATCGAGTAGAAGTGAAATAAACTCGCACTTGGCCCTCAGGGGACCTAGTGTGAGTTCATTTCACATTAACTCGCTATCGACTCGACGGCGGCTGGCGGTCGCGGCGACACCATCGAGTTTGTGTGAAATAAACATACACTAGGCCCCCAGATAACTGTACCTATCTATTGAGCAGTTTGCACTTTACACAGCCGAGGAATAGCAGAACTGTCTCCGAGTTTAGTGAGGAGGATGCAAGGGCGTGATAGCGAGTCAAGGATATCTTCTTGAGACATGAATAACGGCGGATAATCTATAAATAATATTACAATACTTTCAATCTACAATACGTATTACGTACCATAATACGTGACGTTTCTGGTATCTTAGTGGTGTTATACCTGCGTATGTATATAGTATAAAGTGCGATATTATCTATACCGTACCGGCACCGAAAATCACCGGTTCCACATCGCATGACTGCCATCGTCAAGTTTATTTCTAAGGCACTTTCATCTTTGCATGTCTGCGGCGACGGATTATTTATTACAATAAACAAAGTTCTCAGGAACGTCGGCCTTGTAGAACAACTGTTTTCTTATATAATTGGGGAATCACTAAGCACCATCATCGTTCACAAGCTTGCAGTTTAAAGTGTGCTAGTTAAGGAGTTGAACCTTTTTTTTTTTTTCTTTTTTTTTTTTTTCCGTTCGGAAATCCCCTCGGATACCACCTGTCGGTGGCATGTCGGACTCGAACCGACTAAAACCGCACGCCTTCGCCGGGTACTAATAGCCGGGGAACCAGGTATACCCTAGAAAGGAAGTCCCTGGTGCCCCGACATACCTCGGGTCATCTACAGACGAGTAGACGACCCCCCCCCCCCCCGTGTGGGAACCCCATGTTCCCTGTGCTCCCTGGAAGCGAGCGCGCTTCGCAACAATAGTATATTCGAGTGTGGTGGTTAATGTTTTTTAATATTAATAATAATTATAATAACACACACACACATTTACACATTTTATAAACAGAGGTCTGGTCCCAAACTAGGCACATAACAGCCTGCGCTATGGTAAACTGTTGTTAAACTTCCATACTTTTATTATAAATGTGAATTTGTTGTTTGTTACGCTATAATTGCAGAAAATAACCTAAATTTAAATACAAAAATAAGAGGCCTGTGTAGGCCCTTGTGGCCGTATTTCCGTAAACATGAGGTAACTTCGTCTATCTAATTATGCGATGATTCACAACGTTAAACGTTATGATTTGTGGTCCGGCCATATTGTCGCGTGATCGTAAACGTATATTCCCTCCAAAACGTTATTACTTCGTCTTCGATGCACGCAAGATACTGCCTGTCACCAAGTCGAGGAGGTTGAGGTCAAAAGTTGATTGGGTTTTGTCTATAATAGCCTAATTAAGCCTCTTGTGGCGATATTTTTATGATTATGGAGAATAACTTTTTTGAAAGAACGGAAAGCTATGGAAACGTATGTATACTAAAATAAATTCGTAGTTCCCAAAGATCTGACGGCCTCGTGTGAGTTTATTTCATATCAACTCGATCGTCACGGTAACCGCGTTTGGCGTTGCGATTGGCCAGCCCTGAGGGCCTTATGTAAGTTTATTTCACATCGAATCGAGCAAGCCCTCTGCTAAAGATGTTGACTTAAGTGTCGATCTAATGACATGGTAGAACCAAACGTATTTAGTTATTTAAAGTTCTGAGAACTGTCCTCTACAAACTTTGTTTGTATTTAAAAAGCTCTATAACCTACATTAAAGTATATTTAAGTATGGAAAGTGGAAGAAACCACTTAGCGCAAATAGACATTTAATTTCATGATGTTTTACTTTTTAATAAGACTTTGTGAAATTACAGGCAACTATTATATTAGCAACTATTACATTATATTAACTTTGTGAAATTACAAAAAATGAGGTGTCACCTATGATTAGTCAGTTGGACCATTGGAGACTTCATTACATTTATTCAAATATTTCGAATTAATATTGTAAGTATTGGTGACTCTACAATAAATAAAATAAGACAAATAGAATTATAAGTTTCGTAATTCATGTTTTTATGCTGGTAAGTAATATTAATTCGAAATCTTTGTATTTTGCATACCACCTCCTTGCCTAGCCATCCTGAAAAACTTTTCCATTGCAACGAAACAGGCTTACGATCATGTTGCGTGCAAAAGAGACAAAACACAGGAAGAGGAGAAAAGTTCTTTTAACGAAAACTCATTCCTTTTTAGACAACCTTGTCTATAGGTGGTAACGCGCGCAATGCCATTATATTCGAAAATTCAAATTTATAAATAAACGCGGTACTATTGAAAACATTCATTTTAAAAGATTACGCCAGGCATAAATTTGTCATCGTTTTTGAATATAAATCGTTGCTAAGATAGTTGGCGTGTCAAGTGATAGGAATGGGCTCGACAAGTTACATAACAAAACCAAAGACAACGGGGTATAGAGTGAAGAGCGGCTCCAGTGCCGGCTCCGACAAAGAAATGAGCGGGAAATTGAAGCGAACAAAAATTCGGCAAGTAAACTCGATCTATTAAAATAAACTTTATATTTTAATATTCCTTTTTAGTTAAAGTTTTGAAATGAAGTGATAAATACTTACAATGTTTCACATTTATTAGTACGTAAATAAATAAATAATAATAATTTACCAATTATTATTATTTATTTTAATTTCATTTAATTTTTAGACATAGCTTTTTTCGAGTTTAAAAAAGGGGTTGATTTTGAAAAAGGGTTTTTAGCTAATTGTAATTTCAATATAATAATTTTCATTAAGGATGCCTGAAAGATATTGCATTTAGACAGGTCGCCTTTTGTATATTGTCTGTCTATGTAAAAATTCTATCACTTCACTTCTATTGTAAAAATGGTGTACAATAAATGAACACTTTTCTAACTAAATTAAAAAATATAAATAAAATTAATAAATAGTAAACGCGAATCCTTTCATTTTGAAATTGATGATTTGGAAATGCGATTTAGGAATTACGCTTTAATCTCATTTATCTTCGTAATTGGTGTTAAAGACAACATTAAAACTTAAAATGTTACTGTTTCTGTAGTATGAAAGCAGAGGCGTTGCTAGATAACCCAAGGCCCTGGTGCAAAAAAAACTGGGGCCCCACTCTCATTTTCTCAGTTTTGAATGGAATCTAAACGGTACTTTTTTGAAAATGAAATTAAAACTGTGATTCCCCATACCTAAGCTAATCTTTTTACTGGTTCTCTGTAGTTTTTCAAAAATTAAACGACGTCATTATCTTATCATTATTTACCAATACGCCAAATTAAAAAAGCTGCACTAATACCTTAAAGTCGTGTTACAACTTATTTTCATTACATGCCAAAGGTGGGAGAAGTTTTAGCTAATTCAATACAAGGTTTTCTGGTCAGGGTCCGAGGCCCCCCTAAACTTGGGAGCCCAGGTGCACAGCACTGCTTAGCCCTACGGTAGCTACGCCACTGTATGAAAGCCGTGCGAGTGAGAGCTTTAGTAACTAATGTAAATCAAATGTTGTAGATATTCACGTTGTACATTCTGGACTGTACATTTGTTCGTCACGGATTTGGTGTTGGCGCAATGTGTATTGGCTATGGGGTTTGGCTGGCATAATTTCGGCTAGCTCCTTGCCTTACACCAATCGTTTTTCGAGGGCACATACATTACATATCCTTCATTTATTCTTAAATGATTTGTTACAAAGTTAAGAAAACCTGTTTTGTTTTATCTTCATGTGAAAGTTTTTTTCATGCTTAGGTGCGCACTAGTCGAGCAATAAAAAAATAATAGGACACACCTTCGTGCGCGAGTCCGATTCGCACTTGGTTGGTTTTTTAAATGTCGTGAGCCCATTTTAGAAACGTTTTTGTCCGTTAAACCGCTGCATGTTGTAACAAACGACTACGAAACCCTACACTGCGCGTGGTCCGACACATTTTTAATAAAGAGTATACACTGTGAGTTTGAAAACTCTACTACCAAAAAAAACGAAGTTTCTTATAAATTTCATTTGGCACTCTTAGAGGTGAAATTTAAAAAATCCTTTCTTAGTGTACACAAACGTCACCTAAGGAATATTTGTACAAAATTTAATCCTTTTAGACTCAGCGTATTCAGATGTTCGTTGATCAATCTGTCAGTTTCTTCTTTTATAATACAGATAGATTTATCTAACTGATGGATAAACCACTTAAAAATCCGTTGCGTGGATTACAAGGTTTTTTTACTTTCCAGACCTAATATTGAATCAAGAATTCTTATCTGCATTAAACGCATACCTAATTAATTTTGGTGCATTAATTTTGATGTACCGTCACTAGGGGTGTATTTACCACAACAACCGTTACCATGACAACGGCTCCGTGTAATCGATACCTGTTCTCATATCACCGCACTCGATACGACAGCGCAATGCGCAACACTAGTTCCACACACGAAATTTGATTTTTATTTATTATTTTCTTTTTTATTTCGAATTTTAAATATGTTTTCTGTTGACCGTTAAGTGCTGTTAAGTTTTTAATTATGTATCATACGAATTATTTAAATAGGCGTCCGAGCAAGATGAATGAGTATGGATTGAAGAGAATACCAGATTATACAGAACTGGCTTATAAAGAGGCTGTGTCTAAATTAAGATACTTCTTGTCTGGAAACTATGCACCAAGTGTAAGTATTTTTTACTTAAATATCGTTATTAGTTTTACTATTCGCCAGTAAAGTTATAACAATGCGTTAGTTCTTTGCGGTTTTAATACGTAATTTGATACCAACTGATGTAGAAAGATCTATCGCATACTACCAATCAATAAAAAAGGAGATCGCGTACCACAAGCGTCCCGTTTTTTAATAAAATACTGCGTATGTAATAAAAACGTTTACCTACAAAATCTCGAACATTATATGGTAAATACTTTTGGCAAAAACAGAATTAATAACTCAAAATTATGCTAAAAAATATCAAAATAAAAAAGTAGTTGACACTGTTCAAAAACTGTTACAATTTTTTTTCTCCATTTTTAGTGAAATAGTTACTTCGGTATCTTGTAAAGTAGACTTTTTGACTTACGCATTCACTGACTTTACCTATCTCTTAAAAACAATTATATTTCATAAAGGACTTGATGCCGATGTTTACGGTTAATAAAGCAATAACAATTGCAAACAGTTCATTCATAAAATGAACATTCGCTAACATATTTTATGTCCTCAAAACAAAATAACATGAAACTTGAAGCTTTCCATGGAAATGTTGATTTTAAATACTCTGTTTGTCGACATTAGTACTTTGTTCCATACTTTACATGGTGTTTTTATTTGTGGGCAATAGTAAGTGTCCTGTACTTTATAGGCGTCAGTGAATGTATTCTTTTTAAATTAAAGTTTAGCTTTAATTAAAGATAATAAAAGAGAAAACAAAAAAAATGTGTGAAAAGAGATGCACTCTCTGCCTCTAAATCGTCGATATACTCGTAGCTTCATAACCAAATAAGCTTAAGACATAATTATTGTATTGTCATCTGTAAATATGAGATTTCAAAATGATAGGACAATTTAAAGTAGGTTAATGTTGACATAGTAATTTGATACATCTCACACATAGACTGATCCCAAACTAGGCAGTGCCTGTACTATGGTAATCAGACTGCTGATAAACATACTTATATAATATATTTTTAAAAACATGTATGTTGAGATAAATAACACTCAGGCACTTAAAAAATGATCGTGCTCATATGTGATAGTGCTCATATAATTAGTGTCCGATGTGGGAATCGACCCCCCCAAGATCTCTGGCTTAGCGGTTCACTAGACAAACAAGGACAGTGTGCAATATAATAAAATCATGAGTAAAAATACAAATGTGTACCTCTAGGTCCGAAGCTATGGCGGTTCGGCGTCCATCAAGAACCTGGATGAATCAGACGGCGATATGGATAAGAAGTACACCAGTTCTTATACCCTGGCGGAACACAAGCCACGTCCGAGGCTCACGGCTAAGTATACGACGTTGTATGCAGATAGCCTTAATACACCGCATTATACACCACATCACACCACTACAGCTGGTTAGTAACAGACTAAATTACCATATTACAGTCCATTTTGTTATTTTAGAATATAGAGATAATAGCGCAGAAGGTCACTCGATGGTAAGTGGCTACAGCCGCCCATGTGCACTCGCACATCAAGAGACACCAAGTGCCTAGCCGCCCTTTGTGTGCCCACCCCACGATCAATCATTTAGGTACCATACAGTTTAGGGACATCAGATGCCTGAAAGCAGAAGAAACGGCCGCCCACGTTATCCTGAAATACGAGGGAGTGGCCACACACAAGGGGCAAGTATCATACCTGATACAAAATCAATCCTAGAAGCCTGTGAACGCCCCAGGAGGTTTTTGCGCTTTTGGAAGGAGATTGGTAGGCTCACCTAACCAACCTTTCCTCGCTTTAGACATTTCCCAATTCATGACCAACCTAACTCTGTGGAAGGGCATTCACAGGGTTCCAACGCACTTGTGACTCTCGAGTTGCATGTAAACATGGGCGGTGGTAGTCACTTACCAGGTGACCTGTTTATACGCTTGTCGCCCATCCCAAAAAGACCCAAAAAGACAGTGGCAATCCAAGAGTGCCGAGAAAAGTGAAAACTTATATACAGAGGTGTCGTTAACGGTAACAGTGTCGCGTGTTCAATTGTTTTTTCCATTAAAAAAAATGCCCAACGCGCCTAAAGAAGTTTTCACTTCAACAGAGGTGTCGATGACGGTAACAGTGTCGCAAATATGATGATTTTTTTTCCATTTCAAAAGATGAGTTTTTTGTTAAACCATGAAATACACTATTTTATTTGTTGTTCAAAAATGCTCAACGCGTCTAAAGAAGTTTTAACTTCAAAAGTGTAAAAAAAAATGCCTGAGCACTCAGTGTGAATATGTGTATATAACTTTGAATTATTAAAAATAATTGTTAGCAGTTCCACCACCTCCAGCCGCCGCGTCCACAGCTGGTGCAGACCTAAGCGGTGGCACAAGCCCTGATGTCATCAACTTTATTCAGAAACAAGAAGAGTACATCGAACAGCTAGAGAGAGAAAGTCAATACTGCAGGGTATGTAATTCCAATAGAATGCTGTCGGTCATAATCTAGCATTGTTATACCCATAGTGATAGAAGAAAAATATATTGGTTCTGCCTGAAATAAAATAGAAGAAGTTTCCTTAGCAAATGTTTTTCCTGTACCTCTTACCTCTTGTGGAGGATTAGCACGGATTTCAACAAATAACAGCAGAGATGCCCTTGCAAAGCTCTAAGTACAGAGTGGAGATGATTATCAAATTAACTTAAAGCTGGCGACGATATCAATGACAATGACGACATGCAGCATTTAATGCATCGTTGCATTGCGGTAATTAATACTTCAGGAACCTGAAAACCGTTGTATATGAGAACCCCCTTTTCTCTTCCAATATACTCCCGTAGTCTCGTAAAATAAGGTCTGAAAACAAAATTTACATTCAACCCTTAAACTTAAAACCTCCCTCGGTTAATTTTCACCGGAGGAATAAAGTCAAAAGTTTTTATTTGAAATTTGTGCCTATTTTTTGAGTCTGGGTCCGTTTCATGTATGTTTGTAAACATTGTAAACACAGGATACATTCCTAGTGCGGGAGTTGTATTTTTTTTTTAAATTTAATGCTTGACTTTAATTGCCGTAATATCAGCATTTTGTTCCTTAGGATGAGCTCAACAATCTTCTTGGCAAAGTAAAAGAAGTCATATCAGAGAATGAACACCTTCACGAAGCACAAAAGAACAAATTGATCTCTCGCATGTTCCACTCCTATGCCGGTTCTGAGAGTGATGAGCTGGATGACCTGGGAGACAGTACTGGTTTGGATAGTGATAATAAGGTAGGTAGCATCCAGACAGGTCATCCTTGTAGATTAGTTACTAACACTACAAGCCTTTCACTTTTTCAAGGTTTTCAATGTTAAAATAAAATAGAAATTTAGCTTCTGCATTTGTGTCTGTATGCTTGCGCGTGTGTATATATATATATATGTGCGTTTGAGCGTATGTTCGTGTTACAACTAACTCCGAAGTTCTAAACTTTTAAAATCACACTTGATTCGTCACTATTTCAAGTGTCAATAAGAGACTAACTTAATCTAAAATGATTTTGTATACCTAATCGATCAGATAATCAATCAGATAAAGTATTTGGTTATAGATAAAAGGAATCCTAAGAGTTTTAGCTGCTCCATGTCACTTCTAGTATTGTTTTTTTTTGTAGGTAACTCCATCAAAAGGTCGCAGATCCACCAAGTCCCGTTCCACCAAACTGGAAGGTCCCAACATCGTGTTTGAATCTCGAATTGCAGAGTTAGAAGCTCAACTCACACAAGCGAATATTGATTTGAAGAAAGTTCAGGTATTATTCTTGGAAAATGATCTTTATTGGGTAGGACTACTCTCTAATTACCTGTTGACAAGTGACTATGCTCATGTACACATGCCAGCCCTTTGAGTCTTACCAAATCCTATGCCCCCCCGCCTCCCTATAGGATTAGGAGTGGGACCTCAAGTAAAGTCACTTACTCTGTGTAAAGTAAAGAAAGAATTTCTTATAGCATTGATTGTCTGTAAAGCCGTGGTATGTGCGGAAACATGGTTCTCATTCATCAAGTCATATTCAGAAAGTACATTAGGCCTTTGACACCTACAAGCCTCCTTCTATCTTTTTAACAGCAATGATTTTATCTGCGGCACAGTGTAAACTGGGCCTCAATTCTGCTATTATCAATAGACTGTCGATGGAATGTCGTCGGAATAGTTTTGCACATTTCCTATTCTACTAACTATGTAAGACCAATGGCCTCCCGATGACTTGTCACTGATACAAATGTTGGCGATGACTTTGTAACAGTTTGTTAAACGGTTTATTTTAAATGTGTAAGAAAATGATATATTTAATTTTCCAGGTACGGCAATGTTGTTGATTTGACCAGTGATGACCTTTATTACCATATCGACAATCTATTGACACTGTGTATTTATGTTAGTAGAATACTGATGTTTTGACCGATGTCTATGGCGTCTCAATGGCATCTCAATACCGTGTCAATGGAATGACAGTGGCTTGGCGTTAACATAAAATAGCTGAATTGCGGTATCCCTTATGAGTAGGTACTCGTAATTGTTAAAGAGTCTAAATATGTGTTGTGTGGTTCTTCAGGAAGAAAATAATGAGAACAAGCGCAAGCTGGCTTCTGGGCTCGTTGATTCAACTTGCCTTGATGGCTTCAAGCGGCAGATTGAGAATCTACAAAGGTAAGCTATATTAAATTCTCATTTTTTTTATATCAAAAGCTATTTATCGATTCCCGTGTAGGAAGTTTTAATTGTAAATTTGACAGTAGTTTCGAAATTAATCATGGATTTTCGGCAATATTTAAAGGTCTTTTTTTATTATAATTCACTGTTTATACCCTAACTATGGTCAATATTAAAAAAAAAGATGACTCGTTAAAAAAATGGGCTCATAATGATCGCGTAAAATTATTTAAAAATGAAAGTTAATTTGATTATTACTTTTTCTTTTCACTCAATTTTTGTGCAATTTAGAGATAAATCGTCCCTGGAAACCCAAATCTCGAAACTTAAGCTCAGCTTGGAACAGAAAGACGACGACGGCAGATACAAGCGGGGTTCTGACGTAGTGGAACAACAGCTTAGAGATGAGCGAAATAACTTGGAAACTGAACTTAGGAGGCTCAAGGTATAATAAAGATAAAAATTTTTTACAATATAGGGGGCAACGAGCAGACGGGTCTACTGATGGCAAGTAACTACCGCCGCCCATGGATACTTGCTATTTAAGAGTCACAAGTGCTTTTGAACCTCCTCTCCCTTAGCATCAGAAGTAGGGGGAGGGGGTTGGGCTCCAGTAACTCACTCACTCGTTGAAAACTAACGTAATAATGCTTAACACCAGTTTTTTCTGTGAGGCCGGTTATAACTTCGGTTGAGCCTGGCGCATATTTGCCGAAACACATCTCCCATGGTCGATATTAGATAACTATTATTCTCTTCATTTGAAGGATGAGTTAGCCAAAGAGCGCAGCAAAGTCCGTGAGCTGGCCGGTGAAGGAGCTCGCCGCGCTATTCAAGAACGGAGTGCGGCCGAACAACGTTACAATGCTCACTTCGACGAGCTGCAACATGACCTGGCGGCTCAGTATGACAATGTTGCAAAATTACAGGTAGGTGTCCATTTTATTGGTCATTTTTCCTCAAAGCTTAAACATCTTGAGCATCCAAATCTAGTCACTGTATAATACAAAGTTTTGTTTAATAATATCGCAGACCACAATGCACTTACATCATGACGAATAAAGTTTACTCTTCATTACTTAATTTTTTATCATAGAGGAGGCATTTTTCTTCAAATTGAAATAATAATATTTCGGGCATCTGTCACACAACACCATCTAGTTTCGAACTAAGCACGGCTTGAATTATGAAAGGTAGATAAATACATACATACTATACATATAAAACACCGAAACTCCAAAACAAATATTTGCAGATCATAGAAACCCGGGAATCGAACCCGAGACCTCAGCACCAAGGCAGTCATGTGTGGAAATGGGACCAAACATACCTTCCTAAATAAAAATTCTAAATCAATTCATAAATGACAAAATTCTGAGGTAAAACCATTAAAAAAATACAACCTAATTGAGAACGTGCTCCTTTTGTTGTAATCAATAAAAAATATACGACCACAGACAAGAAATCAATGTGAGGAAATGTGTATTTTAGTTTTCGGTAAAATTTCCAACATCTAATATAAATAGAGAACAGGACTATGAAATGTCAAACTAGTTAGACTTATGTTACATTGAACAGATGGATTTGGAACGTCAACGTCGCGAGGAGAATGAGTTGAAGCGAGAGATCTCCATGAAGAATGCGGCCATTGACGAGCTGAAGATGGAACTGAAGAACAAAATATGTTGGTATAATCTTATTCGCCCCTATATTCACTTATTACCTGGGTTTCGGCACTTAAGGGGGGGAGGTCTAGGGGCGGAATCGTATTAGTGTCTATTGAGTTGCAGTTGTCTATGGTGGCGGTTGTCACTTACAATCAGGTACCAATATATACCTTTAAATAGGCATATTTAAATCTTGCCTTCCAGAAGGATTAATTTAGAGTAATGTAACAGATAAAACATGGACGCTTGTCTATTCATGACTCATCACTCATGGCTGAACCAGTCTAAGGGATGTACATGTTCTTTTTATTTCAAATATGGGCGTTGGGGGTTCGTTAATTAGTTATATAAAAGTTCTTTTACCTGTTAAATAAGAGTGTCTAATTGAATTACTGAAAAATGAGAAAGCCAGAAGTGATATACTACATTAACTCCTGTTATAGCATCATTGCAAGCGGACCTGGCTCAAGCTCACGCTGAAAAGGCTTCTCTTGATGAAGAGTTAGCCAGCGCCCGCCTCGCAATAGAACGTAACCAAAGACAAGCGAAGCACGAAGCTAATAGACTCAACTCTGAGGTAAGTAGATTATCAAATTTTTTATTATCTCATTGGTAAAATTACGTCATCGCTACAAAATATCCCCCCCCCCCCCATGGTTTTTAAAGCCATAATATTTTTAAAAGGCATAAGTGCGTTGTTCATAAGGCGGCGAAGTACTTATGACTCTTGAGTTGTAGATGTCCGTGGGCAGCTATAATCACTTAACATTAGGTGACAGATCTACTCGTTTGCCCCCTATATAATATAAAAACTAGTTTTCATTGCTTGCATTGAGTAAGTGAGGTTATCGTCGACCCAATCCACTCCCCCCTTAATTCTGGAGGGAGGGCCTCTTAAAGGGGGGCAACGCTCTTAATGATCACTGTTCTAACCTAACCTCACTCAATTATATCAATACTAGCTTTAGCCCTCGGCTCCGCCTGCGTGTATGTCGGTTATCGCGGTAAAAAATATGTCCTATGTCCTTTATTAAGAATCAAATCATCACCATACCAAATTTCATCTGAATCGGTTCAGCGGTTATTGATTTCCCATACAAACAAAAAAAAAATGTCCCGTGTTTTTTTCCAGGACTCGGACGATTTCTGTACCAAATTTTGTCTAAATCGGTATAGCGGTTTAAGCTTAAAGAGGTAACAGACAGACAGACACACTTTCGCATTTATAATATTAGTATGGATATGACGCAGCAGTCAAAATATCAACCATTGACCATGTGATATACACAAATAATTTTTTTCTGTTAAGTCATTTGTCTACCTGTTACAGTCTGTTTTAACCAAAGGTAAAAAATGATTTTTTAAATGACAACGAACAGATTAGAATAAAGATTAATCTCTGATTCTACTATTTTGATGATACGTACACCATCCCTTACACCCACCATCCAATACATCCATATTTTGTAATGAAACGACAGAATTTTTGTTTTTAAACTTTACATTGTATAATAATTTTTTCCTTTGATTTGTATTATTATTTATGGCCTTTCAAACTCTTAGTTTAAAAACGGTGATATACTTGTTGTGAGGTTTTAGTTTTGTTTTAATTTATTTTAGATTCAATCTCTTCGTCAACGCCTGGATCGCGCTGACGCAGATTTAGTTCATTCACGTCGTGAGAATCTACGCCTGTCTGAACAGATCGCTAATCTTGAGAAAGAGGTATAAAATTTGTCTTGAAATTTTTGAATTACCTAAATATTTTTATAACCAGAAAATGCCTCATTTCATCGGGCTGAATAACAATAAAGTGTTGTATTAATAAATAAAGATAATTTCACAGCAAACAATGAAGAATCTTACTCCCATATCTCCGGAGAAGAACAAAAAAGAAAAAGAACTATCTAGCGTGTTGGAGTCGATGGAGAATAAACACGGTACGTACTAATCTTACTTTTTTTAAATATTAAAATTTTCAATTTCCTTCTCAATATTATGGCATATAGTATCATTTAACAGGCAAACTATTGATGTTTTGACATATTACTCAGATGACATTGGATCTTTAACTCCAAAACATTCATACTTTACCATTACATCTTTTGTGCTTGCATGTACTTCTATAGAGCTATGAAAGGGCTTACTTATTTTTTAACTTTCAATAGTTTATTCATCAGATTGTTTGAAACTTGCCCTTGAAGTAGTGTCCACAGATAAGAGTTAAAGCTAGAACATTTGGTTCCACAGCTAAAACGGTGGCTGAGTTGGAGTCCATGATACATTCACAAAACAGTCTGATGGAGAAACTCACCGGCGAATGTCGTTTGCTCACAGACAAGCTCGACGACGCAAATCGTAGGCACAAGTACGAACAATTTCAAATCTTCTAGCATGATTTATAGCATGTACTTTAATAGAATCACCCATTTTAATGTTTATTGCTGCATGTCATTACCCATTTAAAGTATCCTAACGTCGTGCTGTGTTTTTATTGGTAACAGGCAGAGCGCAGAGTCGCAGCCGATCAGACGAACCAATCAGAACACAGCGCGACTGTTCAACGTCTCGCGATCGAGTTCGCCGTTCCAAGCGCCGCTCCGAAAAAGAGTCCGATTCGTCGAATAAATGTCCGCCAATCATAATTGGGCCGTTGACGACAAATCAGGATCTCGCTGACACCAATGGAGAAAAAATATACAACCTACCACTTATGATACAACAACCCTTTTTACGTGAGAAAAAGGAGCCAATTAAAGTTGACATAAGTGTAAAATTAATACCTAAATCAAGGAAGAAGGAGAAGAAAAGACGAGGGGCTCAGGTAGATGAAATTGTAGGGCAGGCCGATGAGTATAAAGGTGTCAATAATAGTATTAGTATGGAGGTGTCAGACAGAGATGTCCATGTTCTGAATGAGACGGTAGAAATTATAGAAGAACCGAATAGTGATGCTAATGTAGTTCAAGATGATTATAAATTAAACGAAGACGCTCAGAATACTGAAAGTAGTAATGAACCACAGCTAGAAAACGCTTCTACACCACTGGAACCCAAAAATGATCTTGATGACGTTGTTCCTATGAAAACTGATGATAACATATTATTTGAAGATACTAAAGAGAATAATGATGAACAGGAAGGATCTGTTTTAAAATCAGAAAATACGGAAAGTATAATGGAAGAGGCTGTCAAAGATAATGATGGGGATGGCGAATGAAGTGCTTTTACAGAGTATTTTGAAACTGACTGAGCAAAGGAATTGACAACGTGAATCATGTATACAAGTAGAGCGCGTGGTTATACCTAGATTAGATTTAAGAAGCACTGGTATTCTTATTTTCAATGGTTTACATATTATCATTCATGATTATGTTATTACTGAAATCCCTAATAAGTGCAATATTGTTTCAAAAAATATTTTTAGTTTATAATTACAATACCCAAAATTTATGACATTCCAAATAATGCAGCAGTTGACTACCAGTGTTATACATTTTAGGAAAACTTATTAATGTTTCTGCAATGTAGATGTGATAATTAGCGCTTTTAATGTTATCTATTGCGTTTTGTTTAACTTTATAATTGTTTACCTCTCGATGTTGTGAGAAAGTATTTTAAATGGGTAATGAAAATTTAATGTGCAATTAAATAGTTCATAAAACAATTTTTTTGATAAATTTATTTGTAAATTTCAAAGAAGCTATAGTATGTTTTTCATTCCCAGCTATAGAAAGAGCACAATTCTAAAAATCTTATTTTTTATGTTTTTTAAAACGTGCAGCAAGACTAGAAAAAAATCATGATATCTCAACTTAACTTGGAAGATAACTAAAACAATAAATGTCAATAAGAATTGATTTCTTTCTATGGTTACTATAGTTTTTACGAAATTCACTCACAAATTTCCATTTCAGAGCAGAAAAAACACAATTGCTTTGCAGAAACGCTGAACTCATGAGAAAGCTTAGAAGCTTATGGTGTTCACATAAGAAGTATTGCACCACCATTACACCTTTGCGAAGCTACACCCCACTGAGCGGCTATCCGAACAGTCGGGCCTCTTACGACTTAGATCGCACGTACTACACGTCCACCCCTAACACTTATAGGTATAGGTTTAGAAGAACAGATAGCCTGAATGATTTAAGGGATGATGTGGGTGGTTTAACCAGAAATTTTAGCGATCTATCGATTGATAGATTATTTGATTCCGATAGCGATCCTATTAAGGTGAGTGAAATAAGTAAATTAGATAGTGTTGTTGCCGTAGTTGCAGAATCGGCGTGTGCAACGATCGCATGTTTTGTTGTTAATTTGTGGCACTTTAAATGCATGATTAGATATTTTGTTGATATGCATAGCTAACGATAATTTTGTACATATTATACAAACTAAATGAACTAAAGGATAACGTAGTTTCTATACTAAATTAGGCTACGTTATTCGCTACAAGAAGTAAAGTAACTGTCAGAAAATTATGAATTTAAAAAATCTCTTGGCTGATGGAGCCATTATCTGAAGACTTTGATAAAGCTTTTAAGGGATTTATATATACATTCTGAGTTAAATTATTGCCAGAGATCATGTTTTAAAACTTTGTTAGTTTATTTGCAATTTACAAAAGTTAAAGATATGCTTTAATGTTAATACTTGTCACGTTGTGTGTTTGTGTGTTTACACGTGTGTGGGTGCAGGCAAGAACTGGCCACTCTGCAGCGTCAAGTAAACGGCCTGACGCTCACATTGCAGACACCACATACACCTAATACTTATCAAGGTATGTATGATAAATGTCTTAAGCTCAACTAGTTACTTTTGCTAGCCTATGTGCTGAGTTTATTGATGCCTGACTTGTCTGACTTGCAATTTGTATTGGATTTATACTATTATTCAAGGGGATCATGACGCTGTAAGCGACACACTCATTCCGGAACTTTGATCTAAAATTTGAAAACGGTTACACGCTATGTACACGAGCCCTGACCGGCCCGGGGTCCGTAGGAATACCTCTCTAAAATATATAATCTTTTACTGCAACTTAACATCATATATCTGCTGAGCAATCATGATGATCGTAGTGAAGATTGCTATGGCTACGATCATATCTAATAAATTGTCATTAAATATAAGTGGAATTTATTTCATTCAATGTACCTTTTATGTGTTAGGACGTATTAGAATTTGGGGGCGCTAAATAATTCATTATATTTTTAGGTAGGCAAATTTTGATAAATTGTGTGTGTGTGTGTGATTTTTAGGTAGGCAAATTGTGTGTGTGTGATAATTTAGTTACTGTATTTTTTCTAGCACATCCCCCGCACACAACCCCATCAGACAGAAATATTGCACATTCCCCGTCCAATAACGGACGCGACTATCCCAGAAGTGAGCCCCCCGGACACCCCACAGACGAACCGGTCGGACCTATCACAGCACTCCCAGCTATCAAACGAGACGATCCCTACGAAACTGCTCGAGTAACTGAAGCCAATGTAGAACCTGACAAAGAAACGGACAATTTTGTCGATGAAGAAGAAACCACCTCAGAAGAAACTCGCAACGTAAAAGATTATGAAGATTTAGAATATCCTCAAAAAGAAGAATCGGAACACGAGCCTGAAACTAAAATCAAACAGGATGCTGGTAAACCAATGGAAGTTGAGCAAACATTGGAATATGATACCCAAAATTATCCATACAATCAGAATTATGAGCAGACACAAGAAACTGTAGACCCACAATATCAGAATCAGTATGATCAAAATTATGAACAACCGTATACTGAGCAACAACAATATGAAAATTTCGAGCAGTATCCGCAACAGTTTACTGATCCAAATACACAGTATGACCCGGCCTACGAAAATTATCAAACAGATTCCAATTATCAAGGTGATCAGAATTATGATGTGTCGCAATATGGACAAGAATATCAAATTGATCAGAATGCAGAAAATTATAATAAATCACATAACGAAAATCATGATCTACAGAAACAAGATGATCCAAATACAGAAACGATACAAAAAGAGAAAGGTTTTGAACAAAATGGTAGCAGCAGAGCACAAATCGATAATAATCCTAGTCAAAGTTAGCAAATTAATTTAATTTATGTTGTTTTTATTTGTGCAATAATTTGTTATTAAATGCTTTTGTTTTACGTATATGTGCTAGTTTGTATTATTATATTGTAGATAAGCTTTTAATGTCAGTTGGAAAAGAAAATATATTAGAAAATGGACTTATTTACTTTATACTACCACCTGGACACCTGCAACTTCATGATGCAATTACATTACCACCCTTTGAGTACTTTTGAGTACCTCCAGGTTCAGGAAGGACGGGTTGGATCTGTTTTTTTTTATGTGAGGCTGTGGTATCATTAGTAGGTAAACCCCTCCCCCTCCCCCAAATGGTTAATTTTCTTCGTAAAAAACTCACTCATTCGGCGAAAAGCAACAAATGAATTACTTAAGACCGCTTTTCTGTGTTGCCGAGGTATCATTCCAGTAAAGTCGGCCAAATGTGCCCGACTTATTTACATGGTATAAACTACTGTTTGAAGAGCGACGTTTAAAAAGCATTATTCCTCATGATCGGGGAATTTTGTTGAGAAAAAAATTGAGTTTTTCATATAATTGATACTATACACATGTATAAAACCATGACGAACATGATTCGCACACTCGCTGCTTCGTTGTGACTTACACATACGGTACACACAATATGCCCTTAAATCACAAGATTTCGTATCAGAATGTAGAGCTATTTCTTGTCTCTAGCTTATGGATCATTTTGCAGGTTATAAATCCAGCTATAAGCAACTGCGTGGCATACCTACGCACAGTACGTTATAGAAGCCGTATAGTAATTGCCGTTGCGTAACAATCAATTGAATTCGAATCAATCACAAAGTAAGGGTTTGCCGTCTTACACAATGATTTAATAAGGACATTTTGAAATAATTTTAACATTACATATCAGAATAAAGACTGCCAAGTACAAAACATAACGTTTATGTCAGGTACGTACCACCGAAACTTAACAAAAATAGGATACGCTCGTCTAATAGTAATTAGATTAAATCTTATTATCGAACTATTATTAAAGAAGTTAATCGTGAGCGAGGGAAATTAATTGAATTTTCTGTACGATTTAAATCTCACAACTTACTTAAAATTAATGGTTACACGTACCGTTACCACACGTGCCAATTTAATACAAAATGTTTTTGACCATGTTCGTATTAATTACCTATCATCGAAAACATTTTCAATAATTTGGCTTTATTTGTTTATTTAAAAGGCAATTATTATGAGAATAAATCTTAAATAGTTGCCAGTAATACGATTTCATGGACAAATTTTCAAGAGAGTATTGATTTGATTTTTATCAAAGAACAATAATTTGGATGGTGTTAGATTTACTTACGGTCCCTAGGGAAATGTAGTTTTTGGCCGTTCGGCAATAAATTTTCACAATGAAAATTGTTTTAAATAATATTTTATTGATTTTTGCTGTTGTGAAAATCTCGGTGGTGAGTAAAATATATTTTAGGATCATCAATCATTATCATCAACAGCCTTTTATAGTCCACTGCTGGACATAGGCCTCCCCTTAGAAAGGAGGTTTTAGCCTACTATACCACGCTGGCCAGAGGGGTATAGAGTTTGTGTCAAGTTTTCCTTCTCTTTGCAGTGCCGTTGTGCTGCGTAGTTTGCTCCCTTAGTCGGCTCTTACGACACCCGCGGGATGAATAGGGGTGGTGACTTAATCCGTCACCACCGTCGTTACCCATTAAGCCTTAATAGTTAGTTAGAATAATCACAATACTCAAAGTGAGGCCAATGTAAATATTAAAGGTTAGAGAAAAGTTAAAGTTAAGTTAAAGGTAAGAGAAGAAGGAAGTATATAAGTTGAAATGAATATTTATTGCAAAACGATTATATGACCCACCAACTGAACGCAAGATGTAGCAATAACCAATCGTGCATCACGTCATAAAATTTCCACGACCACGAACCATTAGGCATAATCACCTAACCAAACGATGTTATAGTATGAGATCCCAATCAATTGAAACAGCAAAATCTTACTAACTTGCGAGGCAAGTTCCACATATAGTGCCATCTAACGCAGACACGCCGAACTACGGAATATTTGCTAATCCTGTATCGCGTTATGAAAAGTACTCACGCCGATTAGCATACATACAACTTCCTATCATCAACCATTGGGTAGCAGTCCACCAGGCGCGATCATCTCGCCTGGTTGGAAAATCCTCCCTTTGTGTTGGAGGGACATGAAACATCTTGCATGCTCCAAGAAGTAGGCATGGTTATCAATGTGACTATGGTATTGTAATAAAAAAAAATATAGAAAGGATAAAACCGCGAACAATGAACCAGAATTTTAGATCACGCATAAGTAATAATTTACATATTACAAAAAATGACATGAAGAACTGATCCATGCGGAAAGTTATTTAAACTCAAGTAGATATACAACCTCACTTGAGCAAATTGTAGATAACATGAAGCAAGCTGACTAGTAAATACAATTCAGTTATAGTTTTTTCATATAAGAATGATCGAATATATACATACATACATATAACAAACACTGAAATACTGTATTCAGACCATCATTCTGAGTCGAAAATCGTGTGCCGTCAAAAATGATATCACAATGAGTCAACAGAACATTTTACCGATTTTTTAAAATAAATACCGCATACGGTCAAAAACACCAATGTAATCAGCCGAAGCGCACAGGGCCTCTACCCTGGCCGCCAACTTGTGTTACTGCGCATAGACTGTTTGCACGAAATACATTAATGTAGTTATTACTTTTTTGTGATACCTACGGGGAATGACTTTAACGTTTTAGGACAGATTTTATAAAGCGTTTAATTTTGCGGCAAAAAATTCCAATGATTTCAGTATTCGTTAAAACGTCCCTTACTCCCTGTAAATAGAAATTGTCTAAGAATTATTTATATTTATTTTATTCATTTATAAGAATTTCAATAAAAATAAAACAGAATAAGGAAAGTTTCACGTGTCTGTTGGTCTAGTAGTAACTGCAAGAGACCGTGGGTTTGATTCCCACCCAGGACTAATAATTGCATATGAGCACGATCACTCCAAACTGAAAGTATATCCTCCCAAATAGAATATATACCTATATAAGAAGAGTAGAAAGAATTTTACAAATCAGTTCATAATTTAGAACGTCCTCTTTTTTTTATATCGGTTAATAAATAAAATGCCTTGTGAATACAATTCCTAACACCAGAGAGTGAATATGAAGTAACCTTCGGCCTTTAAATTTTAAGTAGATTTCTATACATTTTCACACATTAGGAGTTTTTTTTTTACCACTTCTATTTCTTTTACCAGACTCAACCCAGTACCGAAACACAAGCAGGATATACCAAAGATTCTGACACCTGTAAGAAATACAATGAAAACCTCCAAAAGATGTGGGCTACCTTATCAAAGTATATTAATTCTACGAATCCTTTGAACAAACAGGCTTTGCACAACATAGCTCTTATGCTAGAAGCATATTTGGATCATCAAAATAAAGAAGAACATGAAGAAGAAGTATTCCGACCAGACGATACGACTATAGCCGAACGAAAGAATGATAACATTAGTGGAGTTTTAAAAAATATTAAAAAGTTGCTTGGTACAGTCGACGCAATCAGAAAAATAAAAGAAAAGGTCCTGGTAAACTTCAAACCAACCTATGATGAACAAGATCCAGGCTGTAAGCAGAAAAATGAGGACAACCTGTTCTCATCTATTGCTTTGTCGTATAAAATTTATCTAGATAACGCTAAGTGTCGCGGTGATGACGACCCTGAATTCTTAAGAGAGAAAGCACAATTAAGAATGGATCGACAACCGAATTCAAAACTAATATCAAGTCAACGTGTTCATGATTTTTATGATAATGTTGATGAAGGTGTAATCGACGAAGCGGAATCGACTGATCACTTCCATGGTGATTTGATGGCAGTAGTCAACTATCCTAGATCACCTGGCAGACTTAATCAAAAAACAATTACAAGAAGTTTACAAAAAGTTTTTATGCATTTAAATGGACGCTCACCACCCTTAACATTAGATGATAAATCAAAAACAGCTGTGAAAACAAATAGTCAGTCTCAAAATAAAATAAATGGACGTACTGATGAATTCTGCATAAAATATGCAAATCGTAAATTTTTGAAAACACTCCGAGCAATCATTGAAAGGTTCAATGATTTACGGGATTGTGTACATGATGACACATTAAGAACGTCGAACAAGTCAACAAAAAGGCCGAGAGGCTTCCGATATACTCAATCAATGTTGCGCGTAAGGGACAATGACATTCGACTTATGGCTAGTACATAACCTGGTCAACAAGAACAAATTCGAATAAATAATTATGGCAATAAACTGAAGGAATTTAATCGCCAGGAAGCAGTAAAGACAGTATTTGCTGTCCTTCTACCTGTGCTACCGGCATATACTAGTCCATTATTGTTGCAACTTAGAAATAGACTTGGAAATTTCACCCCACCACTACAATAAGCAACAAATAAAATATCCTTATGATAATATTGTTCTCTCAGGGTACAATTTGAATAATAATTATAAATCATTTTTGTATAGGCCAGATGCAACTTCACAAACAACAAATAAAATTCTAAAAGAACAGTGTGCATCAAATAGAATCAACAATGAGAACAACATTCAAAATAATAAAAATGAATAAAACGCAAAGTCTTCGATTAACAGGCAGGGGCAAAATAGTAGATGTAGTCATATTTTAGATATTGAATTAGACGGGAATGCGCCACTTAACACTAATAAAGTAGTAAGTAAAGATTTGTTGTAAGACTCAGTAGATGTCAATACAGCAAGCAAAGTTCTGACAGAGCTCCAAAATTCCTCCGTACAGAATACACAACTTGATGTAAATAACATTGCTTTAAGCAATGAGAAAGGATACGTAGAACTTTCATACCTTGTTAAGTATCCTAAATCAGTCGTATATCGACCACAATACTTGGTGAAAAAGATATTATCGTACGATGATTGTATTAAAGCTAGTCATCTAGACGTTAACCTTGAAGAAAAGCAATTATTGAAAGTACTGCGATTCTTACTTCTTCTTCTTGAAGACAGTACACAAGTTTTATTTGAAAATCGAGAGATCACGTCTACATTAGCGATTCATGATATCATAAACAAAGCCAGCAACGAAGCAAATAAGAGTACTCTTATTGAACACACGAGCGGTAACATTAAGAATGAAAATCACGCACACTCTATTTTAAAACTAATAGAAAAAGACAAAACTAGTAATGTTATTGGTCATGCAGATTCTTTAAGAGAAGAAAAAATCATTGTTACTGTTAATCCAGTACCTTTGCAAGAAAACAAAATCCAAACTGGTGTTAAGCAAACTTACTCTAATGTAAACGACGAAATTCAAACGAATACGGATCATACAGAATCTTTAAACGATTTCAAAATTTGTTCTAATGTTAATCCAACAGATTCCTTACAAAAAGACAAAGTTGAAACTGATTTCAAGCAAGGAAATTTTAACCTACAAGATAAAATGAATAGTCATCCGTATCCTGCAAGTCCTTCCGGAAGAAATAAAATTACTATTAACCCTAATGTAGCAGATTCCTAGCTAGAAGACAAAGTCGAAACTAATCTTAAACAAGCATTTTTCACACTGCAGGATGAAGTCAATAGTGATATATATCCTTCAAGTTCTATTGAGAAATATAAAATGGCTACACAGGTTAATCCAACAGATTTCTTGCAAGAAGACGAAATCGAAACTGATTTTAAAGAAGCAGATTTTAACTTAAGAGATAAAAGTTATAGTAATACATATCCCGCAAGTCCTTTTAGAAAAGATAAAATGGCTATTAACGTTATTCCAGCAGATTACTTACAAGAAGACAAAGTTGAAACTGATCTTAAACAAGAAGTTTTTAACTTACAAGATGAATTTAATAGTAATACGTATCCTGCAAGTCCTTTCAAAAGAAATAAAATGACTATTAGTCCTAATCTAGCAGATTCCTGGCATCATGACCACCAATGTTAATCTAGCAAATTACTTGGAAAAAGACAAAGATGAAATAGATAAAGAGCTAGCAGTTTTACCTCAAAATGGCAAAATTGATAGATTCTTTAAAACAAACTAAAAATATTACTAATTTCAATTCAACAGGTTCCTCACTAGAATATGAACTTAAGCCTAATATTGCGCAGATTCTATACGAAGAGACCGATTGGAAACAGATGTAGATTTTCAAGATCCTCTAGGACAAGATAAAAATATTCCTAATTTTGAAACTTATTTGGATCAAACCCATTCTATTCGAAAATACTCTTTTAATTCTGATACAGGTTATCCAGAGTCTCTGCGGGATGTAAAAATAGTTACTAGCATATTACCTACAGATGCCTTGCAAAGAGACAAAATCCAAATTGATGCTATTGATACACATTCTTCGAGAAAAATCAAAATTGATAGCAAAGATAAAGCAGCTGTTTTTCTGGCAAACTTTCAAAAAGCTTACGAAAATGGTGATAATGTGTATAATATCGATCACCGAATGGAAAACAAAAATAAAGCTGCAGTTCATGACGTATATTTTAGAACTGAAGATGAAACCGTTAAGTCCAAAACTCGAAATGAAATCCAAATCAAACGGATAAATGCATCTGCAAAATCAGAGTTAAGTACTAAGTTAAAAGTACGAGACCTTTGCAAAAACGAATTAGCCCTAATTTCAACTTTGAGCCATTGTCAGTAACCAATGAGAATTGTGATCAGGGTAACATCGAGGCAGCATCAATGCGATACGTTATAAATAATGCTAAGACAACCTCAAATACAGCGTCTGTAGCATACATAAAACTAAAGACTTATAAAGCAGAGAGTGCTGCATTACCTTTCAGGAGTTCGTGGGATAAATGGAAAGAAAGTCTTAATTCTACTTTTCAAGTTAAAAGAAACAATCAACTAGTAAAACATTAGCAATACATAATGATACGTAAATTTATTTTTGTACACAGGTTAGTAGACTGTACCTATAACACTAAATTTCATAATTTAGTGTTATAGGTTGATAAGAATATTGCAAAAATCATAGAGATATCTGCAACAGGTAAAACTTTATTGGTCATTTTTAATAAGCTTAAGTAGAAACAATAATTTCAATTCAAAATTTCAATTAATTGAGCATTTTTACCTTGTCGTTGATTTTTAAACTGTTAATTATTATACAATAATATTTCAAACTTACATAAAATAACCTGTATTTATATTATTTTGTTATAGATTTAGAAACATATTTTACTTGGGTACATTTTTTTCTTTTTTCAGTCAATAGCTGCTATGGTATCAAATTTCTGTAGAAACCTTATTAAACCAACTTCCGCAAATTATATTCACAAAAAGTAATAGAACAGTAAGTTGGATTGCAACTTGGTGGACTGCTTCTATTTGTCCTTACTAAATATATTAAACATGTATTCGTTTAGTGTTATATTTATTTAAAATAATGTATTATTTTGTGTATTGCTTGTTTCACCTAATCCTAAATCCGATTTGAAATGTCAAATCACAAAATCACATCATAATTAATCCAATTCACGTGAGGATCCAACGCACAACACCCAGCGCAGTAGGAAGCGGCGAGATCACCGCTTAAACCGCTTCGCTATCCGATCACTCAAACACTATTCTGATCTCAGGCCCAAGTGCGAGTTTATTTCTCATCTACTCGATCGTCACAGTGACCGCGTTCGGCGCTACGATTGGCCCGCACTGAAATCTTAACCAATCGCAACGCCGATCGCGCTCACCGTTGAGAGCGAGTTGGTGTGAAATAAACTCGCACTTGGCTCACTGACTACTATCGTCGCTATGCGTCGATTTGCAGTAGTAGAGATCCTGGGTACCACGACTAGCGTGACGCAAGGGTCTATGGCTGAGCTTTTGGCAGAAGAAATTATAGCCGTGGCCGATATGGTCTCTTTTTCTTGATGGATCAAACGAGCAGACGGGTCACTCGATGGTTAATGACTACTGCCGTCTATGGAACGGTTAATGACTACCGACACCCATGAAGAAGTTTTTCGTTGTTTTTCAACGAGTGAGCGAGGTCACCAGAGTCTAAATTCCTATCACCCTGACTTTAGTGAAGGCACTCAAAGGTCGGCAACTTGTGGTTCTTGAGTTTTAGGTGTCAATTAGTGGCATTTTCTTGGCTTGAAAGGTCATACGAGTGTAATCAAGTTGGTCCTGCATGTATTTTGGTTAGGATGTGATGATGACATCCTAGAGTAATCAGATTTAATTAAATAAAATACTTACAATCGACTTTTTAAAATGAAGAAGGGCTCAATTTTTTTTTAAATCTGTCTATTGATGTCAATATTAAAATATATATTTATACCAATGTTGAACATCTTTACATTGGCATAATTGGGATAATTTCTTGTTTCCTTTTTTAGGATTTTCCTCTCCTTAGGATCTATGTCTAAGAAAAGAAAACTGACTTCACGATTAATTTATTATGACCTGTTCCTTTCTAGTACTGACAATCCAAAAAAGTCTATATTTAAGTGGTTTGTGTAGAGGTTGTTACTCTCTATCTATTTATGTAGGTATATACATATAAAAACGTTACATTGGTTCATGTACACTTCAAAAATTAAAATTATTCTGCACCGATTGACCTAAAATTTTTACACGACATGCGACCCGCATGTGTTTATCTTTTTTGAAGTAAAACTTCTTTACGCACGCTTGACTTGGGGAGTAAGCTGGTGAATGCGTAATGAGAGCGTTACGAAAAACGGAAGCGGAACGGAAGTTGAATGGAGATATAAGTTAACTAGTAAAGATAAAAAGAGAGAGAGTTACGTTTCGTATATTACTGCAGGGGCAAGAGAGAGAGAGGTGCGAGCACACATATTCTTTCTGTCTTTCTCTCATAGCCAAGAAGTTTTACATCAGTTGTGTGGTCTAAAGTAGGTACTCGCGTTTTTTATTGTGTCAATTTTGTTCCTCATTTATTTATTTTTACTTGTTTATGATTTATTTGCACAAATTTTAATGATGGAGAGTGGGATGTGGAAGTACAGATGCGAATGCATGACTTTCGGCTAAGTTTACCTGCTTGCGAACAATAAAAAGAAAACTCTATTAAAATTAAATTATAACCTGATGAAGCCTTCAAGTCCCTTTAATTATTATTATGTTGTTATTTTTTATTTATTAGCTCTGTTAATATTTAATATAGGAAAACTAAATAAATATATCATTTTATTATTTTTTTATATCAATATTATTATTTTTTATACGGACATATTACTGTGGTGATGCTATTGCGCCGTGTGCGTTACCCCAGCAAAATAACGTTGAAAATGGTCATTTAAACGTTAAAGATAATTAGTTGCTCCCCTTCTGTAATTGTTAGGCACATTTTTAAATTTCTTTCACTTAAACTTTTTTAGTAATTTCAAAAAAACATTTCCTGCTGGGGTAACGTTTGAAACTTTACCGCAGCCAGACATTTTCTTTTTTATTATAATATTGAAATAAATTTTAGCTAAATAATTAGTTATCTGGACTAGGTAAATGTTACAACTTATTTGTTATTTGTATTTTCTTCGGCTGCGAAGTTATTCGAGATCCTGCTGGAGTAACGTTTGTGGGTTTGCTGGATCTCTGAAACGGGTAAGCGGATTGTAACCATCTTTTGTACATAACTTCTTAAGGATTAGTTTTAATTTGTTCGACAATAAAATAACAAAAATAATGGACCGTTTAAAAATTATTTAGGTAAGTATGAAAACACTTCAATACGTCCTAACACTTTAAATAAGACCTCTAAAGACTTACTTCAAACGTTATTCTATTGCTTGTAACTACCTTCAAATGTATACGAATTTTCGTAAGAATACTGTAAGTGACTAAAAAGTTATGATGAAATGTAGCTCTCCACGTTCACGATCACAATGTGTGCGGCCTTTTTTGGCCACCGATAAACCTGTGTGTGGATATATAAACTGAATGTTATGCCAATAATTAGTTGTTTAGTTCAGTTGTCTACCTGTAAAATTTCAGCGTAGTACATATAATAATTTACGAGATAATTAAATAAAAGTCATTAGAAGGTGCAAGACCGTGGTAACCCGCCCATGTTTAAGTGGTTACAAAAAAGCGATCACCCAGTACATTGTGCTGGCTTTTAAAATATGTAGGATATTATTTGCAAGTTTACTACGGATATGTACAACACTTACCTTGAAGAACACTTCTAACACTTTACCTAGTCCAGATAACTAATTATTTAGCTAAAATTTATTTCAATATTACAATTAAAAAAGAAAATGTCTGGCTGCGGTAATGTTTCAAACGTTACCGCAGCTGGAAATGTTTTTTTGAAATAACTAAAAAAGTTTAAGTGAAACAAATTTAAAAATGTGCCTAACAATTACAGAAGGGGAGCAACTAATTATCTATAACGTTTAAATGACCATTTTCGACATTATTTTGCTGGGGTAACGCACACTATTGCGCCGTCCGCCTCACCGTAATGAAGAGTCTGCTTGTCTATTACGATTGTAATTCTATGATAGTTAATATAGCATGGATTGAACAAAAGCCCCAATCTTGCAACATAGGCAACGAGAGAGATGGACAACAAATAGTTCCCTCAAATTCCCTCTATCTCTTTCAGCTCCACAGAGCTCCACTAGAAATTCCAATCTCCCGGGTGTTCTACTTTCAAAACTATACCCACGTGACGATAGCCAATCGTAGCTGAGCTAAACAGGTACAGAGGGATCTATTGGGAATCCATCTCTCTCGTTGTCTGTATCGCTTTCACTTACAGGTAGCTGTACCCCGTGTTCTCTGTTTCGTTATATCTCCATTTTTTTCTCTATGCTTATATCTGTATGGAATATAGTGATAGACTTTGCTGTCTATGGTTGCTAAGGTTGTCAGTGTCACTTGTCATTCCTTTCTTATCAATCAATTCCTCTATCCTATTCTATCCCACGACGTACATACGGCGTTTTTTGTGTTCGAAGTTATTGTGATTCAATAATATTGTGATCAAATAGAGATTATATATATATATATAATATAATGGTTTGCGAAAAATGTGAAAAGAAATTAGGACGTGTCATAACACCGGATCCTTGGAAAAATGGAGCCAGAAACACCGTAGAATCAGGAGGGAGAAAAGTTGGAGAAAATAAAGCTCTTACTGCGAAAAAAGGCCGTTTTAATCCATATACATCGAAGTTTCAAGAGTGCAGGTGAGATACCAGTGTTGCGTGATATATTTTTTAAATAAAACAAAGTAATAACACGTAATATTACCCTGCATCATATTTACATATTTTTAAAAGTTACTCTTTTAAGTGGCATATAAACTAATATTCAGCTAGTTGTTAATTAATTAAGTTAAGAAGGTAAAAAACTGTGCTTATTAAGTTGATGTATACAAGGCAGTCACACAGTATAGGTGTTTATATTGTCTGATTCTATTTTTTCCCGACAAATATTTTCATGTTCTCGTCTTAGTGATTAGTGCTTATAAATTCTTATCGATAGTGACCTTTTACCAGTAAATAAAGTCCGAAAAGTTCGAAAGGAGATAGCATTTTTCAATGAAACTGACACTGCACTATTAGACCTATATGGTACCATCCACAAATTGTTGTTCTAAGTTTTGTTTATTCTTTGTGTTTGTTTCACTCATGTATGTATTGTCCCCCGGGACACAAAATTTATTCCTAGTGCTGAAGATGTCTTTTAAAAAAGAGAAAAAGAAAGAAAAATAATCTAAACAAACCTAGTTTGGTACTAGACACTCATTAGCATAAGTCAGGAACAAAAATAAAATGTTACTCTAAAAGGACCTGCTTTAATTTGATATAATAACAACTTGATATTAAATAACTATAAAAATACTAAAGACTTTGAAAGACAAGAGTTTGTACCTTCACCTTGGGCATTCCTTTTCTTTATGTTCTGCAGCCATTCTTTAAATTAGAGTAGATGAGATTCCTGAGCGGCATTGCCTATCTTAATAGGCGCCCAAGTTTACGCCTAAAGTTTAGTAAGGGACCCTCCCTTACTAAAGTTTTCCGTACTAGATTACACCAGAGGTTGCTGCCATAAGGCAGTGATGGTGGCGATACCATGTGGTTTTAATTATTACAGTATATCATCTTACCATTCATACCTCGTGGTTTTTAATTTAAAATTTCAATATTAAGAGAATGTCAGTATTTTATTTATAAACCATAGTTTTATAAAACTGTAGAAAAGGTAAGCTGTATAAAAGGTTACCTTAGAAATGCCAATGTCACACATATGAGGTTCCTTTAGTCAAAATTATCGGTTTTTCTATATACAAAATAAATACATACGATTTTTTTTACATTTTTGAAATTGTGATTGTAATATTTTCAGAATATGCCGTACAAAAGTACACCAAGTGGGCTCACACTACTGCCAAGCATGTGCATACAAGAAGGGCATCTGTGCAATGTGCGGCAAGAAGATATTGGACACTAAGAACTATAGACAAAGTTCTACGTAGCATTATTAGTCATCATTTATACTTAAGGGTTTAAGCACACTGTTGTGAAATGATAATTCATTACTACCATGTCTGGTAGTAGTACACTTTGTATAACTGCCAAAAAGAGGAGTGTAATCTTTTACAGATGCATGTCTGTATGTGAGTTTCTGCATTCCATCAGCACTTCTAAATGCCTGAGCAGATTTAATATGAGAACCGCATGATTGCTCTATCTGATAGAAGCTATGTACTCGTATGTCATAAGTAATTATGTTTCTTAAAGAGATTGTGTGTAATTATTTTCTATTCTCATAGATAAAGTAGTAGTTTGTATTATACTTAAAATAGGTTTTGTACATTTGCAATGTAATAACTTATTATAGTTATGTGTCTATGAACTGAATATTATTATTCTTGTTCTTTTCATACTAATTTAGTGGGTGGCCAACCTATTTAGGAACATATAGTTCAGTATTGTACATGTTGATACCCATTCTGTTGTACACCTATCTGTAAATTACCAATTCTATAATTATTTTAGTCAGTCTGAACTAAGATAAATATATTCATTATTCATCATATTCAAATAAACTTTAATCACTAGTTCTTATGTATTTATCTATTATTAATTTGTTTTGTTTGTTTCTAACTCTAGACAGTGTTGAAATTTTAGTTCTTTATTAAAGTTTAGACTTTTGTAACTAATCAATTTTAATGTTCCTGTTTTAGAGTTTAAAGTTCATAAACGAATAGCCAAAGAGCGTATATCATTTGAATAGGCTGTACAAGCCTGTAACTGTAACAAAGGAAACAAAGTGTACAACAGTTCATGCTAAATCACTTTCCACTGTTGCTTAAAAAAATTGACCAATTTGTTTTACTAGGTTGTTTTATAGTGCAAAACGCCTTTTGACAAAAATGATCTAAGCCATAGAGTACATACACAGTAAAGTAAAAATTACAGTTTGCATGATGGTTAGCGAGTAATTGTTTTTAATAGTAAGTAACTACAGGAAGTCACATATAGCCTACAGTGCCTTTATCTAGAGCTTGCAGTAGTAACTAAACAAGATATGACACATCCTTTCCACCCGCTCATATCCTGATTCTATATAAACAGAATTTACAATAACAATATAACTTTCATAAGAAGACTGATAATAGAATAAATCAACAGAATAATTTGAACCTTGAAGTATCTCTCTCCCACAATGGCCCCACCCCCTGACCAATGAGATCCCAAGAAATTATCGTTTCGTACGAAAGCTTGGAACCTGATTGTTTCAGGGTGCGTTGCTTGAGCGAAGCGTCACTATTTTCTTAACGCGAATGGACTATAGATTGTTTGATCTGAATGTTAATAAATTACAAAAGACCCGCTAAAAAAGCAGTTTTAATAGTTTCTATCCATCTCAAGCCATTTACAAAAGCTCAGTAAAAAAGCTCATTTTACATCCCAGCCAATGTTCTTAGACCTGTATACCTACCTTATAAGAACAGAAGATATAGAGAAAGCTATGAAAAAAGAATTATGTTGGACTAAAACTTCAGAGTGATGGGGATTTCCAAATTCCGATGGTTAATAAACATATTGTGCCTAAACAACCTAAAAAAAAGTGTGTTCTGCTTAAGAACGCATACCCTGTGTACGTATAAATATAGTGATCAGTGCCATCTATGTAAATGTTAGTAAAATAATTACCTCACGTATTAATTACCATTTATTTAAGGGTTTATTCCGTTTTAAAACAATTTTAATTTTGTGTTGGACTACTAACTAAACTGAAACAGATTGAAACAAATTGCAAAAAATATTATTACAATTACATAAAAGTAAATAGCTGAACCGTCATATATAAATTACATTTCACATCATCAGCCTTTAATAGTCCACTGCTGGACATAGGCCTCTCCTTAGAAAGGAGGTTTTGGCCTACTACACCACGCTGGCCATTACATTTAGATTTACTCCAAAAAGCGAAACAGTTGAATATGGAAGTACAAAATCATTTTTTTTTGTAATGTTCGTCGTATCAACGGATAAACATTCCTAAATTTTGACCGTCCAAAATTCCGCTACAGCCAGGGCATTGTTCGTTGCACTCCACAGCTCTCCAGTGCAGCTTGAGGGCCACAGTGGACAAAACAGCAAATGTGGTATGGTTTGCATTGGAGTTACACATTTGCGACTGGTGGATGTAGGCCCATTTGGCCATGTTGTTATTCCAGGGACCAAACATACGTAAGTGATTTAATGATCTCTATGTTGGCCAAGAAGGTTTAATGAAACCTGCCGGGACAGTATGTTTAGCTGCTCACTTGCCCGTTATAGAGGAATACTAATCATTTTTGTAATATAAATGTTGTAAATAAAAATGTCTAGGCTCGGTTTAGATAGCGCTTTGAAATTTATTCTAAAATATTACTTATTGTTAAGCAACCTTTTGTAATAATTATAGAATAAAATAAGAAACAAAATGAACTTTTTATTATTATAAGTAGAGCCATTCAATTCAGCTCACCCCATGGAAAATGTTTCTATATAATATTCAAAGAAATCGTTTGGTTCCCAATTTAATGTATTTATGAACACAAGAACGCCTGAAGGTAAAGAGATGAAGATGCTAATCAATTTGTTTAATAAGTAATAATAATACTCGTAATAGCTACTTCGATCAAGTCACTCGATTTCGTGCAAATATTATCCATTAACAAATGAATGACATTTTTTACCGTAAAGCAAACACGGACATGGCTAAATCTAAATGGGTAAATGTGGTCCATTGTTTGTAATTATCAGACGTCAATCCTTATTAGAAGCTAGGTACTTACCAAAATATTTTATTTCTAAGTTTTAAAAAAACCGTTACAAATTAATTACTACCTATGTTATCTACATCTCAAAACAGCTGGTGGGCATTAAAAGTAAATGTCGATTTTAATAGAACATTTTTAACACCTTTATGCGCTTGTAATATTAATATTCAATCTAAATAGTTGATAACGAATTTTCTAGCAACTTATTGGCGGGAAAGTATTTAGTTTAACAATACATTGAATCTTGAAAACGTGTAATTGTTTCTGTAGCTTAAAATGATGGTTCATTATTTAGTTTTTTGTATCATAGCCCTCTATCGTACTGAGGTAAGTAGGTATTAAATTAATTTATCCTAAGTTTAGGCACCTACTTAAGTATTCAAATCATTAAGCGGTTTTAGACACCCTTTTCAGAGTTGATACAGTTTTACCAGCGGACACTACGATAGATACTACGGACTTTTCTAGAAAATGTACATACATAATTTAAAATCTTACGCGTCGGTACCTACTATGGGGTAAATTATAATATGTAGGTATTTTTGTCAATTAACACATCATTAAGCACACGTCAAGAAAATAATTGCAAGGAAAATAAACAAAATTACCTTATTAACAATAGATACTCGTAGGTATATAACTGACCCACATAAAGAAACATAATAAAATCGATTTTAAAATAGAAAAAAACTACGTTATTAATTGTCTTGTAAACAACATTTGATTAGTGAATTCCAAATATTTTTTTGCACAAGTACAGTTTTTTAATGAAATCCCATGGACAAATGTCATCATGATTATCCCATCCTATCCAGTAGTTCCATGGATGGGTGAGAAAAAAGAAGAAAAATAGACACAAAGTGAGGTTAAGGTGACTATTTTCAAAAGAATCCAATTATCATTTACACGATAAAGATTAAGAGTCCAAATATTTAAATCCAGGCTGTTCAACTACCGATGTTTAAAGGTGTAAACATTAAAGGAATCATATTGACTACATGGCTTAGTTTTTTTTAAATTTCGTTTTAAGATATATAAACATACAGTTATCATAATTTATTGGACTATATTAATAAATAGTAATGATAGTTCATAATGTTGTTTTTTTAATGCACATCAGTGACCCGTCAAAAATATCTGAATCATCCGTTCGGCCCAGCTAATACAAAAGTTGAGCCGTCATAATTTACCTACATGAACGAATGTGTACTTGAAAAGATCTTGAGGTATGGCTGGTTTTTCTATAGACATGTATAAATAAGTATTAAATGAATATTATATTTCGTATCTGTAATCAATTTTATAATTTTCGAGAGGTTCGTGGCTTAAGTGGTAACCAAGTAGGTTAGTCGTTAGCACATTGCAAAGTTAAGCCGCTGATACCGGTTGCCATACGAATGTCTGTGGCCTGTGGCAATCGTTACGGGTCGTTGGAGTCTTCAGTCTATCTACAGAACTTCGATATCGCTTAGTTCCTACTTGGGCTGTGGAGGTCTGATAACAGTCGCTCCACATAAACAATCGTTGTTAAGCCGTATCGTAGTAGATTTAAAGCCAACCCCAACCAGTCCTGAAAAAAGCCTCGGAGCGTGTATTGTGTTAAGTGACATAATATTATCCTCAATATTCATCATTTTGTCACACATTGTCAGATCATTCTTTGTGCTGAGAAAACGGAAAGCATTATCTCCGATGGCGAAACTCTTACAAACTTCGCCAACCTTCTTAACACTGTCGTCAAGGTAAACGACGAACGATTACAGGCTGTAAATAAAATGACCATCTTGCAAGACTACTTGCTGACCAAGAATGGAGAAAAGATTGATGACTATTACGGTGCTGAAGAAACAAAAGATAGTCGGAAACCTTCTTTTGAGGTTGATGAGGTGAGTAATTAGTTGTTAAAAAGACATAAAAGACGAAACACACAAACTGCATAACACCCCGATGACTGACAATATTTTTATGTAATTTTATAATGAAGGTTCTTTGTTTTTAAAATTTTATCATATTTTACGTGTATGTCCCTATTAATATAATTTGAAACATTCCGCATTCATTTAAATAAGAATTTATTAATCATACATAATTATAGAACTGTCATTACGTGATGTTTATCAATCTCCTTACTACGTAGTTCGGTTTGACTTCACTAAGTGATGCTGAATTACGCTTTTACGCTTAATAATTCCTTTTTTGTAATCAGTTACAGAGTCACATCAAACCTTTAAGGTGCATTAACAAACGTGACACGACTAAACAATGTAATAAATTATACAAAGAGAGCAATGGCCAACCGACTGACGAATTAAAACACTACTATTCACCACAAGCCCTCACCGCATGTACCTACACAGCACTGTACAAAGAATTCTAAAACAAGCTACAAAACTCAAGCTTTGCAAGAATCGCAGATGACTGCCAACTGCAATTTAAAAAAGACTAATTCGAGATGACAGGCTTCACTTAAATATACATAATACACGAATCCATTTTACCATATTCACATATTTTTACTTACTACAATCTGTCATCTGTGAAATTTGCTGACCATTGAAAGTGTCGCTTCTTGTGGAAGACCTAACTTACGGACGATTTGGTTTTATGTTTTCATCTGAATATGAAAACCACGAATAGATGAAAATGACTTGGTTTGGTTGTTTGTTGCGCTTTCATGTTAACCACTTAAACGATTTAAAAAAAAAAACCTTTTATTAATGGAAAGCTGCACTAACAGTGAGTATCATAGGCTTTTTACCGCGTTAACAACAACAATATAAAATGGAATTGTGGTTGAAGTCAAGTATTAGTATTGTTTCTTAATTTCGTAAGTTACATTTGGTTACCTTCATTCATAATAACATGCAACAATGGGATTATTCTACTAGCACTATTCTAGAAGCACTAACTTACCTACGGTTAATTCGTATTGTTAGTCGATGGTCAATGTTTAGTTTAATCTAATCCTTCGTGCGTCCTTGGTCCGGGAATGTTCAGATTTTATTTTCCATAGATAATAATATAATACTTAAGCTACACAGTTTATTATATTTGAAAGTGTAAAATATGGGGTCTACCAATAAGAACGTCCTGGTTTAAAAATTGAATAAAACACACAATTTTTTTATGAAAAATGCATCCGATTGATTTATTTGATAGATTGTTTTATGCAATTTATGTTTTAAATAATATATCGGCCAAATGACCGCCGCGGCTCTTTTTGCAGACGGTCACCCGCTCACGCCAATTTTCGATGACGCGGTGCACCATTTCGGCCGGTATGTCGGCTATGGCGCGTCGAATGTTGGTTTTTAGGTCACGAATTGTAGCTGGATTATTCCTGTACACTTTAGATTTAACGTAACCCCAAAGAAAATTGTCTAAAGGTGTTAAATCACACGATCTTGGTGGCCAACTGATCGGTCCATTTTTCGAAATTAACGACTCACCAAACTTTCCACGCAATAATTCTATGTTCACTCGAGTAATGTAAGGTGGTGCACCGTCTTGTTGAAAATAAAGGTCGTCTGCATCAATATCATCAAATTCCGGAAAGAAATATTCGGTTAACATCGAGTTATAGCGCTCGCCATTCACAGTAACAGGGCTTCTTCTTCGTCAATTTCAAAGAAGTACGGACCAATGATTCCAGAGTACCATAAACCACACCAAACTGTTATTTTTTGTGGATGCAATGGTGATTCATGAACCACACGTGGATTTGACTCACTCCAATAGCGACAATTTTGTTTATTAACAAATCCATTGAGCCAGAAATGGGCCTCATCTGAGAAGATGATTTTACGATGAAAATCGTCATCGGCTTCCATCATTTCCAGTGCATCATCGGCAAATTCACGACGGATACAATGGTCGGATGGCTTCAATTCTTGTGGCAAAACAATTTTGTATGGGTTTATTTCTTTGTCTCACAGGCACAGCAGTATCGTGGAGAGTAAATTCACTTTCAAATTTTGTTATTATGCGATTTATAGCGCGCACAGAAGGAGCACACAGGGCACTATGACGACCGTTTTTTTTGCGCGAAGCGCTTTTTGCTGAACGCGAATTTGCGTAATAATTTCGGACAATTTCCAAGCGTTGGTTTAAAGTGACACGTGACATGATAAAATGGCAAACCTTACTGAACACAAATGTCAAGAGGCGTCAAAGATCCATCATCAAACATGGCCGCTATGAACTGTCAAAACCAGGTCATCCCTATTGGTAGACCCAGTACATATATAAAGATACCTCCTAGTACAAGTGCGTGGTGACGGAGCCACGCACTTGGTTGCGTGCTAGTGTGAGTTTATTTCACATCAACTCGCTCTCGAAGACATTGTGAATAGAAGATATTTTACAAAACAAGATCGATAAATAGATCATTTGTTCAGTATTACTTAGATTTAAGAAAATACGTTTTGTTTTTAATTAGACGCATGTATTAACTGCATCTTTTAATCTATTTGACTTCGCGCTGTGGTGACACAGTTTATGTAAGCGTACGTGTGCAAACCGCGTTCGGCAATGTCATCACGTTTATATAATTAATACAAGACAGCAGTCACACTCCGGCCCTCTCCCCGGGTTAACATATCTTAATAGACATTCGCGTTATTGGTTTTATACCACTGTATAACGGTATACCTACCTGTTGTAATTCTATTGGACTCTAAATACATAACAATCAAAGACATTTACAAATTTTACATTTTTCCTTAAACCCACTTAGCTTAACACCAATGACAAATATCCCTTAATAAAACACATACCAAAAGCGCCTTTGTTTTGAAGAACTCGTTGTGCTATACCCTGCGTTTTGCGCCGTGAGGGCGCGTGTTTCTCTGCATCTACGCGCGTGACCTGCGACACTGTTAGTGAATGGTCAGAAAATCGCTCTTGGTGTATTTAACACAAAGAGAGATATTTACAAGCAATGCACTCAATTTTTCACGCAATATCATATAAGCAGGGAGCATTTCGGAGATTATGAAAGAAACGATTCATCTTTGGATGAAAAAACAAACAATATCTCTGATTCTGAAGACAGTTTCGGCGACAATAAAGCAGTTTTGAATCCATTTTTCAGAAGAAGATCCTCTTGTAGATATAAAAAAAAGGAATGAACGAGTGCCGTAAAACCTATGAGAAACCATACGAGACATTTTGTGATAATGTGACGAACGGCGACACTAAATTTCCATGTGGTGAAAAGGCAAAGAAATGGATCCAACGGGAATGTAAAACGAATTACGAGCGCTATTTTGATACTGATCTCGATTATGATGATATCTAATCGTTTGAACAATTAACAATTGGAAACTTGCATATTATTCTATCTGATTTTTTAATGACCTTTTCAAAATAATGTTAAGTGAGAATTCGAAAATTAATGATGGTTTCTATGTCATAAGATATGAGCATAACATAAGTACGGAAACTATTAAAATATCTGTGATAGACATAGGTGACTAGTAATCCTGAATGTGGAACCCGAGGTCGATGGATCGATTCCTATACTCGACAAATATTTGTGTGATGAGCACCTTTTCTGTGTCTGGAAACTTATCACTAATATGTATTAAAGAACAAAAGCTGTTACGTAGAGTACCTACACAATGTTTTACTTTAAACAATCGTTAAGAGTTACCCTTCATTAATGTTTATATTTAATTTGTATCTCTGTAACACTATAATTATAGTGTATAGCAAAATGGCTGTTAAAGAAAAGCTGTTAATACAATGAAAGGTGTAAGCCAAATCGTGTCGTCCTCGAATCGAGCATACGCAACATTGCAGTGCTTTGCAAGTTTTAGTACTACATACTTTGTAAAGTTTCAATTTTGATTATATTAAAAGGAAAAACTTCTGAGGAAAGAAATCCTTAAAAATTGAAGTTAGATTTTTTAATCACCTATCTGCACGGAAACTTCATCGGGTTGTCGTATAACTCCGATGCTGCAGTTTTTAAAACTGACTGACTGACCCAATACATATTCCTTCATTCTCTGTTTTATTCATCGTTTACGAAAGACATTTTAGTGATGTCTATGGTCAACAATATATGTACTATGCACATATCTCTTAATCTGTGAATATATATTAAAAAACTGATTTAGTTTGTCCATTAACAAAAGATTTTAAATATTTTTGAACTATCCGTCTTATAACGTAAAACCTTTCTTAGAAATTTAAGTAGGTTTACTACAAAGAGTTTTCAAAATGTGAAATATGTAGAACCTTGAGCATTGATTCAATTATTTTCTTTATTTCTGTTCCAAGCCATTTTATGTACGCGTATTGTACAATTCAATCAATTCCAGTAGTAATTTTATAACGTGTAAATGTCAGAACTAAAATGAAACAAAGAATTATTATTTATTTATACCTTTCGGTATTGATGTGTGAAGTATGTTTTTTTTGTTATAATATCTTATTCACTACAGTCTAGAAGACAAACCTACAACTCTAAAAATATCTTACTGCTGAATGTAAGTGGGTACCAGATGAAGGTATCTTATGGGAGATTGCCATTTTCTAAATATTTCTACATAAAACTTAGATGTTCAACTGTTTAATCATGCAAAAGTCGAAGTCGATTATTAGTTGGTTTGTTTTCTACTGTTAATTTTAGAAACAGCTAACTGTCCTCTCCGAGCAGGTGTTCGCAGAAAAGAAAAACGTATAAATATTTAAAAATGGCGATTTACAAGGAATGACTTTATACGTTTGCTAAGTTCGTTGATAAAAGTTAATGAGCAAAGGATGAACAACAAATTAAAAGCAAACAAATTGCAAGATAATGGATCTATTGCAGAGGTTAAAAGGAGTCCTTAAAACGCTAATCGAAAAAAAAGAGTTGTAATCATAAAATTTATCTGACTGTACCTATTTATTAAACCTGCCTCATTAACTATCAGATAATACTACAAAATTAACATTATTTCAGTAAAATACATTCTAATCTAATAATTATTTTAATACATAAAATATCCTTAATCTAGTTCCATACTCCAAATTAGTATTATTTAACTATAAGTAAATTTTCTTGTGTACCCTAAAATCCATGTACGAGTATAAGCTTTTCACATTATTCTACACTCACACTCACTTGAGACAATCTGTTTGCAGAATAAGTCAGATTCAGTAAGTAGCAGTTCATCATTAGAGAACTTATTAAGTATAGACGAAAAAACTGTACCACTAATTCCCGAAAGACAGAAAGTTACAAAAAAAGATCCTTATAAAATATTTGATGACTTTCGAACCAACGACCCTAAGATTGAACCAGAAATATTTAAGAAAGATTTTAATCCACATGTTAAAGTAACTGAACAACTAAAAAGTCAACTCAATTTTGAAAGAGATAGCTTTCAAAATACAACAAAATTACACAAAAAGACAACGCGGCCGAGGAATAAAAAGAAACGTCCAAGTGTAACTCTTAAAAAATACTTTCGGTTGCATAAAACAACCAATTCTGATAATAATAATGACTTTTTAGTAAATAATAAGGTAAAAAGACTTAACCCTCTCAAAAATAAACATATTGTACCCGTTCCAGAGGTGTCTGATGAGTTTAGTACATCTAATAGACAATTTCTTATAAAATCAAACAATTCAAAAAACAAAAAAAAGTTCGACACATTTAGCAAACTTCTAAATAACAGTGAAACTAAATATCCTAAATTGAATAAACCACGAAAATCGAGAAATTTTGTGATCTTGAGAAATCGAGAGATTATTCTCTCTGAAAATAAGGACGATAATAGTAAAAATTCAGTAATGCTTTTAGAGAGTAAAGAATTAGATAATGCATTAGAACAAGCAGATCAACTATTGAAGGAGCAACAATTTCAAATACAAAATAGAAAAGTTTTGCATGAAATTCAACCTCCATTAACAAGAGGTTTTGACACATCAAAAACTGAATTGATAACGGAACTTCAGACTATCAAAAATGTTAATGATAACTTTAAACCACATAAAGATAAGTTTACCTTAACAATATTAGACATAGATGAAAATGGAGAACAGTTTAAGCTTAACGATTTATCTTCTCATCGAGGGTCCTCTTTACTAGATGCTAATATTTTTAAACACATGCTGCGAAAATCCTCTGAACCTAAAAAGGTATCGTCCATATCTAAAGTCTTTCAAAATAATGAGGCTGATAGCCTTAAAAGGACACTGAAACCATCTCTGATTAGAAAGCAACAATCTGTAGAAATAGGGACGATTGATAAAAATGAAAAGGAACCTTATGATCAGCTTGATGTCATTTTTGAAAGTGACCAAAAAGTGTCAGATTTTGGTCTTAGAGTTAAGTCAAAAGCGCAAACTGAAGGCGTTTTTGTCGATAAATCTAAACTGGATAGAATAAAATCTGGTAATACAGTCTTAAGTGAGGCTGATTTTAAAAACGATGTCAAGCTTAACATGAAGTATAAACCTAATACAGTTATGAACGACAAAAAAGATAAAATTACTAATAAAGAAAACAAAGTTGATCTGAATTGTGATTTTTCTAAAGCAGAAATTGTACAAACAGATAGTTATGAAACTGATGAGAAATCAGAAGATGGATTTATTAACGTAAACGAACAATCGGATCAGGAGGATCAATCGGAATCAGAATCAATAAAACACATACAGGAGGTTAAAGGTACTGGTAACATTTTAAGATATTCTAGAGAAGGTATTACGTGCAAAAATACGTTAAACAAGTGTCAGAATGCGTGCACACAGGCGTACACAAGTGTTTGTCAACGATTAAAGTGTTCTCCGAAAGTTAAAAGAGATCTTAAGTATCGATGCAAAAAAAGTTGTGATATGACATTTGGGAAAAGAAAACACGGTTTCGAAAAGTAGACGGCCTCGATTTTTGTGTATTTCGTAAACTAATAAATTTAAGTTTTGTAGAATAGTCTAGAATTGTTACTGTAGATGTAGAAATAAATACAGGTGCAGCGATAATGAAAATTTAGTTCAGAAGATTTATCGATTGTCATGTGTTGTATAAATACCATTAATTAGACAATTAGCCAAATCCAAACTTTACATTATATCTTAAATTAAATCGTGATATCACAATCATATATCATCAGCCAATCGCAGTCCACTGTCCAATTTGTGGTATGTCCACAAATTGGACAGTGGCCTCTCACATTGCACGCCACTTAGATCGATTTTCAACTTTACAAATGTATCACAATAATAAATAAATATTAGCGTTATGTCAGAGGGGCGTTATCCGGCAATAGACTGTGTAAAACTACAGGTTTGCAGGCCCTGACATAGTTGGCCTATTGCCTTTCTTCCCTTTCTTCCCTTTATCTCTTCTTAAGGCTTTTATTAGACTTTCCTTCGTCCCTGTCTTCTTTTTGTTGGCGGTATAAAGGAAATACTTTTGTTTCCTATTGCGTGGTTTAAATGTACTAGCTTTTCCCTCGGCTCCGCACGCTTGTATGTCGGTTATCGCGGTAAAGTATGTTACTTAATAATAATGTAGATTTCCATTGGTGAAATAATTTGTAAAATCGGTTTAGTGGTTTAGGCGTAAAAACGTAACAAACAAACTCACTTTCACATTAATAATATAAGTGTGGATTTAGAAATATACAAGTATGTGGTTACTATATAACAGGCTTTGTCTAGTTTAGGATCAGACAGCTGTATGTGAGATGTGTGAGGTTATTATTATTAACCTTTGAAAATGATTAAACGCCTAGAAAAGATGTTAAACAAATATGTCCCGAAAACTTGATATTGTAGATTGCGCCACGATTCGTTTACTCACAGATCAGAGTCACGCCAACTAAATACAACACAAAACTAAAATTTGTTGTTTATGTTGTAATGTTAATCTCACAATACGAAATTCTTTTGCATCAAGGATCCTGTTGTGAAATTAACATGTTAACACGTTTTTATTAGCTTCACCGGTATATCATTCTTACCCTCCGACTTTTTTTTCTCCAAACTAAGATGGTTTTCAGTCCGATACGATACACAAAACTTCCATTTTTAGGGCTCCATCTACCTGTAACGATTAACACAGAAGTTCGTATGGCAACCGGGAGCGACGGCTTAATGTGCTCTCTGAGGCACGTAGCGGGTCTCAATGTGTTAAGTATGGTCATCCATCCATAGACTAACCTAGATAGGATTGCTTAACTTTACAATGTGCTAACCTACTCGGTTATCGTTTATCCTCCACCTGTATATATAAATATATATATGTAAGGGAATCTTTGAAAGTGATTTTCACCCACTTTTAAACTTCAAATAAACTTAGCAATCTTATCAAGGACCAATGATAATATAATAATTTAATATGGTTGTCCGATTATTTTGATCAGGATCTTCAGGATTAACGATTTATTCCTTATCTGAAAACACGGTAGTGTCTTGTGCATAATATGTGACTTCATCAATCATCATCATCATCAACAGCCTTTAATAGTCCCCTGCTGGACATAAGCCTCTCCTTAGAAAGGAGGTTTTGGCCTACTATACCACGCTGGCCAGACGGGTTGGTACAGGGTTTGTGTCAAGTTTTCCTTCTCTCTGCTTGTTTTTCTTACTATAGAGTATATATAGTCACATTTTATGTATATTATTAAAGACTATTTTTTGATGACGAAGTATAATGAAATGCTAAAAGGTAAAAATAAATAATAATACTAAAAAAAACACGCTTTTGTCACTATCTGAACCAAAGAGTAAAAAATAATTGTCTGTGAGTGAAAAAAAATAGAGTGATTAAGAAATAATCATTTCATGATAAAAAAGCGTGGGGTGCTTGATATTTTATAATGCGGGTATAGTGACTTTACTTTTACAAATTTCTATCAATAAAATATTCACAACAATTAAACATCTAGCACGCTTTTTATGATAAAATGTTTTTATTTTCTGAATCACTTTGTTTTTGTGGTTACTTATAGAAAATTATTTTCTACTAAAAGTACGTAACTGACTACGGACGAAGGGTGATTTCAGCGGACAGAACAAAACAGAACAGTGCAGGTAATGTAATGTACCCACACACACACATTCACCTAAGTAAGAGTAAGAGAATGTGTGTGTTTGAGTGCACACACAGGCGCACGTACGCACACACACACACACACAAACGTTATTTAAAAAAAAATGTTATACCATTTGTAATTTATTTATCATAAAGTTTTACCACCTCCGTTTATTTTTAAATTTAACGCTAAGGAGGGCAACTATCTCACGAGATACAGGTGTTTCACCTAGTCTGAGAGATTGGGTCTCAGACTGATGTACACAATTATCTTAAATAAATAAATTAAATTATTATTATTAATTTATTAATTATTTACAAAAAACACAAAAATATATTATAAGCGAGAAATGAGCGGTTGTTTACAATATGATGAGATAATCTGGACTTAAATGGGCTAAATGTGCCAACATTTCTTATATGTGAGGGTAGAGTGTTATAAAGTTGGATACCTTTGAAAGTTATATTCTTTTGCTCATAATTGGTTCTTATTTTTTGGGCAGAACAAGTAGACTTGTGTAGACGAGTGCTATGTTTGTTTATATCAGATTTTTCTAAATGTTAGTGTAAATAGTTTTATCTAGAATTTTCCTAATTAGTGGACAGGTACTGTAGGTGTAGAACTCTACTATACTATGAAATGTTTTGTTTTACATCGTAACCCTTGGCGCATACTACGAACTTTCCGCCGCGTGGTGAAAATACACTGCGGCGTAATGATGACGCACCACAGTATTGTAACAAAGAGGTTTACGCTGTATTGCACGCACTTAACAGCAAAATTATTACAGCGTTGATTTGTAACATGCAACTGAGTTTTCCATTGTCTTTTTGTAACATATTGAAAAATCGTTCAGAATATTTTTGGACAAATCTGTGAAAGTATTTTAAAAAGTCAGGAATTTAGCAGATGGTGGGTTCTTCAGTATTCAACCGAATTTCCTATCTGTATTACCTAATTACGGTCGGTTTTTGTCGGTTGTATCATAATATTTATTTATGTACAATGGTGATGTCAATCTTCAGTATTATATTATGTGGCCCTTTCTGTTGTATTTATTTTGCCTAGTACGGTGGTCGTTTCTAGCCATGACCACGACACAGATAATCAGGGTTTCAAACAAACAAAAATAAAGTACAATAACGAGAATGTTTTTAATGTTCTTTGAAAACCCTATTACAAATCTCTATACCACTGAAGTAGGGTGGAATAAAACCGGTACTTAAAAATAAGGTTTCAGAAAATATGTTTATTTAATAACTTCTCTTCTTTCAGGGGAAGAGCATAAGCGAAGCAAAAAAGATATATAAGTCTGACATGAGCAAAGATTCCTCTGAAAGCGAATCGGATACATCTTCAAGTAAAGAAGATAGGTCAGATGACACGGATGAAACAGGTCTGCCAAAGCATCCGATTGTAAGATGTTATAGCACGATTAATATTATAAAAGGGAGGAGATCTTGTGTGAAAGCATGTGACAGGGCATTCGAGAATGTATGCGACGAACATAAGTGTACGTGGGCAGCGGAAAAGACTGCAGAACGTGAATGTCGGAGACAATGCATGCGACAATTCCTTACGGCGTAGTAGCGAGTAAGGGTGTTACAGATATAAAATTTTAGATCTCTATGATGCCGGTTTCGATACGTTTACGAATAACAAATGATTACCGCTAATCAATTACAATGTAGAATAAAGATTTTTAGTTAATTCACTTATAATGTTGTGATAGTCAAATACAAATAGATGATGATTTATATGGTGGAAAAAAGAATCTTTAAGCAGTCGTGATACGTAGTTATATTGTGACGGTCTTACATTAACATGCTTTTGACAGGAAAATAGCGGTGTTTTGGTAATATTTATGTAAAAAAACCTTATTATTATTTATACAGTAAAACAAAACACAAAAAGTTATAAAATCGTTTTATTTAATTAAATGTTTACACAAAAAAAGTATGTTGTAAAATAGTTGGCCTTGTTTGAACTTCAATGAGTACAGTGCGAATAAAAAAGAATACAGAATATATTCTAGGATTTCGCGGTGGTGAAATACTTTTTAAAAATTATACAAAATAAAAAATCATAACTTATTAATTTTTTTAAGAATATTAACACAAGACACAATCCAAGGTCTAAGAGCGTTCCCGCTCATATCGTAGGTAGCTCACGTGTTGGTAAGTGTGCGTATTTTGGATGTGGCGGGGTAACGTTAACCGCCTGGCCACAGCCAAGAGCGGTGCGGATTGCGGCGCGTCGTGAGGCGCGGTAAGCGGTGAGCGGCGAAAACAAATGGTAAATAACCTATGAAGTATGCCACAGCTACCGGCGACGCGCACTGCGGCGCGACTTGCGGCGCGGCAAGAGGCGCGTGGCACGCGGCGGCGACGAGCTGCACGATGTGCGAGTGAAACAAATGTACTAGCCAATATCGAGGTGGCCACAGCTCAGAGCGGCGCGCGCGGCGGCTTCGTTGGACGCTTTGAGGCATCGCGCAACCGAAACAAATAATTTTGTTTTTATCGCGCGTTGAGCCAATAAAATAAATAATGGATATGGAACAATTCATTAGTTAGTTTCTATGCTTGCCCGCGTATATTCAAAAAATTTAGTTAGTAGTAGGATAGTTCCTATATTCATAATAAAGAGTGTGAAATTCGCCAAGTTCTCTCCTTTTCTGGGTTAACTGGGTGCGCTCCTATTCTTGACTGAATGATATCTTCAGCTAAGAACGCACTTGTTTCAAGGCAATATCGAGCCACTTATGATAGGGGCATTTTAATGGTTTATCCGTTCTCTAAATACGTGCACCGTTGACGCCGCCGCGGTCACAACTAGTCTAGCTGTGGCATACCACCGCAAATCACGCCGCCCGCCGCGCCTCCCAACGCACCGCGCAACGCACCGCCAGAAACTGTGGCCAGACCGTAAGGGTTTAATAAAACTGCAAAATAACGATGTAGTACTACACAAAAATTGGAGGCAATAAAATTTAAAATTAACTTCATCATCATCATCACAGCCTACAATAGTCCACTCCTGGACATAGGCCTCTCCTTAGAAAGGAAAATTAACTTACGGCTTGCTAATTAATGCTAGTTCTTTACGTGTTATGACTAAATGAATAGGCGTTGTGCAAACATACCCCCGTGCAATGAAAGCTTGGGTGTTGGTTGCGACCTCAGGCAAAACACAAATATTGCTGAAGGCGCTTCTCAAAATATCACTACCTGTTATAATGTCAGCTATTTGTTGAGCGGAAAAAATGACAAAACATGACGTTAACGCCTTTTTAAGGGTTGTTTGTTTTCGTTCAAAAGATCGTTCGATCGATTTAGTCATTATTTACGACACCGATTGTGATTTTAGATATATAGATAATCAAGTTTAATGTATTCCTGATGCAGCGTGTGTTACCCCAATCGTCATGAATACGATAAGTACACTGAAAATATACAGATAACATGACATGGAATGCGAATAGTATTTAACACTGGTAAACACACACAGCTTTGCAACACCCAAAGGTTTGACTGGAAGAAGATGCCTGAGGCATTAAGTCCGCCTTATGCAATATGTTTGCAGGAAGACTCAATAAATAAATAAATAAACAGCTAATGATATTAGGCTAAATGTGACTCAGTTCTCTGGATAATTCATCATCCTGAAATCATTTATCTAACTACCGTCTCATTAAGATTAACTTCATTCTTATTACTTACGAATCTAATGAACCTAGAGGGTCGAATATTTGAGAAATAACTGAAAGCACACGCGCTATGAATTGTAAATAATTGATCAGATTCAGCTATCCAACGAACCCAGTTGGTAACATAAAACTTGAGAGTTGTTTGATGTTGTTTATAGCATAGGGTCAAACAAGCAGACGGGCATTTCCTTTCTAGGGTACTCCTGGTTCCCCGGCTACTGGTACCCGAGACAAAATACAAAATAAAAAGGGGTTTTCTATGAAAATTACAGTAAAGTGAAAATAAATCAAAACTGCGTTTTAATAATTATATTTTACACCACGTACGCAATAAACAGTATTCGTACATCAGTTTTTATAAATAAACAGTAGCTTGTATCTGTCTTAAATATGTGCTTCAAGTGGCTCTGCGCAGGAGTATGTTCCGCAGCAGAGCCAGAATCGATGCTCATTGTTTTGTTACCCAATGTACGTACAGCGATAACGGCATAAGTGCATTATGTACGATTGACGTACATCATTTTAAGATATTATTGATCGGTACGTATTATGATAGCTCTGATACCAGGGCTCATCCGTAACCTTGTGAATTTTAGTAATAATTTACTATTGTGGACTTTAATAAATACCCTAAAACTATCTAAAGCTATATTTTATTGGCGTATGTTTAACTTACCATCAGAGATAATATAATATCACTTCATAAACACTTAATGAAAACCATAATTTTATCCATATTTGAAATTAAATGTCCTGTTATTTAATAGTTTAGAATGGAGCTTTTAGAATGCAACTTTCTTCAAGTCGCATAAGTTTTGCTAGACTTTTCTTAATTAAAAAAATTATGTACAAAAGAGACATTACGATTTTTGAGGTTATATGTTGTACTGGAAGAAAGGTGACGGAGCCCCGTTTTGCTGGTATTCTACTTTTAAACCAGGTGGTTTAAAAATAAATAGCAACGAAGCGAACGAACCACCTTCTGACCTAACCTGTTCATGTCGGTTAGGGCGATAGAAGATAGTAGAAGTAGCGACATTATGATGTTATTCAATGTAGTCTATACCTATGGTTAACAAATAAATCAAACGATTTCAATAGTCCTGCTTATCAACTTGGTACAAACTTAAAAGTCCAAAGTCATAGTTGTTAGCTTACTCTCTGAGACTTGGTGATCATTTACTACATTTGGTTTTGAATAAAATTAAAAGTGCAGTGATGACCAAAACAGTGAGAACCATTGTGATTACTATGCTAATTATTTTTTGGTGGTCCCTATATTTAATCCCTTATAGAAGGGCGAACTGATGTAAAGCGCCATCGAAGCGGATGGCTTACTCACCAAATTGCTGGTGGTGCTAACACTTTACATGCATCCGTCATGATTCAAGAGACAAACAATATAAATACCTAGCAAATGTCTATATGTACCTACTTCGTTACTATGACACACTGCCACTTCGGTACACTGAATATTTAACAAACGTTAAAACTTTAGCTTCTTTAGAGACTTGTTGTAGTATTATTTTTTGGCTTCATACTTTGTTATCGTTAGTTCATTTACTTTAAATCGTTAGTTCTACAATTAAACATAATTACGAACATCATTTTTCTTTCCTTCGTTTTTTTATTAATCACTTGAACAATATGCAACTACCTACTCTATTATTTTCTGTTAAAACGATTAGCTATTTAATAATCATAATCGAATTCGATATAATGCTTGCAGCTCTTTTGTCATTCATGCTCGAACCACACCAAAAATACTTTGCCACATGGACGTTTATTACAAAATGTCTTGTATATTTTCAAACAAACTTTTTGGCAGTATTTCATCCTCTTATTACGAGTACATCTCCTGTAGTCGTAGACTTATGATGTCGCTTTCTACTTCTGAAAACTGAATCCAAAACTTATTTTTTGACACGGAAATTATCTTCCGGACTTAGTGGTTGCTTTGTTCTTCCATAGAGGTATCGTCCATTTTATAAACTTCGAAAATCTCTTTGCTTATGGGATTGTTATGCTTCCACGTCTTGTTCAACTCACTGATACATTTGATTAGAAAATGGTTAAATATTTTATAAATCTAAATAAATATCAAGCACATTGCAAAAAGCGAGTAAAATAACTTCTTTTTCTTTTCCCTTTTTTACGCATGGAATGCTTTTCGCACCATATCCTTCGTTGGGAAAACGGAGGGCGCGTGTGGACTCGGTGTACGAAGAGAAGAAAAGCTCCAGGAACGCATCGGAGGCTTCAGGAGTCCTCCCTGCCGTACCCCATGTCTGAATCCTTTCCACTTACCTACCCATTAAAGATTTTAAACTATTGTGTTCTGTCGTAGTGTTCGCTAGTATAAAAGATACATAATCACGCTTCATAGTTTAAATAGATACGTAGCGTAGTACGTACATACTCTAATTATACACACGGTGTACGTGTTATTAGTAGTACCTAGCCACGTAGGTACGCACATGAGTACGGAGTTGACTAAACTTGTGATAAACTAATTTTGTACCCACGTACATTATAAAGAACAATGATACAAAAAACTAAGTAATGAACAATCATTTCAAGAATTTACAATTATACGATTCACAAGACGCATTATCAAAGTAGTAGGCCAAAACCTTCTTTCTGAGGAGACGCCTGTGTCCAGCAGTGGACTATTAAAAGCTGTTGATGATGATGATAATTAAAGTATTTTTTAAACTTAATACGTATCCAATAACTTGTTAAAAAAATCCCTATCAACAAGTAGTGTTTACAAGACATTTACTTCTAATGTCCACCAGCCTCTTCGCACATATCCTTTTAAGCTGAGTGAGCTTCTAACGATTTGTCGCAAACTTAGTTACAAATTAAAAACTTGCAAAAAGAGACTGACGTCTGTTTTTTTATAAACAATTGATCTAATTTTGCTAATGACTACTGCCATGTCTGTGTTATTTTATCGCTTAACGGTAAATCTCGTACTTATTACTGAAAAGCAATGGGCTGGCAACTGTCAAAGTGGCGCTAGCATAGCTTGTTCCCTATATATTTCATCATCATCTTCCGAGATGTTTTTCCAAACTAGGTTGGGGTCGGCTCTCATCCTACTACGGCACCCTTGAACATCATTGTTTTACTTGGAGTAACTACCACAACCCAAGTACTAGGCAACCCAAAATGATCATATCATGATAAAAACATGTTCGAATAAATCGACATACACCTTGTTTTTCGATCTTTCACAAACTTAGGTTTAAACTATTTAGTTTAAACCTAAAATTGTGAAAGATCGTTAGATAGGTGCAAGATGATTGATGCCTGATATTTACAAACTATTGATGAGTAATGTCATGACTACTGCACTCTCCGTGTTTGCGCTACGGTTAACAAACTCATACTTTTATTACTGGAAGTTTTTGAACAATTTACATTCAACTGTAGCTTGCGTTCATTGTTTAGATTTTGTAAGTTATATTTGAATGCGATCGCAAGGTCCTTCCAATACAATATTTTTTTACCAGGAGAAGATCTCTTATAAGAAGAAGAACCCAAGAAAAAAACAAAAATGCCCAAAAATTTAGTATTTTAAATCTGTGAATAAAATTAATATGTATAACGGCGGTCGGAAACCGTTCCTTTAAAAGTTTAAATTTTAGTATTAGACTTCGTTCCATTTTAATGACAATTATCAGAGCTGAAGTTGGTTTCCTCTGCTCTTTTAGAAAACCTTTTTTTTTTAAATTCTCGACAAACTATGACTACGGCAGAGATTAAGGTACTCACTGAAGAGTTTTCAAAATGAACATAACTATACATGTAGAACATTGCAACAACAAGCATTGATTCAATTATTTTCTTTATTTCCGCTCCAAACCATTTTATGTACACGTATTGTACAATTCAATCAATTCCAGTCGTCATTTAGTGACGTACGTAAATGTTAAAAGAAAAATGTTGACTACATACTCGTATATTTAAAAACTTAAAAATTAAAATGAAACGAAGAATAAGTATTTGTTTATACCTCGCTGTAATGATATGTGAAGTATGTATTTTTTTTGTAATAATATGATATTGACCACGGTCTAGAAGACAAACGTACAAGGCGTAAAATATTTTATTTCCATTTTCCAACTACTTCTACGTAAGCCTTAGAACTGTTTAACTATACACAAAAAGAAAGTCTGCTATTAGTTCGTTTGTTTTCTACCATGAATATATTAATCTTAGAAACAGCTAAGACAACTTTTCCTCTCCGAACAGGCATTCGCAGAAGAGAAAAAACAAATAAATAGTTTCAAAAACGACGTTTCAAGGAATGACTTTGTACGTTTACTAAGTTCTTTGATAAAATTGAATGAGCAGAGATTGAATGAAATATCAAAAACAAACAAATTACAAGATTATGGAACTATTACAGAGGTTTTAAGCAGCCCTCAAAGCGCAAATAGAAATAAATTTAAGATATTTGTTTTATGAGTTGAAGTCATGTCGCTATAAAACTTTTATGTGACTTATCCTTTTTATTTAACCCGCCTTATTGACTCTGTATTCAGGCATGAATATCACACAACACGACAAAATAAACATTATTATTTTTTCAATCTAATAATTATAACATATCTTAAATAAAACATCCCTAATGTAGCTACATACTCCTATGTGTTAGGGATGTTTGCGGAGAACATATCTTTATAGTTATTTACATAACTATTCTACACTCACACTCACTTCAGACACAATCTGTTTTCAGAATAAATCAGTTTCAGTAAGTAGCAGTTTATCATTAGAGGACTCATTTAGTGTATACGGAAAAACTCCGATTCCCGAAAGACAGGAAGAAACAATAACTGATATTTATAAAATATTTGATGATTTTCGCACTAAGGACCCTGAGATCGACCCAGAAATATTTAGGGATGATTTTAATTCACATATTGAAGTAATCGATAGTCAAAAAAGTCAACTTAATTTTAAAAGAGATGGTTTTTATAATACACCAAAATTGAACAAAAAGACAACGCAGCTGAGGAATAAAAATACACATTCAAGTGTAACTCGTACAATACACTATCGTTTGCATAAAACAATGAATTCTGAAGATAATAATGATTTATTAGTAAATAATAAAGTAAATATACCTAATCCTCGTAAATCACATTCACTCGTGACTGAAAATATTCCCCGAACACAAAGTTTAAATGACTTAGAACCAAAGATACGCAAGAGTAAACAACGCAAACATAAACCAATTGCACCTATTTCAGAAGTGTCTGACGTGTTTAGTACATATAATACAAAATTTCTTTCAAACCTGAAAAAATCAAAGAATTCAAAAGAATACGTAAAGTCCGAACCATTTAACAAACTTGTAAATAAACGTAAAAATAAATTACCTCGATTGAATAAACGACGAAAACCGAGAAATCGCAATGATTCTGAGAATAGGCATGAGAAAAGAAAATATTCAGGAATCCCTATAGAAGGTAAAGAATACAATAAAGTCCGTCACATACAACCTGAATTAGATATTGCTTTAGAGCAAGCAGAATTACCGAAAGAAAAACAACATAAAACACAAAATAAAAAAGGTTTGCTTACTATTCTTCGTTCACTAACAACAGATTTTGTTACATCCAAAACTGAAATGACTGCCGATTCCGAAGTTCCGATTGTCAAAAATGTAAATGACAACTCTAAACCACATAAAGACGAGTTTACCTTAGGAATATCAGACACTCATGAAAATCAAGGACAATCTAAGACTGAGGATTTATCTTCTCATTTAGGGTCCTCCTTACTAGATATGGACGTTAGCATGTATCAACACATACTGGGACAAGAACCTAAAAAGGTGTCATCAGTCTCTAAAGACTTTCAAAATAAAAAAGCTCATAGCCTAAAAAGCACACTGACATCATCTTTGATTGTAAAACAACAACCTGTAAAAGGAATAAATGATAAAAGTGAAATCGAAACTTATGATCAGCTTGATGAAAAAGTTGAAAGTGATAAAAAAGTCAAAGATTTTGCTCTTGGAATTAACTCAAATGCGGAAATTGATACTGATAAAGCTAAACTGGATACTATTAAACCTGAAAATACTATCTTACGTCAGGCTGATTATAAAAACGATGACAAGCCCTATACAAAGTATAAACCTCATGCAGTTAAAAGAATTCAACCTAAAATAGCAAAGAAAAATTTTGATGCTTCATTAACCATGAATGATAGACAAGATAAAATTACAAATAAAGAAGACAAAGTTGACCTGGATGATGATTTTTCTAAAGCAGAAATTGTACTAACAGATAGTAAAGAAAGTGATGAAATTTCAGGGGACGGATTTATTACCGTAAACGAAAGATCAGATAACGAGGATTCAGAATCAGTATCAATAAAACACTTAAAAGAGGATAAAGGAATTGGTAACGTTTTAAGATATTCTAGAAGAGGTATTAGGAGCAAAAAATTGTTAAGAAAATGTCACAGAGCGTGCATAGGTGCGTACACAAGTGTTTGTCGACGATTGAAATGTTCTCCGAAAGCTAAAAGAGATTTTAAGTATCAATGCAGAAAAAGTTGTAAAAGGACATTTGGGAAAAGGAAATATAGTAGTTCCGAGAAGTAGATCTTTTAAATTTTAGTGTATTTCTTAAATTACTAAATCTAATTGTAGAAGAAACGTCTAGACTTGTTACAATAGATACAGAAATAAATATACGTGTGGCGATAGTAGGGTGTAGTTTACAAAAAGGTATTAATTATTGTGTTGTATATAAACGAAGTGAAATTCGTTTCAAAACCTAATTATTAGTCATATCCTAACTTATCATTTAAGCGACCGGAGTGGGTACACGATACATGAAGATAAAATCCCATAGCAATGTCGGCATTATATTAGAGGGACTATTAGGCTCCTACTTTTATATTTTCCTACGTTGACTGTATAAAGGAGATACGAGTACGCTTAAGTTCTATTAAGTGAGTAGGACGAAGAAAAAACGATAGGTATCGCGAATTGTGCCGCAAATTGTTTACTCAGAGATCAAAGGCGCAAGCACAATACACAAACTAAAAAAAATACACAACTGAAATATTTTTTTTTGTTTATGTGGTAACATTAATCTCAAAATACGAAGTTTAATGAAGAATCATTTGTAATATTTTATTGTCATCCGAAGTTGCATCCATTTCTTTTTAAGCATGGACTAATAATAAATAATTACGTATTAAAAGGTAGGCCAAAACCTCCTTTCTAAGCCTAGTTGATGTGATTGATGTGACGTATTAAATTACAGAAGTAAGTAAATACCTAGTTACCCTTTTCTTAATAATTATGCTCGCATTTAATCATACAAATAAGTTTAAAATAAATAACTTAAAGTTACAGCCGTTTCAAATGCTGCAATGACCACAATTGCTTTACGTTTTTATAAATATACACGGTGATTTTGAAAGCGTTTTGGAAAAGAAAATTTTGAATTATTTATCAGTAACAGAAGCTATATATAACGTTAATTTAATAAAATATTTTTTTTTATCGTCAAAGTCGATATTCATATCGTTTACAGAGAAAAAGTGAGAACCAGTAGTAGTAGGCTATTCAATCACACGTAGGTAAATACTACGAATAGAAAATACTATGCGTTTTAATATCGAGTCACATAAAGGTCGCGCGCTCACGCGCAAGGTCAAGGACGTTTAAATTATTATTCGCCGGAGTGTAGTGCGTGCATACCTGGACAATGAGTTTAGTGATCGGTGGATAGGTCGAGGAGGGCCAGTGCCTTGGCCACCTAGAAGCCCGGACTTAACGCCCCTTTTTTTTTCCGTGCGGAAGGACTTAACGCCCCTGGATTTTTTCTTATGGTCGGAAATAAAAAGACTTGTTTATACACGGGAATATGAAAGCCGTGATAATTTACGCATTGCGATAGTGGACGCTTTTGATAAAGTGAAAAGTGATAGAGACACATTAAGATAATTAAAAAAACAATTGCATTAAACGTGGACGTTTGTGTATTGAATGCAGCGGACTCCATTTTGAGCAGTTCCTTCGATACAGAGAAGTGTAAATAGTGTAAATAGGTATGTAAGTTAATTATTCCGTAGATAGCTCCGATTTTTTAAATACCCCTGAAATATTTATACCTACAGTCCGTTGATAAATTGATTTGTTGTGAAAAGAACAATCGTGGTTAATCATCGAAAAGAAGTTTAAATAAAATAGGTATTTCCGACGGTCCTAAGCCCGTGTAAAGTATGAAGGACAAATTGGAGTCTATCTACGTAAGTACTCGCTAGCTCGCGCCTATAGGTATACTTTTATCAGCTGCTTTTAGCTTCGGCGGTGCGCAGCGGCCGCCGAAACGCTCACGGACGTGTTTCATTCATATAAGATAATTAATTAATGATCAGTCCATTACTACTTTCCAAGTCGATCGAGTAAAAATGAATATTAAAACAGAAACTTTTTTTTTTAGACAACATTACAATTGATTTAATCATTTTTATTGGTACTATAGATGATTCCAAATTAAAATATTTCGTTTCAAAAACGCCTATAAAATCACCGTGTATAAATTTTATTTATTTTTTATTTTTTACACTTCCTGCATACAACTTGTACGAGGCGGACTTAATGCCACATGGCATAATCTACCTGTCAACCTTATGGTGGTTCAGTAAGGGACATGGCAGGTGCACATGTATTATGTAATAAGAAGAGAAGCTATGAAAATATAACATTAATTTGATAATAGGTACTATTTAAAATACATAGACGCTACATAGACATAGCTGGTGTCCGCGACTTCGTTCGCGTGGAATTTGAAAAGCGCTGCCTTGGTGGGTTCGATTCCCGGACCGGGTAAAATTTTAAAGGGTTTTTCTGAGAGGAAAAATAGCCTAACTTACTCCTTATATAGACAGCTACCTGGTAGTAAAATATTATCAAAATCGGTCCAGCCGTTTAGAAGATTACCCTGAACAAACAGACAGACAAATAAACTGGTTTTTAGGCATAGGTATCCTGCAAATAACTGTGAGAGCATTAAAAAAACCTATTATTTTTGACATTACAAACAGACACTTCGATTTTATATATTTGTATAGATACGGAATAAAATAAATACAATAATGTCTGAGGTGACGAAATCATGAGGATATTTCTGCTAGCTGTTTCCTGTAGAATTCTGGGACTTTAGCTTTCAAACAGTCGCGACTTGCTGACATCCTGATCTCAAGTGGTGCGCATTAGATAGTAGAAAAGATTGGACAGCAAATGAAGAATGAACAAGAGAAGAAGTGTGTATTGGACACAGTATACTTTTTTTGTAAATACACACTTATTATACATAGAAACATCCAGACCAAATCAAACATTAAATGTTTGTGCACACAAATGTTTGACTTGAGCGGGAATCGAATCCGCGACCTTTGGAATAGCAGTCCGTTACACAAACCACTACGCCATCCGGTCGTCTGAAGATCTCTGTCATGGTTGGAGCATAGCGGTTTAATCTGTAAAGTGAGATAAGTGGGAGCTGTAGGATTATTAAGAAACTAGCTGAGACCCGCGGTGTTACCCGCGTTTGTTGTTATAACCGCGGGCAACGCCGTGGGGCAAAGCTAGTCTAAAAAAAGTAGCCTAAGTTACTCCTTATGTCATCAGCTATCTGCCAGTGAAAGTCCCGTCGAATTCGGTCCAGCCATTCCAGAGATTACCCGGAACAAACAGACAGACAGACAAAAATTGAAAAAAATGTTATTTTGGCATATGTACCGTGTAAACATACATATGCATTTTGTAAAAAGAGGTTATTTTAATATTACAAACAGACACTCCAATTTTATTTATTTGTATAGAAGAGTGAATTGAGAGAGAAGTAGTCAAGGCCCGCAAGCTACGGCGTATAGGTACGGCTCTGACGTATAGGTAACCATGACAGCTGGGATCTAAGATGGGGATCCATGGGTTGAAGATGAATTGAATGCAATTGTTGAGAAGTCGATCAAGTTTGCTGAGTAGATCTGCATTCAGGTCGAGGCAGCATACATCACCATAATCGATGATTGGATAGATCGAAGCCTATACAAGCATTAACTTGGCAGTATGTGGAAGGAAGTTCCTTAGCCGATACAGTGTCGCAAGGTTCCAGTGACTTTTTGACTTACGTTCGAAACCTGGAATTGCCAAGTGCGACTGGAGTCAATCCATAAGCCAAAATCTTTGATAAATGGACTGATCGGTATGTAGGATCCGTAAATTCAAAATAAAGCTTAACAATCAATGTAAATAAATTACACAGAGATCTAGCCGTAAACATACAAGCGAAGTATATATAATAATTTAATTTAAATAAACTGTGTACTCCATTTTATTTTATTCGACTTCCAAGCTAAATGCTTTTTTACACAACTCCATAAACTTGTTACACAAATGGAATTTTCCTTTCAAAGTGTATTTAATTCAAGATTTCGCGCCGGTATAAATTTTCTTTCAACTGTAATATTATTATTTTACATCGTAAGTTGGCAAGTTATGTTTAGTATTTATTTTATTTAGTTACATTTGTTTTATTTACATATACTGCAAAGAATTAATCGAAGAAAAAGGATTAGTCTAAACTGGCTACGTACTTTCTTGGCTATTAATGGATATTTAAGTGTGTCTTATCTAAGACATAAATGCTCCGACTAATTTTTTACACTCTTTATTTTTATAGTTTTTTTTCACTTTCACGATAAAAAAAAAACGACGGGTTGCACTCCGGGAGTGCCGGCAGAAGTGAAAACTCGAATATTAACGTTGTGCATTTTTTATATTTTGGAATGGTTAGGGAATAATTTTGCACAATTGCAAACAAACAATTGCAACAACAAAATTGCTTTAATTTTATCAGTATAAAAGTACTATCATTTATGTGGTAGAATACAATATTTATTTATTGCGCTATCGTACACAAACATGACAATTTATCGAGACGCTGTCACCATCCATGGATGCGCGTGGCACGCTGTAACATAAACACACACGAAGATTCGCGCAAGCGCCCTGCGCCGCCTAAACGAAACAGCAGGCGCAGGCATACATTTTCGCCGCGCCGTAGAAAGAGAGGGGGATACTTCCCCTCCTACGCCGCGCCGGCTGTCTACTCTCCATCCCTGTTACGAATTTTCGATCAGGTCACGTGTCCTGACGCGAGTTTAACATTTTTTACCCATTACAAAATGTGTACAACGCCGCTAAAGAAGTTTTCACTTCAAAAATCTATTAAGTAAGTTTACTCTGTACAGGACAACGGGGATCACGCGGAAATACTACCTGTATCTTCATTAGTTACGGAGTTGTAATACACTTTACTGTACTAGACTTTAGTAAATATAAAATAATGCTAATCCTGTTGCTACAATAACAGATCTGTGTTAAATAAATCAATTTAATAATGTAAGGTACGGTACCTGTTAAGTTGTGTATAAAAATTGTACATTATATTTCTGTGGGAATTTGGAAATTTATGCTCATATGCTTACCCAGAATTAGAGGAGACGGCTGGGTTCAGGTCACCTCACTAACTCGTTGAAAAGCAAAGAAATAATTGCTTGGTTTTTTGTGAGTTTCAGGGGAAAAACATAAGCGAAGCAAGGATGACATACAAGTCTGATCACGACATGAGCACAGATTCCTCTGATAGTCAAACGGATAAATTTTCAAGTAAAGAAGACATTTCGGATTACACTGAAGCTGATCTGACATATATTCAGAGTGGAAGGAGACGTAATAGCAAGCCTTCTCGTAGAAAAGTAAGGAAGGCTTGTGTGAAAGCATGTAAAAGGGCATTTAGGATAGTATGCAATACCCATAGTTGCACGAAGAAAGCGAAAAAGAACTTAAAACGTGAGTGTAGGAAACACTGCAAAAACAAGTTCTTTTAGATAGGTACAAACAAACACAGTTGCTTAGCGTTAGCGAAGCTGCTGTCTCGCTAAACAGGAGTAGGTATATAGTAGAAAATAATTAAAAATACTAAAAATAAATTCTATCAAATCATTTTATTTTATTTCACCTTTCTTTGAAATAAAAATAGAACTGACAGTGTCATGTCCATGACATTAACACTGGCAGTTCCATTATTATTGGTCATGGCTATGGAGGGTAGAGAAAGTGTCCTGCTGCGGTAGCCTAAGATAAATTAAAAAAAAAGGCGCCAAAAGTAATTAGACTAAGATAGACTATTAACACAGCAGTTTTTTGGTTATATTTACTAAATTATTTTAGACTACGTAAATAGTTGAGGTTTTGTAAACTAGCATTTTACTAACTACTCTAGTCATGATTTTTCTTAATATTTGAACTCAGCAGACTTCACTCCGTCTAAAACAGCTATGTTCTATATTTTCAATATACAGCTGGACATTTTTTCTCTACCCTCCATAGTCATAGCGTATTGTTGATATTTGAATGGATCATGTTTGTAATTAGTTCAGATATACTATTAAAAAGTTTAAAAGGAAATAACTACAAGTTAAAAAAATGTTTTACATATCGGTTGAATATTTTTTTAAATAAATGGCCTTGTTTAGAAGTTTCCGTGTATAATCATATAAATAACAAAAACTCCTCTTACGAAATAACAGATTCTTCAGATTCAGATTTCTGGTCATCCGTTGTGGTAAAACACCATAAAAATAATACATAAAGGAAAAACATAATTTCTATGGACTGAGAGTCATCAGTCCATAGACTGGTCTGATACAGAAGGCAGTCCTCCTTGACACGGCTCGTATAGTGAGGAGGTTCCTATCTTTGCAGTCCTAACCACTGGTGTCTTGGTACCTGTACCCGATGTCGGTGGTCTACTATTTTTTATATTTTAAAATGTATTTTTATTTCTTTTGTAATATATTTAAAAATGTAATTAATATGTATATATAATTTAATAAAGAGAATAATAATAATATATTTTACTACATTCACACAACGCCACATATTAATATTAACATATTTACGAATAACTGGTATTGCTTGAGAAATGAGAATGATACAGTTTGAAATTCAATCGTGAAATTATTAAATGTCTATATTATAATTAAATTTTGTAAAATATGTAGCTGACAAAACCATGAGAGTTTTAGTAGTCATCGAGAAACTGCCTTTTGCAACTTTTCTTGCATTCTTTCTTCAAACCCTTTTTCAACTTTTTTTTACAATCGTAATAGTCACAAGCATCTTTCACGGCTGCTTTGCAAGCCTTTTTGCACATTTTCGAGGCTTTTTTTAGACATCCCTTCCATGGTCTCTTTCTCAAAAGCACATCTGGCCTATCGATTTTATCTCCATTACCAGTAATATCGTCCACATTTACACTGTCAGTTACTACTCTTTTTAGTTTAGTATTGTCATGTGGTAATACAGTTTCGACATTTTTCTCTTCATTAGAATCTAAAATAATTTCTTCAGAGTCTTTATTACTCTAAAAATTAAAGTTTCCATAAATAGAAACAAACTTACGAAAAGTATTCATATGTAAATCTAAATTGGCAGAATCCACAAATTTAGTTACACAGAGGATTAAATATAAATAAATATTAATTAGAAGCAGCATTGATATGATATGAGCCTAGTTCCAACATTTCTATAATGAATCTTCCAACAAGTCAATTATTAAGACTTATAACCAAAAAATAATAATTAAATTACCAATAACTTCTTTAAGTCACATACAAAAAGACCTAAAATTGCTTCAAGACTCTTATTTGGAGGATTTTTACGCTTGAGGAAACGGACATGAGGTCTTTCAGAGTAAGTACTATTCCTGGAGAATATCTGAATTTCCCAAAGAAATCTACATTACAACCAGCACAGCAAAAGGCACGGGCAATAACCACCTTAATATAATTGACTAATACGATAAAAATTCATATGCAACTCATATTTTATCACTCGCTAGGACAATCTTTGACGACAGTCCCCAGTCAAGAATTGCGTATCGATTGATTTGTAGCAGTAAGTTTGCTCTTCAAAAGTTTATTAAATTATATGAGAGTTGTATAGCAATCATAATAACCAAATATTGCACTATTAATCGATATAAAGTGCAATCTATTATAGTTTCTCACATCATCACATCAATAGCCTTTAATAGTCCACTGCTGGATATATGCCTCTCCTTAGAAATTAGGTTTTTCCCTACTATACCATGCTGGCCAGACGGGTTGGAACAGGGTTTGTGTCAAGTTTTTATTCTCTTTGCAGTGCTGTTGTCCTGCGTAATTTGCTACCTTAGTCGGCTCTTGTGACACCCAAGGATTCAGAGTTTCTAAATAAAGTCAATAATTACTCAGTTAAAAGTAATGTTTAAATATGAAGCAGTGTCTTACTTCCATGATTATGAATGCTGAAAATAAGGATTCATTTCCGTCTACAATGACATCATCGATAACGCTATCCTCTGGGCTGTCGATGTTCCAAACGTCTGCAGCAATAGCCACCTAGAGGTAAGGCAAAAGAAAAAAGTTATTTATAAAAGAAATTACAAGTAATAGACTTGTTTAGGTTATATAAAGACATAATATTTAGGAATATAATGATGATCTTGACAGATTTGTAAACCAAACTTCAATAGTAGGTAGTGCTCGTCGAAAAGATGAGATGAACAGATGATATTTTGTATTCACCAATTCCCAAGAGACGAAGGACTTTATGAGATTATGGCCAGAGTAATACCTTGGTCTCACAGAAAACCAGTGTCAAGCAATTGTTACGTTATTTTTCACCAAGTGAGTGAGGTCACCGGAACCCAAAAGCCCTCTTCTTTCTGATTATGAAGGTTTTCTCAAAGTGCGGCAACGCGTTAAACGCTCTGAGCGTATGGAAACTAGACCAAAAAATGTGTAACAAGACCTTTTGCCGACTCTTTTTTGCTATATTACGCACGCACTTGTAAAGATCTTTTAAATTAAGTAACGGATTTCAATACGATTTTCACTAATAGAGAGTGATGCAAGTGGAAGGTTTATATGTATAATACATGCAAATTATAGTAAAGGTAATCCGAGAATTTTAAATTGTGGAAAAAAATATGTTTTTAAGCGCTTACATTGCAAACGATGGCTAAATCAAACGATATAGACCAAGAGTCTTGACCGTTGTGAGTACAATCAGAAGATCCGTTTGCCCCTATGTTATAAAAAATACTTTACCCTGGCTCCCTCATTGTATCAATTTCCCTTACCACAATCTACCTTCTTGAAGGAGGGTTGGAGTCAGATACACGGCCGACCATAAAAAAACTAACCAAAACCCTTCGCGTAACGGGGCTTCAAAACGGCTTCAAGACGGAGGATGATCAAGATGACAAAAGTAAAACACGCCACACTTACAACAAACAAATACAGAGGTAAAAGAGCTTCAAAGGCACTCATTTTCTCTTTTTTTTATCAGTGCCTTCGTCTAGACTAGAAGCTGACTTAAACACTCATTTGAATATTGATTCTTCGAAGAATTCGTCGTAAAACCATGACATGATTATCTGTCGTACGTCTTAATTGTTTTAAGGCCAGTGATTCAAATTAATTTCATGGTTATATATTCGAACATCTTTTAATAAGGATGAAAGATCTTCATAGGAAATAATCAGACGCAATTTTTCTTTACTTTTCGCAATTTACTCAGGGAACAGAAGGCCTCAGTGACGTAAAATATTTTCATGGAGATATCTTCCATATCTATAGGTACAAATATTGTAAACCTGGAGAGTTTGATTGTTTGTTTGAACAATTTTGATCATTTTTTTCTAATGTCAGCTTCCGCATTATAATTGTATATATCTTCTGTCTCGGGGGACTTTACAGACATACAGAAACGGACACAAAGGAAACCTAGACTCAGAACAACAATTTGTGGATCACACAAAGTGGTGTCGCATGTGAGGATCGAACCCATGACACTTATGCAGCAGAAAGCGGCGGCGATCTTTGCAGTCAAGTTATTCTTATTCTATAGAAAGTAAGAAGCCTAAACGTAGATTTATAATTATATTATTATACTTTATAATATTTCGCTTACATAGGTATAAACTTTAAGCACTTACACCACGTGTATTCTAAATACATGGAGCAACTAAGTGTCCAGTAATCCATTCCATCCAAGTAAATCAGCTATATATTCGTCGAGCGACCTTTTCTTACCTTCTTTAAAAAAAGAAATATACTAATATCCTCTGATATAAGAAGATTAAGACAGCAGGATCAAAAAGATATGAAACGAAAGCATTTTATAAATTTAGGATTGCAATACCAACGTCATGACGATAAACTACCCCATACAAAATCACTCGGTGCTTTAAAATATTGTCAAAAATATGTGTACAAGAATTTTAATTCATAGATTCGAACGTTTACTACCCTTTGACAAATTTCGGGCTATTGATTACCATTAAAACGAGATATTTTAACAATATATGTCCAAAAAATTAATGAACGCAGAACTATCTCTGAAGACGCGTTTACCTATGCTTATTACTTACCTGTTTTAGGCAGCGAAAATGATGCTACATTAATTGGCGTAGATGACGAGCAGAAACATCGCGTTTAGAAAGCAACATTTTTACAAACTTTTGCTCTCAGTGAAAAATGTTGTTCAGTCACTGATCAGAGAGGACATCACATGAATCACCGCTACTGATGCTCATCAAGAGTGAACAAGACCATGTGAAATAATATCAGAGAGTCACATTACTGTCGCCATGATACCAGCAAAATACATCTGCATTGGTTGGTCACAATCAGACGAATGTTTACTGAATGAATGGTTGTCGTAAGAGCCAACTCAGAGAGCATGCTAAGCAGGACAACAGCACTGCAAAGAGAACTCTTTGCAGTGCAGGGTTAGTATAAACCAACCCGTCTGGCTAGCGTGGTATAGTAGGCCAAAACCTCCTTTCTAAGGAAAGGCCTATGTCCAGCAGTGGACTATTAAGGGCTGCTGATGATGATGATGATTGAAAGGTTTGATTCGAAAAAGTACACGCTACATCATAGTGTGGATAACTAGGAAGCTTAATTTTACTCTAATGTCTCAGTAGTATTTGTAGAAAGTAGTCAGTCAGTGTAGAAAACTAACACCATAATTTTAGTTTGTTTCTTAACAAAATTAGTTTATTTTGAATTTATTTCTGTGTTATCTGCTTAGTTATATTTTCATAAATATCTATTTTCTTATATTTTCATAATAAAATGCTACTTCATTGTGAAGGTACAAATTGTGGTGGTACTGAACTAGTAATATTTTTTGGTTAATTATTCAGTTCTCTTAAACTTTCATATAGTTTGTTGACATGTTGCTTTTTAAAAGAAACTTAAGGTATATACTAACTTTACAATAAGAAAATGATGGTTTTGATACAAGGTTTATTAAACTATAATAAAACTTTTGATATTTAGGACTTAAATATTTTCTTTTTGATACCTATTTCCTACATGATAGTAAGTCATAGTTATAAATTGCACGCTGTATACCGGCGTATATGCTTTATAACGAAATTACGTCGTATTATCATTTTCTGGTTGGTCGGTAATGATTTTGGCTAGTAATAGTAACAGAGATTGCTATAAACACAAAATAAAAACATTTCAGTGTATAAATAAAAACAAATATTGAACCTCGTATCCTATATACGAAATTTTACAACAGCCTTTTTCGTGCAATAATCAAATGTGAGTTATAGAAAATCAATGATGTAGAAAGCCGAATGTGCAAAATCTAGAAATGTATAAAAAAACACAAAAATAATTACAATAGTATTATAAATACCATTTCATTTTAATACTTTTTGCAAAATTTCATTAAAATTGGTTGAGTAATTTACAAGATATGACCCAAAATACCGTTCTGGCCACTTAAAACTGCTCTCCTGTAAAGTTTGATTTTCTCACTTAGGGCAGTTTACGTAGGATCCATCGATTATATGTGATCTATATATTAATTTTTGAAGAAAATTCTGTAAACACCTTTTCGAACAAATATGGCCCATTGAAGCATTATTTAATCTTGTGTGCCCGATACATTTTATTCATTCTAATTTATAGAATTGCTTGTATCAAACAACCTGCGTTGATTGTGCTCTGCATCGTATCTTTCCAAAAAGCAAAACCAATCGGCCTTACATTTCTCTTCGCAAATATATATTTCATAGACAGTGGGCGGTTCTTTTGCTGTGGGTTTCTTTGTTGAACAATCTTGTATACACACTTGTTGCCAATACGTACAACTCATTTCGTTGTGTTGTGTAGTTGATGTCCGCAGCATCTGGAAATCATTGAAAGTATTTCTGATAAAAGATTTAAAAAAATTGAGTCTTCGGGGGATGTCTGACAGATGTGAAACATCGAAATCGTTTTGTAGAAATAATGTAGATAATATTAATATATTCTAATAATATTATTATTTATTAATATTCAGAACGGCAACGCGTCGCTACACCGCAATACATGTTACATTTACTATTACATACCGAACATAGGCGACCTATGCCGTGGCGACGCGTCGTAACGTCAACAGCCGGTCTGACCCTTCACATTGGGTGTTTGACATCAAAAACTTAATCATCGTGTATCTTTTTTTTATTAAAAATATATCTGATGTATGCATTGAGATATATGAATAGAACAAGCTATCTCCACCTAGCCCTGTACTCCGAAGTGATGCCAGGTGCGAGAGAGAAAGCTGCCGAGAGCCCCCTCTTATTATCTTTCTCTAATCAGGTCCGAGTATTCGCGGTACTAGTGCTTTTTATAAATTGGAGAGAGACAACAAGAAGGGGCTTCTCGGCAGCTTTCTCTCTCGCATCTGGCATCACGTTTCTTATATCTCTATGGATGTACATCACACATTATTTTAAGCGTTTGTCAACTTGTCACTCTGAATTCAGAGTCGGTACTCAGCGGTGACGTAATTTGCCATTGTTAACATTTTTTGACGAATTTGGGAATATGATTGAAAGAACCTTGGCTCTAAATCATCTTTATCAGCAGCACAACACTGAAGGATGTTTGGTATAAGATTGGCATTTATATCTGTGTATGCATCTGTAAATCTGTGAAACGAATCACATCATCACATCAACAGCCTTTAATAGTCTACTGCTGGACATAGGCCTCTTCTTAGAATGGAGGTTTTGGCCTACTATACCACGCTGGTCAGACGGGTTGGCATAGGGTTTGTGTCAAGTTTTCCTTCTTTTTGCAGTCCTGCGTTATTTTGCGCCCTTAGTCCCCTCTTACGACACCCACGGGATGAATTGGAGTAGTGACATTCCGTATTATTAATCCGTCACTACACAGACCGTGAAACGAATGAACCATTTTTAATCTAGTTTTTTATGTGTTTTTTTTAAAAGGCCTTTTCTTGCACTAGGAATTTATCCTGTGACAAACATGAAAGGGACACAAAGGACACCCAGACTCAGAACAACAATTTGTGAATCACACAAAGAGTCGTAGTATTCCTAGGTGGGGATCGAACCCACAACACTCAGCGTAGTAGACCACTACGCCATCCGTGCAGTCAATTATTAGTCATATCCTAATTTATCATTTAAGCAACCGGAATGGGTACATGATACATGTAGATAAAATCCCATAGCAATGTTGGCATTATATTAGAGGGACTATTAGGCTCCTACTTTTATATTTTCCTACGTTGACTGTATAAAGGAGATACGAGTACGCTTAAGTTGCATTAAGGGAGTAGGACGAAGAAAAAACGATAGTGCCACAAATAGATTGTGCGCAGTAGGAAGCGGTGGGGGCCTTTACGCCATCGTACGGAGTCACATTTGATTGAATGCATAGTCGGCAAAAAGCCTTTGCTTGTCCCCTAAGGGACATAGGCGTATATATGTGTTCTTAGGTAGGAGGTCGAAGATCATCAGTTCTTATCTAATCGTAGGAGTATTTAAATTTTTACCATTTCGTCTTGTGTGTCATTAGAGTCGACTTTATAGCAAGAGAGACAGTTCCGGTCCAACAGACGTGGTTTATCGCAGTCTTTTGGGCAAGTCACCATGACAGATGTTGATGCTTTTGACGGCGTAATAATTTCAAAAATTACCTCTGAAAGAATAAGTTTTGTGAAAAGAGTTTCTTATACATACAACATCATAAAAAATCTGACGGGTTTGTTGGTCTAGTGGCACGGGCACCCTGAGGACGTGAATTCGATTCCCATCCAGGACCAATATTTTAAAACTAACACGAGTAAACTAAGCAAAGCTTGGACTATGTTTTTTTTTTCTGTAAATACACACATCATCAATAGCCTTTTTAGTCCACTGCAGGACATAGGAATCTCTTTAGAAAGGAGGTTTTGGCCTACTATACCACGCTGGCCAGACGGGTTTTTATATAATGTTGTTTCAAGTATTTCCTCTCTTTGCAATGCTGTTGTCCTGCATAGTATGCGCCCTTACTGTAACAACACCTTTGAGATGAATAGGGGTGCTGACACTACATATTCTTAATCCGTCACGGATAGGTCCTCACGGATAGAACGCTGATGTTGATAATGAATTCTGGGTCACCTAATTTTATCTAACCATTTACATTTTTTTGTACATACTGAAGTGTTTTTTACTTGTATTAGAACCTCTTTTGTTTTAATAGTTTCCAATCAGCCACTGTAGTTGTAATTCTCAAAACTAGACTTGGAAATTATTGCTACTTTTAAATCATATGATAAAATCATTGGTTTTTATTATTGAATTATACATACATATTAAAAAACACCCAAACTCCGTTCCAAATATTTGCAGATCATACAAACATTCGGTCCGAGCTGCAAACAACGGCAACGCACTTGTGACTTTTGAGTTGCAGGTGTCCACGGGCGACAGTAGTTGCTTACCATCAGGTGACCCGTCTGCTCGTTTGCCCCCCTTATACCATAAAAAAAATCGAGCCCGAGACCTCAGACCAGCAGTCGCACATATATTTAACAGTTCAAAATACCAGACGCACAGAAAAAGGTTTTTTTTCGGGTCGGGTGAAAGTACTTACCCACTGCATTTATTATGACAATAAAGGCAAGAGTCTTCATATTTAGAGTCTTTATTTTCAGAAGTTTTATTTTGATCAAATATCAATTCAACATTGCTGGTTTAACTGCTTACAATAAATTGTCATTGCAAATTAATTTCATGGTCGAAAAGACTTGGTTTGTTCAAACTCGTAACCTCAACTTGTGGAGTGCTTTAAAACCGTCTAACTCCATCTAGCGGAAATAATCGGTATCAATAAAATTTTTGATTCGGCAGCTGTCAGTTTGGTTGGAAAGCAATCGAATGTTTTAGATGTGAAATTTTTATTTATATTTTTAAAGTTTATTAATGTTTAATATCATTGTGACTTGAATAAATTGTTTCTTTTCAGATTTTTCATAATGTGAAAATCAGATTAAAATGCAAGTTTTGGGTGCAGTGCTAATTTTTTTTGTAGTAAGTACATATTTACATGAAATTAATCTAAGGGCCCGTCCGCACAGCGATATTTTACCGCGCGTTTTATTTTCTCAAAATTCTGTGACAAGTTCATATTGTTTTGTATTTATAGGACTATCCGCACTGGAGGAAAAAAAACGCGAAAAGCGCAAAATGAACGAGATATGCTGGCGATTTATTTCCACAGAATATTGCGAAATTATTGCGACCCAAGAATAGTGTTTCCCATAATCTATACTTATTTTATAAACGTGAAAGTAAGTTTGTATGTTTGTTACGCTTTGGCGCCTAAATCACTAAACCGATTTAAAAAATACTTTCACCAATGAAAAGTTACATTATCAACGAGTACCACATAACATAGGCCACTTTGTAGCGCGATAGCCGATATACACGGACGGCGTCGCGGGCGAAGCCGTTGGTTACTCAAATATAATAATGATAGAAACTACAAAGAATCATCATCATCATCAACAGCCTTTACAAGTCCACTGCTGGACATAAGCCTCTCCTTAGAAAGGAGGTTTTGGTCTTCTATACCACGCTGGCCAAAGCGGGTTTTATAGGGTTTATTTCAAGTTTTCCTTCTCTTTGCAGTGCTGTTGCCTGCGTAGTATACTCCCTTAGGCGGCTCTTACGACATCCATGAATAGGAGTGGTGACACTCTGTATTCTTTGTCCGTCACCACACGGATATAACTATAATGAATACCAAATTAAATATTGTTTCTCTCTTTTAAGCTTCGATGAAATATTTATTTGGTCGAAGATTTTAAGTATATTTCTTTTCACAATTAATCATATTAACTAATATTTTGAGACTTTATAAAATGTTTCTTTACATTTGCTTACATTTTATGCAAAATGTTACCTTTAAGTTATGCGTCTATGTGTGACGAAGTGGTAAATGTTCTTTCTTTTTAACCGACTTCAGAAAAGGAGTTTTTGATTTAGTTACCTCAGAACTCTTTGAACTTATTTTGAAAATTCTGATGAGTCTAATAGTAAAATGTACAATTAGGTTACTCGAAATTGGGCAGTAATCAGGTTTTAGCTGTAGTAAATTTACAAAACTGCTCTTATATGCTATATACCTAATACAAACATATGTGGGTATTTATATATTTCAGGCAAGTTTCGAAACGACTTGGATTTCAAGCACAGGCCGAACTAGTATTGCTCGATGTCAAAGTGGGTTCTCTCAAAAAGATGGCCGTCTTGTAATTCAAAATAAGCAACCGTGCAAAAATTCTATGGAAAGTTACCCCCATCACTTTAAAATGCTTAAGTTCAAGCCTACATTAACGGCAATCATCGAGGAAAATTATTCAGACGGCATAAACTATAGGGTCAGTCCTGACAATAAACGTTTAAGATCTCAGACAAGAACTTTTAAAAATTTTTACAAAAAGAGAAAAAAAAGAAGCCTTCTATACTTCTTACACAATGTTTGACGTTACTAAATAATAAGAAAATTGGGTGGGAAAACGGCGACCAAGACATTTAAACGCTCAAATGCATGCACTCACATTGTGCACTATATCACTCTAATCGAGCCCATCATATAATTCCATGTCCACTTACCTCGAATTTTGTTCAATGTAACATTATGTACACTTATATAAAGATTATACAAATGTCTTCAAATAAAACATATAGAAAACATTTTATTCTTATTTATTTTTTACATCAGATAAAATACAATATTTATAACTGTGATAATAACATATTTATTAGTTCCAGTAAACCTTTACTTTATCATCGACATTCATCTTTAACAAAAATAATGTTAATAAATACAATTAATAATAACCTAATAAACAAATGGCCCAGAAATGTTCTGCATTTAAACGCTGCAAACTTAATTAAATACTTACCTTTAACTTATTTCTTAATATTGGTAATACTTTCGGACGGAATGTCAAATGGTAATAATAATTAAATATATAATTATTTAATTAAACAATATCAAGTGGATTATGTCATTGGTTATAAATATTAAATTGTGACAAAATTAAATAACTATTTCGTTATATTCTCACAACCTAAAGACTGACAAACGTCAGTTGGTGAGTTATAATTATAATAACACACAACATGTATCAAGGCACATTTGGAATGCAATTTCAAAGTTTTTTATTTATATAAAACTTAATATTTCTGGCACTTAATAAGACACTTTCGAAGATTTATCCTAATTTTAAGTACTTCATATACTTACTTAATTATAAAGAAACAATATAGATATAATAATTTCAGAAGTCAATACAAGCTTGCAGTTTTTACACATACATTTGATTTATATTCGTTCAAAATGTTATATAACCTTTATATGCATATCACATGCACATTTTTATCCAGATTAACCTATAAAATGATAATTATATACAATATAAAACCGCCTACAGCCAGTGTGCTATATAAATAAAGTTTTATGCATTTCGTCAAATAGGTATCGTTTTTATTCTTTAAATCTATTTTTCGTTCTTTAAACAGAAAGACATAATATAATGATAACGAAAGTATTGCCAAGGCATACAGTCAATGTTTTGTTTACGTAAATCAAGCAAATTGATTATAAATTTGTATTGAAACAAATTGTACATAATGCTTGCATTCGGTATATTCGAGGATCTTCATCGATCGACATTATACCACATAACAATCTATTTAATTATTTAATTAATAACACTTAAAATTAGTATTCATACTCCAAAAGACGCGGGAAAAATGACCAGTTTTTTATTTTATTTTACAATTTCCCGCCACTAGGACTTCTAGAGCTGCTTTTTATGGACGTAATCGAAATATTACCAGAGCTACTAAATGTCGGTGGAGGCGACCGAGGTAATGTAAATTTAGTTTCAGTTAAATTCTCCTGACTCAAAGATTTTTGAGTATTAAAAACCGGTATTTTCGACGAAACACCAGCAACCTGCTTTATCTTCTCTGCCTTTACCGGTATATTACTTGGTTTTGCAGAAATAGTCGGTTTTGAGCTCGACACTAAGTGTTCCGTTGACCGCAGTTGCATTTGATCTAACTGAGATAGTCTACGGTTTTCTAAATCAGTGCTCGTGACTATTGTTCCCTTTGGAGATTCGTATGTAGCTGTTCGGAATTTAATATGACTGTTTCTAGGCAGATCGAAATCTGAATGGCGTTTCTTTGGTTCGTTCGATACATTTTTTGTTCGTTTGGCGTCCGCTTGCTGTTTTGCGGAAAAATGTCTTTCATTATGAATAAAATCATTAAGCAACTCAATGTCTAGTTCGTACGTTAAGGGCGGTTCTGTATATGGTGGTACCCTCTGTCTAGTGGAGATTTTATCTTTACTTTCTTTCAGTTTCTGGGTTTTCTCTGTGCGCGGAGTTACGACTTGTATTTCAGTGATGTGATCTCTTTTATTATCAAAATCTTTACATTCTTTTTCTATGCCAGTAATTCCTGAGGGATTAATTGTATATCTTGTTTTAGTAACCTCAACAGCATCTCGACTAGTAGTTTGTACGTCTTCTAAATCCTGAACTATTCTTATTCCCATTTTTGATAATTCTTCTGGACTTTTCTGAGACATGAAATCTGGATCATTTTTAAGTTTCTCCATTAAGGCTTTAGCTTGCTCCTCATCCATTTCTGTTGTATTTAATATAATAGTTTCTGTTCTAGTGAAAGCGGGTTCGTCAGACGTGAAATGCATATGGGGATTCTTCCGTTTGATTTCATCTAAAATTCTGCTATCAATGTCCTTGACTTCACCTTCTTCCAGTTTCATCTCATCTACCTGTCCTCCTCTCATGATACCGAAGCTTATTTGTTCCACTTGTAAAGGTACTTCAGTTTTATTTGTGATGTACTTAGTTGATATTTTTTCAACGTTTTGAGTGATTACTTTGTTTCCAAATGTATCTTCCGCGACGTTGACTGTTACAGTTTTCTGTACTGGTTCCTGCGTCATAGTAATTGACATATTCGCGGGTTCCATATAAAGTGTCCTGTTTTCCTTTTCATCATGTCTCCTTCTGATTCCTTCAAGAACATCGGGTGGCATCATTCTTATAGTGGGTTCACCGATTTCGATTGACTTTGTATAAGATTTTCGCTTTTCTTCAACTGGTTGAATCTTTTCAGTCGTAATCGTTACTATGTTGGTTTTATCTTTGGGTTCTGACCATTCTGAACTTGAAAAACTGTCAACCTTTTTGTTGTATTTCAGACTGTTATTATTGGACCCCACTCTTATATTGCTAACGAAGTCATCGTAATCTCGCACTTTTTCACTCGGAGTACTAGTTTTCAGATCAAAGTTAACGATATCAGGTTGATGCATAGCTGATTTTAAGGAATCTGTCATCGGAGGAGTATCTTTACTAGTACTGGCTACATTTTCTTGTGTTTCTTTATCTCCACTTTGATCAATATGTACATTCAAAATAGGATTTTTTGCAAGCAACTTCTTCATCATATCAGATTTTGGTCTCTCTAAGCTGTTTGCGTACGTGTTACGAGACATTTTAAGATCATCCGGGATATTTGTGTCATAAGACATACTTATTTTTTCTTCATATTTTGTTGGTGTAGTAGTGGGTTTTTCAGTTGCTGGTGGCAATTCATGAGTGCTGTCCAAAGAACTCATGTTACTGCCATCTGAAGTAGTTTTTGCAAATTCAGATACAAGTTTTAGGTTCACTTTCATATTTTCATCAACTATTCTTCTGGCCAAATGATCAGATGTTTCGTGTTCCGTTTCTTTGTATAATTCAAACTCTTTTGGCTTTGTGTGACTATGCTCTTCATTTTTGTCAGATTCTACAGAGCTGCTTGATCCCTTCACAATGGCGTCCTCTAAGTTGCCAAACTCAGAAGCCTTTTTGAGACGATTTCTCTGGAAAGTATTGAGTCCTTCCATTGCTGATGTTTTAGCAATATTTAGGCTCAGACGAGGCTCCTTGTGTTTTGTTACGACTCCTTTATCAACGTCCATCATTTCTGGTAAAACATCTTGGGCGGACGCATCATAGAAAGAAGTTTCAACTACTGACATCGCTTTCCTCTTTTTAGGTGACATAGTAGTCTCCTCTATTTCAGCATCTTCAACAGATATGTCCAGACTTTGTGCCCTTTCTAAAGTTCCCGTAGTCTGGATGTTCGATTTAGTCCTCAACTCAAATCTGGATAGATCGCCCAGTGAAGCTGCTTTTCGTTCATTTTCATCCACAGTAGACGCATTGTCCGACACTGAGTGTACTGTCTCGTTCATTGGAGAGCTGTGTATAGTGATGTCACTATTATTGAGTTCGATAGTAGTCGATCCTTTATCGCTTTTATCGCTGTTGTTTAAAGATCTCACGGAATGCACATCTTGGTTTGAAGACATGTTAGATTTTGAATCTTCAAAGAAATTATTAAGTGAATCACTTTCTCTCTTGAACGGTTTTGTCACAATGTCGTCAATATCGTCTTGGCTGAAGTTAATAGACTCCTCGAGACGTGAAGTGCTCTTAGTTTTATTGATTTTAGGCGTTGATGTATTGATTTGTGTTACAACTGAACCACCCGATCTGCTTGATACAGTGGAATCATCATTTAACAAACTTGAGTGATGTTTCTCATTGCTCAGGAAATCTGTTACCTTCTTCAGTTGTTCGAGTATACTGTCGTCTGTTTTATTCCTATCGTGATCAGGAGGAGAAGGGGCCTTACCTTTGGATTTCTTAGGTTTAGGAGCTTCCTCTTTCTTATGTTCAGATCTTTCTTTATCGTAAATAAACTCAGAAGAACTCTTTCTATTCGACCTCGCTGCTTTTGCCGCGTCTAGCATATGCTGTGGTAGTTCTTGTGGAATACCATTTTCATCTCTCTTTATTCCACTTGAATTTAAATCGGTTCTAGCAAATGCCATCATAGAGGTATCGGAATTTCTTGATGTTTCCCATAGTCTAGATGTTTCAGAAACTCTTGATGTTTCCAGACTAATACCAGTTTCTGGGTCAGTGTTCTTAACGCGGGCATTGGGTATCGGAGGAGCCATCTTCTCTCTTCTTTTAGCAACCACAGGTTTTTTCTGGTCAGTTTCGTTCTCATGTTTGATTTGGGCAGTAGGCGCTGGCCTTTGAGGTTCAGGTTTATCGATTTCGTCAACAGATTTTTTTTCTACGATAACATTGCTTATACTAGTGGTGACTGAACCATTTTCAACACTTTTATGTTTTAACACTCCATCATCAGGTACGTTTGGAGGAAGAACTCTTATGCCAAATTTCATCCCCCTTTTCGGGTCATATTCACGTTTCTGTACTTCTGATTGCTCAATATGTTGTGATGCTATTCCGTTTTCTGGCTGAATTATCTGTATGTCACTGCCGGTTGAATGTCTGTTTTTGTTTCTTTCCGGTTTATTAATACCAGATGGAACATCAGAATGTCTAGACTTGTTAGCGAGTTTACTATTTTTTTCATTTTCTCTTTCTAACGTCGTAACGCCTTCTTTTTTCTCTTTCTTTGTTCTTTCAAGTGTAGTAGATGTGATAATTTTATCTGATATCATTTTTTTAATACCGGTTTTAGACTGTTTTGTCTCTAGGGTGGAATTGTTGGAGTGCGATGTATTTGGTGATTTTGGCGGGTGCAGTAGCCTTGCTTCTTTCTCAAGCTGAAAAAATACAATGGATCTATTAGTACCTATACAAGGGACTCTATTCAATTCAATGTAAAGTCTGATTTTATTATGACTATCAAGAAGTAACAGTTCTATAGTGTTGTAACATGAAAACACGACAACTTCGACACAACGCCTTTTAAAAAGATAACCACTAACACTATTAACTTGTAACATTGGTTTGTTCTTCAGTTCTAACTATCTATATTGCATTTGTAATATAATTATTACAAATGCAATATAGACATATACAATGACAGGTATAAACACTATACTTCGAGGTACCATATAATACTTTGGACGGACCTGGGTCTACTTTAAATAGATCCAGCAGACTCCAGCTCAGAGTAGGACAGTGTAGTTTCTACCTGAGCATAGGATTGCTAATTGCTAGCTATTGCTTCTTGAATAATGGGATTTAATGCAGGCAATGTTGCTTTTCACCTTTTACCTCATCCGGTTTACCAACAAACCTACCAAACCTTATACCAACCCGACTGGCCAGCGTGGTATGGTAGGCCAAACACAACACAAAAACCAAAACACAGAAGACGCCTATGTTCAGCCATGGATTATTAAGCGCTGATGATGAAAGCCTGCTCTTCCCCCCCCCCCCCCCCACTCTTTCTGTGCGTATATCCAATCGGATACTACCCACAGGTGGGGTGGTTTTATCGAACTCGAACCGACCAAAAACCGCTTGCCGTTTCGGGTACCAGTTGCAGGGGAACCAGATGTACCCTAAAAGGAAACCCCTGGTACACTCGTTTTCCCCTCTATACCATAAAAAAGTGAGAATCTACCGGCAACACTACAGTAACAAGTTTTGTTTATAAAAATAGGAAAAAGAAATTAAACAACTATTTGTTAAAATCTATGGGCGTAAAAACTCGTTAGTAATATCTTGGACATGTTGCCGCATTGTTTGGTGGTGGAAACAATAGACAGCGAGACATTCCAGCACATACTCATTGTATTCTAAACATGCATTGTTAATTTCGATAACATAAGACTAGAACGCTGCTTATATATCATAAACTTCCTTTAGGCATGGATTCTAGCAATCAATGTAATCGCTTACTGATGAAGAGAGCTAGACTTTTGAGCGTTATTTATACCGAACTGAATTTTAAACACTATTGTTAAAACATTTCATTGATAATTAAATTTATTTGGTTTTTCGCATAGGTTCTAGTGAAGCCGCGATATAATGTAGACTTTGAATTAAAAAGGCTTCCTCACCGTGTTAACATCGCTGGTAGAACTCGCCCGCTTCAATAGGGGATGCTGCACTCCCCTCCCCGCCCCACTAGCCCTGCCGCCCTCAATCAGCTCTAGCTCCACTGGATATGGTGACGCGAGAGACAAAATACCCACAGCATCTTCTAATGGGGTACCCGTAAATTCAATCTTGATGCTTTTTATCTTGTCACCTGAAAATGTAAATAAATAATATAATTAAAGAATTAACTCTGAAGTGAACGTGTTAAAGGTGTTAAGAAAACAAACAATTCCCCCTAAACCCCCACCCCACCCTTGGTTTTACCAATGTCTATGTTTAAAATCTGACTGGCAGTTCCAGAGATTATCGCATTCAAAGTGACGAACAATCAAACGTTTATTATACGTATGTAAGTATAAATAAAATAAAATAAATAACTAAAAAGGCCATTTATACTACTACTTAAATAAAAAATCTTGTAATTTGTAAATTATAAATTAAAAATATATTTCAAGTATGGGCTTTCATATGAGCAGGTAACTGCTAAACTGCTTTGAAGTAGGTTTTGTAATTTAATATAACGGCAAGAAATTCTACATGTGGCTTAAGGCTTATTTAATAATTAGGGCTCTTATTCGAATGTGCTTTTATGTTTTTTTCTGATTTCAATTACAAAAAATCATTGTTTCAGTAATTAGTTTCAGAAAACCGATCACACTACGATTGGAAATTTTCTAGAGAATCTTCTCTTGGAAATCTGTAGAATGACGAAAGTACGCAGTACGCCATTGAGAGAAAAAAAAAGTCATAATAGACAACACAGTAAAAAAAAACGGAATGTCTAACATCAATTATGCGACATTATAAAAATGTCGTTATTTTTGGTAGAAAGTTCCCTTTGCTAAATGTCAAATACTTAATGCCTTTGACATTTTGTTTGTTGAGATTGGTTAGACTTCGTGATAAAAGTGTTATTACTGCGCGTCACGCATAGATATCTTATCATCCTTGGGACCTGAGACTATATTACAAACTTGGTAGGTACCTTTAATCCGGGAAAGTACTATTAATGAAGAATACATATGATCGGATTGAAAATATCTACATCAAACCTTATCGAAACCGCAAACAAAATTTCGGTATTTCATTATAAGAACTTAGCGCAAATGTAGCAAAAGTTAAAAATATAGTAAAATTTAAAGTCATATAATTAAATTTAGTTATGTGGATAGTTTGGTATCTTAGGAAAGACCATAACAAAAAACATTAAAATTATTTATGCATAATGAAGTTTATTTGCGTCGATACACCTAATTTAGGTTTGTATTTGGATTAGCATTTCTTTCGTCTTTATCTTAAAACAAGATTGTATATTATAAAAAAAAACACTAAAAATTAAAAAAAAGACAGTAGATTCTGTGTAAAAAGCAAATAGGATTAAATTGTAAGAGAAAAAGACCCGCCGTTTGCTGATGTAAGGAGACAATCTGTGACGACAAAAAGCAAAGGATAACAAAACAAAAAGTTTTAGTTATCGTATATCGTATCGTATTTTAGTTATATTAGTCGTAGTTATTTACAATTTCATTTCATAGTAATATTACCTGGCTGCAATTTAGCAGCGGCAGCTGGTCCACTCCTGAGCACGGAGTGGACAATCACGCCATCTCTCGCGCCACCACCGCACTTGAAGCCTAAACCAGTGAAGTCTCGCGCCCATAGTTTCACACGCCGAATTCGAGCTCTCTGTGGACAAACATTAAACTGTTACTTCATTTAATTGAAAATACCAAGCCAACACTTGACTAACTTTTTTTTCAGGATGGTCCCTCATCGAGAAAATTCGCTTGTAATGAACCACTCCAAGATTCAATTAGGAGCATTGTATTATATTTCTGATACAATTTTAAAGTTTAAGTCAAAAGCCACATAAACAGCCTATGATAGTCCACAGCTGGACATAGGCCTCTCCTTAGAAAGGAGGTTTTGGCCTACTATACCACGCTGGCCAGACGGGTTGGTATAGGGTTTGTGTCAAGTTTTCCTTCTTTTTGCAGTGCTGGTGTCCTGCGTTGTTTTGTGCCCTTAGTCGGCTCTTATGACGCCCACGGGATGAATAGGGGTAGTGACACTCCGTATTCTTAATCCGTCACTACACAGACGTGTCAAAAGCCACGTGGTTCACAAATTATTACAATTCCTAATACAAGCTAAATTGCTTGTATTAGGAATGTCTTCATTGAAGTTTTGGGTTTGAACCCGCAAAAGTTTATTGCAAATTCGACACCGTAGCTTTGAGTTAAATTCTACTTTAATGTAACTATCCAAGATTCGATTTCAACCTTCTTCTACATTCGAATTTCTTATTCTTATAATTGCGGACGTATCTGACATACGGCTGAATCCGAAAATTTTGATTCGATTATGTTATTTATGTAAAAAAGAAAAAGAACGATCTTGGTGATACAATTTATTTCAGAACCGGCGAATCAATTAAATTGGTGTAGATTGATGTCAACGGTGTATATATATATATATATATATATATATATATATATATGTGTCTAAATCGAAACTAATGAACACATTTCATTGTTTTTCAAATTCAAAGGTGGTATGTTCCTAATACTGCGACCGACCGTAAAAATCTGTTCTTTCAAGAAACTCTCAATGTTTCTCCTTCAAAAGAGTACCACCTATATTGCGAAATTTTACATTACCTATTCAATAGTCTGTCACGGGATAGACGTAGAATACAAATCAGATAAATCTTTAATACAGGTAACACTTAAACGGACGGAGGCTTTGCCAGCCTGAGCGATGATGTCATTCTAACCTCAAGTCAACATGCCGCCATTGGTTTAATCATCGATGGCGATACCTACAATGATTTTATATAACCGTAAACAAAAGACTGTTGTATCTTTATGTTGTCCTTTAAAAATTAAAATCAAATTACAAAATTGTTTATTTTAACATTTTTTATTATTATAACATTCTAATAACAGCAACACAACCCGTAATGCTACAATTTGTTACACCGGTGACATCAATCTACACCAATTTAATTATATATATATATATATTTAAAACGTTTCGTTGTATTTAAAACTTTGAAGTTGCAAACAATACTTTGATGGGAGCATAAAAACTAAGATGAGGATAAGATAGTATACCAAGAGTTATTACAGAGAGATTACTGTAACTAAATAGTTTTCGTTACAGGAAAAAAGTTTAACTCTATTAGTTACTGTCTCTCAGAAATCTAATAATAAATGCGATGAATTAAAAGTTTCTACCGTCTTCAACTATGCTTTCATTCCAACGGAGTTCCGTTGTTAGCGCTGTGTTCATTTTTCGGCACTTACTAATGCAATAAAATATTTATTATTATTTTTTATTACACCTTCTTATAGCGTGCGAGGCAAAATATATTAGTTCTATTCTTCTGAAGACCCGCTTGCTTAAGTTACTTAGCTTTTAATATATTTTACTTTGAATGAAACTTACAAATGTAGCAATTCTTTCAATTTAGATATTAATTTTTGCTTGCATTTTACTTCCATTAATTTTATTTCATAACGATTGGGGCAGGATATTGCATGAATTATAGCTATTACGCTATAATTAAGCACTTGAGTTATTACAAAAATCTACAGCTACCCAATGAATTACGAAGCCGTTGACCAATAAAATGACCCACAAACAAGGTAATAACCGAACATATGGCAATACTAAATAATTCGTCGACCTTGTATTCAACCTTCAAGATCAAATTAAATGCTCCCATTAAACCATAGACAAAGATAATGTTATGTCAGTCTTGACAGCTGTGAGAACCGGAATTGGGGAAAAAGATAAGGTTTAGTAAATTAAATGATGAATAAACGATTATTGATTGTTAAAACAAATTACATTTTTGACAGTAGACATAACTTTATCTTAAAATTTAGATTCTGACGTTTGAAATGCAGTACTTATTTGTTTGTCTTATATTTCAATGTCATACGGAGAACGAATAAAAAAAATGCCATTTTTAACAAACACTATTAATCTAAAGATTAATTGTTTAAAGTTTTAATAATATTTGTCTTCAGAGTACTCAGCTATGAGTCATTGTTGATCTTTGATTACGATTAAATGAGATCAGCATCGTGATCACACGTATATGAGGGGTATTAAAGTAGTTAATTATAACAAGTAAAGCAATATCTGGTCATTTTTTTTAAGACAACTCCCTCATTAAGAATATATCCTGTGTCGCGGGGGACTTAACAAACATACATGAAATGGGCGACACAAAGAACACTCAGAATCAGAACAACAATTTGTGGATCACACCAAGTGTCGTCCCATGTGGGCACCGAACCCACAACTCAGCTCAGTAGAAAACGGTGAGGTGACCGCTTAAACCACTACGCCATCCGTGCAGTCAAGTGATTTGTAATTTTGCTTCATAATCTTCTTGTACAGGGGCTTTATTCCTTGCTATCTGCTTAAATTATGATCAATAGTGATCCATCCCCCAAAAATCCCCGAAATGGTTTTGAGAAAAATAAAGACTTTACTGTTTAAAACACGTTGCCGTTTTCTTTACTTTAAACTAACTGTATAATCAAACACATGATGACCCATGCCTTCGGCACTAATACTAACTACACAACCGGAGTAATAACACGGTCTCTCACGGACCAGAGTGATTCTTTCTTAGCTCTTCACTGAGTGCGTGAGAAGGTCTCTGTATGATGACGGATTATGAATACGGAGTGTCACCACCCTTATGCATCCCGTGGGTGTCGTAAGAGCCGACTAAGGGAGTAAACTCTGCAGGATAACAGCAATGCCAAGGAAAACTTGAAACAAGCCCTACACCAACCCGTCTGGCCACCGTGGTATAGTAGGCCAAAACCTCCTTTCTAAGGAGAGGTCTATGTCCAGCAGTGGACTATTAAAGGTTGCCGATAGTTACTTGCCCCCAGGTCTACCAGCAACCAAAATTACTAGTATTCCCGCTAACCTCTCCCGCTAAGCTAAATAGCTTGTGTTAGGAGTGGGTTCACGTCTTTAGTGTACTAGTCAGGATTCGAACCCACGACCTCTTGATCGCAAGTCCAACGCCTTAATCACTAGGCTACCGCCGCTTTACAATTTGTCAAGAGTGAAAGACAAGAATTAATATAATATCTAACGAGTCTAAAGACACATTAAATTGTTTTAAAGGGAAAAAATGCAGCCATCTATGTATTTATTAGACTTTCTCTAGTCGTTGTTTGTGTAATGTATTTAAATATCACTTTAATGGCCGCAGAGAATCTTGATTAATACTATAAGGGTCTATAAAATGTTTGGTATTTCCTGTAATGCGTCATATTAAGGCTGTTTATATAGTTATCTGTTCGTAGAATGTTAAACTAGACTTATCTACTTAATATAACTTTAATAACGTAACTACGATCAACCAGTTTTATGTTTTTATTGAGAAATGATTTAAGAAGTTTCTAAATCTATAAAATTACTTGGCCTGAATGACTAATTTCTCAAAATGACTGACTGACTAAACCACTCAGGTTACAAACTTAAAATTTTGGCAGCTGATGCTTTTTACGTTGTGGGCACCCACTACTTTTTATAATTTTCATCCCTAAGGGGGTAAAATAAGGGATAAACGTTTTTATGTAAGTTTTTAATTTTCAAAGTTAAAAACACGAAATAAGAAATAAACACACATTAGCTAGAGAACTATAAAATTGCTATTAAAAGTAAACTTATCAATAAGAGTCACATTGAAACACTATCAGACATAGATACTTAACCGATTAGCGTAAAATTTTGCAAATATATTATCAGGGTTACCTAAAAGACACATGGAATAACTTTCAACCAGAAAGAAAACAGTGCTTTTGGGGGATACTCTAATTGTTTGACAATAATTATATTAACGTGACCGTAGAAATGGGACAAAGTGTATATACCTATGTATATTAACGATAATTTAAAAGAAACAGTGTAATCCCAATTATGCTTCATACTGATTATTAGTGTGTGGAAAGGGTAGGTTCCCATCGGTATAAAGGCATACTATCAGGCATTTTGTAAGCTTCTCAACTAAATTGTTTTAATTTTCTTTATTAAATAACTTTTCTTTGTAAGTGTTACAATAAATTATCAGACTCGTCTGCAGAATTAGAATTGGAGCCGACTTCACATTATCAAAATTTATAGAACATTTACACATTTATGTTATCGAAATTGAATGCTCAATAACGTCCTTGTGAGCTTTGAGATGTTTTTTTTTTCATAATAGTCTTATTCAATAAATCATCTAGAAAAACCCGCCATAATCTGTCTTCCACTTTTTGTATGATGCCGGAACAACCAGCAATAAACATATAAAAACTTTTGAATAATACAAGTTGTGAGAAGATTTTTTTGCGAACATTGCTTCAATAAATTGCAGAATATAACAAACTTGGAATATTCATATTTTAAATCCATAAAACTTCAGAGAAGGTGAGAGGCATAAATGACGTATCTTCGCGTCTTTAAGTTGATGGTGTACCAATTGAAGTAGTTGTAAGGACAATTACTTATAAAGATCAACAAAATTACGCCTGTTGCACCTGAGGCTAGTTGCTTTACTCCCAGAAATATTGCCAGAAAGAGAAACATCTAATATAAATATAATCATCGATCATCATGACATTTGTAGGCATATTGTCAAGGATATATCTACCACACTAAGGTTA